AGCAAGACCAAAACTTGCTTTGCCACTGTGTGTTGAAGTTTTAAGCAAAGCTATGCTGAACTATTGACTCAATATGGAAAAATCATCCATCTAAATACCACTGTCCATAACATATATTTTTATGTGGTTGTAGATGTGTTTTGATCTGTTCGCTATTAAACAGGTGGTCGTTTAAAGAGGATGGATGTAATGATGTAATAATGATTAATGATTTTTATTTTCAGAAATTTTTCTGCTAAAATTGAACCATTTCACCAGTGCTGAACGTTAAGGAGAGGAAGTTGGTTGCTGATAACGGTGAATCTACAGGTATTCAGGTTTTCTTGGATGACTAGGCAACCATATCGTCGGATAATAGAAATAGCTCAACATTTAGCTTTAAGAGTTTCTTGAAAACATTTTGAAATATTGCTTCTTGGGTGTTTTTATCTTAATGTCTTCAAGATTTGAAAGCCCATTTTGACATACGATTACTTAAAGTTTCGAAAAAAAGAATGGACAATCTTAATGGAATTTATCATTTCAAATAGAATTTATCAAGGGGGGCTGTCGTGGATTACATTTTGATTATCCTGGATTTTTTCAAACGAATCTTGGGTTGAGGATTATGTTGATCTACGAATAAAGACTGACGCAACGACGCTTGCTTAACATTCAGAAAACTTATCAAACATTAGTTTCACATCAAAATCAATTTCTGACTGTGCCATACGAACATGGTTCTCCCAACAATGAATGAAGACTTGCGTAAAGTTGTATATGGACACCAAAATAATCAGCTCAATTAATCCCAAGACTACGTGTAAAATAAAGATTTTCCACGGAGCAAGAGAGTAAGATTTTCCACGTAGTAAGAGAATAAAGATTTTCCACGCCTAAGAGAATAACGATTTTCCAAGTTAACAAGAGAAAGGAAAGTGAGTATTTGGTACTTTTGCATTCGATTTACTAATTGAGGTGCCTGAACTTTTGTTTTGTTAGAAAGAGTAATAATATTCTAATATTTTAAAATATTTTGGCGTACGTTTCATCCTATTTGAACAAGCCACCTTATACACAACGCTCCTTAAAGTTTTGAAGAAGCAGTCCACCTTTCCGACGGTAGACACGCGTGTAAAAATACGAGATCAAATTACAAAATTCGGACAATCAAATGGTCGGACATTGTATCGTTTATGTGGAATAGTGGCAATAAAATGGCTAGGAGATACTTTTGAGTTTGGGGCATTTGTGAATCTGATTCTAGTGATTCAGAACGATTATTTATAAACGCAGAAGGCATAACAGTAAGTAATAACCCTTTTGAGTTAGAAAAAAGCATAAAGATCGAAGGAAAGCTTTAATACTGGCCATGTTGTCGCGCTATTGACTTTTTGCAAAATTACTCGAGAAGTGAAGTTACTTTCTAGATTGAATTATGAAAATGTTGTAAGGTAAAAAGAAATCACCCCGAGATCACCTGCGATAGGCTTTGCTCGGGGTACGCAGGGAGAGTGCGGTCCCCACCGAAGTGTGGGCCCTAAGCCACCGTATACTATATCGCACCCAGCTTCCACTGCTAGTTGACATCTATTACTCCTAATATTGTCTTTATATATATATATACAAAAATTCAAAGGCTTACGAAAGTTGTGGTATTGTTAAAGTCACTACTGCGCATGCTCAGATGATTTCTTTGATAATTTGCGACTAAGTAAGCTAATTGCCTCAAATGTAATGCTAGTACATATAGTTAGCCGTTTCCATGACTATGAACAATTAGTTAAATAGACTGCGCATGCTCTAGCGCAGGCACAGATGATTTCTCTATTAAATTGTTTCTAAGCATGCTATTAACTTCAAAATTGGTGCTAGGTGATGCAGTTGGTAGTTGCCATAACCATGAGCTTGGGCGGCTGGTCAAGTTAATGCGCATGCTCAAGCAGACTTCGCATGTGCAGATTATTTATCTGAAAATCTGTGACTGAACGAGCTATTTGCTCCATAGTACATCCAGTTGGTCGTTGCTATGACCATGAACTTAGAGACTTGGTGGAGTAAACTACGCATGCTCATATTAATTCTCAATTAATTTGCGACGGCTGAAATCGGAGCATGTATATGCGCATAGCGAATTTTCAATCATATATTTTTGGCATGCTGTTTATCTTCTTTTGGTTGTTTTGACAAATGCAAATGAAACTCATCAACACTTTGGTTCGGCACTCGTAATATCCGCGACAACGTTAGAAATGTTTTTATTTTTCTCTACAACTTTGTATCTGCATATATATTGCATGTCATATCCAACGGAAAATGATTTTCATTCACTCTTACACCTTCTGCCTTTATAATCAGTTGTACTGGATTTCTAAAATAAGATTTACAAATGCCCCAAGAGCATCTCTCTATTTTATTGCCACTATTCTAAAATTACAATACTATGTCCGACCTTTTGATTCTGCTAATTTTGTAATTTGATCTCGCATTTTTGACACCTATGTTTACCGTAGGAAAGGTGGGTTGATTGCTTATGGCAGCTCATGTATACGTAATTTATACTCACCTTTTTTGTCATTGACTAATCTCTACAGTTACTTTTTGACTGCATTACGAACAGACGATAAGGTCGTAAATTGGAATTCGACAAGCAAAAAGCAATTACGACTAGCCAAAAAGTAACTTGTCGATAAATAAGTTTTGAAATTGGATAAAATGTTATTTGTTGGTAACGTTTTGTCTAGCTTGAGCCTCTCCATTGAATGGTATAAATTGACAATGATATAACATAAGATCTCATTTTATCATTTATGGTAGTGTTTGTGTCACGTTTTTGTTAAAAACGATATACTTTTCGTTTAACGATAATGAATTTCGTGTTATCTTAGACTTTTCATTTAATTTGTAGTAATAAAAGAATACTGACAATGGTGGCGCATTATATTTTTCATGGATTATATCATTGTTGTCATTGATCACAATCAAAGTCATCGTAAATCAACTCAGGGCTGTCGTGATTTATATGTACTTTTTGGTTTTCGTGGATTTACATCATACTTGTCGTGGATTTTGTGAAATTAATCGTGGGTCAATCAGTTGAGGATTATCTTAATCTACAAATGGAGACTAAAGACGACGTTTCAGGTTTGTGTTTTTTTTTAAAATCCTGGTGATCAACACTAACAGGAAAGTGACTGAACAATGACTAAGTTATATCTGAACATAGTTAGTTGCTCTTTTGATTCCTGTTGGTGTTTTTTTCCAGTTTTGTGCATGTTTCAGTGCTTTTTGCAGTCAATGTACGATTATAATTGCACAAGGTAAAACAACCAAAACGGTATACATGTCTGAAATCTGTCTTCATATGTTTTTTGTTTGTTTGATCACCAGGAAACACGATACCAAGTTCAAGGAAATAAGTATGGATTTCTTTATGTACATTTATTTATAATATTCATAATTTCCGCAGTCAAACATTTTAAAAAATCTAAATGCATAAATTAAAACGCGTTTGGACGTTTTGAACTAAACTACGGATCGCATGCTAAAATTGAAGAGAAAATTTCGATCCAAAATATGGCGAAATCCGAATTACAGATTGCACGCTAAAATAGGAAGAAAATTATTACGGCATACCAAACAATAGCGGCATACAATGCAATGCATACATGCTGCAAATAGCACATAGCAAATTTCGATCCAAAATATGGCGAAATCCGAATTACAGATTGCACGCTAAAATAGGAAGAAAATTACGGTACAAACAATGCGCAATCCGGCATACATGCTGCATAGCAAATATTAAAAGGGTCTGAAATATTTTTTCTTGACGATGTTTTTATCAATTTTCACGTTTAGTACGAATTGCTTAAATTTTGAACCATGCAAAACTTGAAATGTTCATAAAACACTAGAAAATATAGAAAAACAAGTCAACATGTTTAAAATACTTTCGAAAAAAATGAGTGATTTGCATCATCAAGAGGAATATGCTACAATAACTATCTGATTGGTCTACAGAACAGCAAAACAGAATAGGTGCATGGAACCCGGCATTGGTTTTGCTAAATAGCTGTCAAAATCAATGTTATGACAGTGGCATGTCCAAGTTAAATAATTCGCTGTTATTTAACTTGAAGAAAAATAACTAAGAGCAAGAAAATACTTCAATTATTCATGATATATTGGATTGATCATCTCAAAATCATTTGATAGCGAGACGAACTAATCAAATACGTTTAGAGTAGATGTAGGTAGAAATAACTGTAAACGGTGCCAAATTGGTACCTAGGTGATCGAGTGTTGGACACAAGAAGGATTGATTGGCACGCCGTTTGGTAATGTATAAGGGCCCAGGGAGGCGCGGTTCCCTATTCATTAGGTTCCCTTTCGGCTCGGGTACTAACGTTGCTTTACAGGTGTCTCATCGTTCAAAGGTATGTTTTAATCATTTTGTGCAGCATAGCTCGTAGGTACTAGGTAGATGTTCAAATCAGTTATTTCATGCCACTGATCAACAGGGTTAGCTAAGGATGAGCGCAGGCAAAAAAAATGGCGGAATTGAAAGCGGCCGAAAAATGGCGTACGTAGAGGTTTCGGTTTTTTACAAGGATGCATATTGCCTATGTCACCTCGTTTAACCACCTTGTAAAGATAAAGACAGTCTAATGAATTTTGTAAACATAATTAAGGCCTTAAAAATGTAAACACGTTTTTTTGGAAAGAAACTAGTTTGAAAATAGATAAGGTGATCCCAAGTAATGTGCATCCACCGACTGTTTTTTTTATCTTGAGGGTTTTCCTCCGGCGATACGCCGGTTCCCTCATCTATAGATAATTGCTCTAAAGGATAAAAAATGGCGGTTAGGATATTCTGAAGGAATTTTAAAGTTATTGGGCTGAGTTCCCAATTGAAGAAGAATGATTAGAGATTCTTAATTTTTTGTTCGTGTTACATGCTTCGCGAGGTCATGGCCAAGGTCGATCACATTACTCATACTTCATGTAGTGATAAACCATACGTGTAATCACTCGATTTCAAAATGGAGGATAGTTATGAGGTAGATTTCGAAGATACACGTGAGGACATTTCATTGCTTCTACATGGCATAGATCGGTAAACATAGCTTAAAACTCATTTTATAAGATAAAATTGACTTGCTAATAGAAGTTAAAATTTTCCTTTATCTTTTTTCTTTTTGCGGCAGCTATAATCCCGAAAACTTACACCAATTAGAATCGTACGTCCATCAACAGGTATACATAATACATATTGAACTGAAGACCTTGAATTAATTTTATACTTAGTAAAAAGATAGTTTGATGATGTCTTCTAAATTAATAAAAAAGTTTGATTAGTTTTTTCACTATTTTATAATGCTGTATAAAACAAATGGTATTCAAGATTAGACACATTCGTTATTTGTTTTATTTTGTATTTCTAAAGTTGTCTGTTTATCCTGGTAATTTTGGCTATTATTGTGCAAATTTTTTGCGTTATTGTTAAAGAGTTATAAACAATGAATAGAAAATGTTTTTTATTTTACACAGACGTCAGAAAACCAGTATGATTTGGATGCAAATTTAGCTGTTTTAAAACTGTAAGAATCTTGTCTTTTTCCTCATCACTTTTCACTTTTATAACACTTCTAATGCAGTGTCATATCACTTTCAGCGTAAAAAAGAGTCACTTCTAATGCATGATGTCATAGAAAAGTTTTCATTGGTATATCATCAAATTTGAACTTGTTGTTTTTTAGCTATCAGTTTAATCCTCAACTTCATCAAACAAATGTTGTCATTCAAATATTGCTGAAGGCTCTGATGAATCTTCCTCGAACAGATTTCTATCTCTGCAAATGTTTAATTGATGAGAATCATACTGTATCATTTTTAAGCTATATTTTATTTCCATTATTTCATTTGATGTCTAATGAAAGTTACTTTTCTTGACTTGATTATATCACAGCATGATAAATCCATTGAAAAAGTTCTTTACTTATCAGACCTAATGGAGACATGTCATTTTAAAGATTTCTGGGTGAGTTAAATTTAAATCTCAACTTTCATTGTATTTGTTTGTTTGTTGTAAAATATTGCCATCTTTTAATAGTAGATTGAAAGAAAGCTTTTTATAAAATCTTCCGTTTTTTTTCTATTTGTCTGTTGTTAACTTAGCATGAAGTACGCAATGAATGTCAGGACCTGGTTGAAGGGATCAAAGGATTTGAAGAAGCTGTTATGTCATGTATGTGTAGACTGTATTAACTTTTTAAAACAGAGACAATGTCTTACTTACCTAACCAAACAGAAGAGATTTCATGAATAATATGGTTGATGGCTTGAAAATTGCCTTTTGTTTATTTTAGTTATGTTGCTTATTTGGTTGTATAATTTTTACATCAAGTATCAATGCACTAATCAGCATTTTATTTTCACATCACTCCATTAGATATTAGTGGAGTTCTGGCCATTACATATCAAAGTATAGATGCTCAACTTCTATCTGATCTGTTGGGTGGTCTTGAAGGTAAGATTATTACCATAGACAGACATACATTGGCTCGTGACAAACATGTACAGTTACATTTATAGTTTACTATGTTTTACATTATGAACAGACTCTTCATATAGCTAATAGTGTTCATTTTCCTTTCTCTCCCCATTCCTTTTCATTGTTGATGCTTGTAACATTTGTGGTAACCATTCAAGGCAATGATCTACAAGAATGGATCAAGTTACGTAACTGGAGTTTGGATGGATGGCAAAGTTTTCATCTGTAATCAAGAGCACATCAAATCAAAAAATATTGTTGAAAAGATTGACTTTCATAGTAAGTTTATGTTAATGTTGATGATAAGCTTGGAAAATCTAGGTATAAGTTTACCATGCATAACAAGATTATCATTGGTATAAAATACATGTGATATGTAACTTATGAAGTAATTTGTGTGAAAGGACAAATAAATTTTAATATAATACATTGTAAATTCATAATATATGCTTTCTTTTTCTCGTTTTTAATTGCATGTCCTTTGAATTTAGCCATACTAACAATTTTGAGCCTGGAACCAAGGTTTCTACAATGCACACAATTTATTACTTTGTGTAGAATGAACGTCGGGAAATATGGATTATATAAATACTTGTAAAACATGTCCATACACTGTTGCAATGCATGAAATTATTGATTATTTTAGTGTGAGTATCAAACTTAGAGTAATTTAAGTTTGGGTGTTAAACCACCTTGCCAAAATAGGCTAGAGAAAAGGTACACTAGAAATCATTTCTTCATTTTATTCAAGATTAAGTTGCAGTTTTCGGTGGAAATTCTTAGCTAAAAGAATTCGTAGCCAACCGTAAGATTTTCTTTGGTTTTTTTTTGCAGCTGTTAAGGGAATCATGCAAGTGTCGAGATGAAAAGTTGTCGGACTATCTTTTGATTGACGTTATCAGACCAGCGTTATAAGACATGAAAGAAATATAGAAACGTTTGATGGAGCGTAAAAGTATGTTTTTGTGAATAAGCTGATGTCCTGATTCTTGTCTTTTGTTTTTATTTAAACTAATTTGATGTTTAAACTTTAAGTTTTCAGTCTAGTGTCTTTTTCACGAGTGATTTGGTGTTGAAACTTGAGTCCTTAAATATACTCCTGTCTAATGACTCTTTAACAATTATCTGAATTGTTCTATAGTCCCTATTGTAGTGTCTTCATCAAGATTGATCTAGTGTTAAAACTTGAGTTCTAACATACAGAAATGGCTAGGGTCTTCATCACGAGTGAAATGACATAATCTTCCTATAGAGACTGACTTGATTTTGAAACAAGAGCTTCATGGAAAAAAGGGATTATAATTTAAACAAACTCTAAACATTTTTATGAGTTTTTTAGTTGTTATCTTTTACAATGTAACTCTGTCATCATGAACGAAAGCATGCATGGGCTTCATGGAAAAAAGGGATTATCTACTTTTTTAATAATAGTTTTTACAAAATGGAAGAAATATTTTAAAATCAAAAATCGTCGTTTAAAGATTGTCTCTTGTTTCAAGAAAATATTTATTTGAAATATTTCTTCCATTTTTTACATACACTTGTTTTTGAAGTAATCAAACATTCCCTCATATAAAGTGTTAGCTTTTTATGTTAAAATGCAACGCATCGTTCAGCAGTAAGCAAAACGATTGTCGTAGATTGAATTTTGTGTCTGTTACTGAATGTGAACGTTTGCAGGTACGTAAGTTGTCAACGTTGTTTTTGTATTTTGTGTAGAAAAAATGAAAGACATTTATTTTAGGTGTTATTTTTTCAATAGATCTTGTTTGGTTGTTGGAATTTTACTATGGCTTCGAGTCTTCGACAAAAAGGTGACTTTTTACGTTGTGCTGTCAACATGTTTCATTTTAAATATGAACGCGGAAGTCTAGAAGAACGTTACATGGCTCAAAACTTAGGAAAAATACACAAAGTATTGTAGGCTTGCAAATCATGATGACGTAACGTATTTGTTGTGATAGTTTAACAGCGGTTCATTGAGTGATTGTCGTCAGGATAATAACGATTTTAAGGTTTTATAGAGCCATAACATGCATACGATTTACTAATTGACATTGAATACATTTCAACCGTTGATTTGTTTGATCGGTGAGGTTAAACAGTTAAACAATCTTAATGGTTAAACAATGTAGCTTTCTTGATCTAATTACGTTAAACATTGATAATATTAATTTTGAATTTCGAAAACAATTTCTTTAGTTCCATTTGATAGAAGTAAAGATATTTCAACATTTTCGGTTTTTAGCATATAACAATATCTTGACATCTTGAGGAAAACATGTTGATTGATTAGTCTTGAGTGGGAGCTTTGAATGGGCTATTAGTTCTGCGTCATTGGTTGTCATTGAGATTTTGAAAAGTTTCGAGTGCTAATTGAGGAGAAAGAAGATCATTTATACCGAACGAATGTAAAATGTTCATCGTTTTTGTAGACTGTGAGGTAAAGATAAGTTGGAAAACGGTCGATGAAAGGTGTTTCCACGAATTTATAAACTCTGGATTAGCACAAGATTTAATCCTTCGAGTCAGGCAGGTTTATTTGTGGCTTATATCGTATACAGTTTACTTATTGTTAAATTATTGTGCATTTATCTTTATAAATTAGCGTTCGAACCATTCTCTATTATTTTTTTGCTTTCCCGCTAGCATGTTAATGGTTCACGGAACGCCCAAAATTATCGCAACGCCCTTACTTATTGCTATAGATTCACGTGGGGATGGGAGGTTTCTGATGTGATGATCGCTGTGAAAACGAAAGCGAACAATCCACAAAGTTTATTTTGCTCCCACACTTTTGTCTATAAGCGCAGGCTATTTTTGGTATACATTAACTTGTTGAAATATACACAATTTATAGTCAACAGACGAAAATGGTGGATGTTATTGTGATCTATAAGTTTGTGTTTTTCTTAACTTTCTGTCTATGCGCTTTTCATAATTGGCGAAACATCTTTCTTTTTTTTTAAATAAATTAAGAACACACTACAGCATTGCTTCCAGCTGCTTTCTTTTAATTTCTGCCATTATCAGTTTTATTATTTTGGTCAAAAGTACTTGTTGTGGTCTCTCCATGAAAATTGAAAATAATGTTCGTGTTCGTCTTCAAACCGCGACGCCGGTTTTTCAGCAGTTGCCTTCGACATTTGCGTGAGAATGAGTTATTCATTGTCCGGAATCATCACTGGGAATCATGTGGTTCCTTGTATGGATTGGTTATATTGGCTCATCATTAGCTTTATTTCATTTATCCGTGACCAAAGATAAACACTTCATCACAGTTGGTTTTTGATTGTTTTAAATAGAAGTCGATCAAAACTGTGATGTGATCACCTGTTGTGTTGTGGGTTATATAAGCCTGGTTGATCTTCAATAGAAGAGCTTGGACTTTGACTGTGAAAAAGTTTTGACTACTTAAAAGTGTTCGAAGTAATTCTACAAAAGGTTTGTGGCAATTTCTGTAATACTTTTCCATGGTGTTCTTTTTTTACACTTTCAAAATCTTTGAGACCGTTCGTAATCTGTGCGCAAGTCATCAAAACATGCAACGCAGTTTTTGCTTTAGCTGTTTCCCTGCAGTTTGAGTATGAAAGACATATCACATTTTTTTATCTGCTAAAACCTTTACTGTAGTAGCCACGATAGACGTATAATATTGTTTATCCAAGTATAAATTTTCAATTATATTACGAGTTCTGCCTCATATTAGGTGTTTATGAACAAGCTACGTTTGATTCACCTTTCTGATAATGAACTGAATTCACATGTATATAGTTAATGTTAGATATAATGGGAAATATCCGAATATGTACATTGTAAGTGAGACATAATCGAGAAGAGTTTAGACTACCAACTGAACTGAAGTGTTGATGTAAACTATGCGTTTAGATATACATAAAGTTTGCGTAGTAGCTACGTAAACTTAATTTTGAATTTTCCGAGTTTCCTTGGAACGATTTTTTTTAAAAAAATTGTCATTGTGTTAATTTTATCATTGTATTGATTATATCAGTATATACACGTGTAGCTATTGCACTATTCTACATAAATGAAGGCAATTCATTAACCTAGTCCCACAGACGCATTCAAATCTTTCATTTTTGGTGATGGGTGTGGGAATAGAATCTGCTAGTATTTTCATCATTGAAATAATGATATCGTCTGTAAAATACTGACATCAACTGTTTGTTCTTGGATTAAAAATGGAATTGAAATACTTTAGCACATGACCTTCGTTGACCGTCAAAACTTTTTATTGAACTAGGGAGCTTTAACTTGGATGTATTCAGTGTATTAGCCTGGTAAAATATTGATTATGGAGACTCTATTTAGGATTAAAGCCATGCAGTAGTTGAGAGCGGAGAGAAGTCTGAAATACATTTGTTCATTCCTAAGCTTTGTGTATGAATTGTTTATAAATATGCTGACAAAGTTTGTGCGAAATAAATATATATAATGTTATGTTTGTGTTGATTTGTTTATTATAGAATGCCACTCGTAAGGTATTTATAACTGAAATTTATGACCAATTGTAACAAATATTTCCTGGTTTTTGTGTTTGTACTTTGCGTTGGATCCGGCACTACGTTTATGGCATGCTGCTGCTTTGCTTTTATTACTTTTGTTTCTACTTTTACGAAGACTCAATTATCTATGTATGATTATTCATTATCTCTGCCGTTATTCGAATTACGACATAAAATATTTTAAAACATGGTGTCTCTACCATTGTTCTAATTAATTGTACTACATCAAGTAATTTCAAATTATATAATCTTATGAAAGCAATACCTTCAAATATCGCATGTGTATTTTTACAATAGCGTGTATTAGTACATTAGTGTATATAGAAGGGCGCCCATAGAAGTATTTCTTATTTTTAATATTGTTATGGTGTTACGTTGTTCGCCGTTGCTTACGATCACAAATGTGATGGTATGAGATTCCATGAAAATGTTTTTAATCAAATTTATTTTTATTATTTTTACAATTTATTTTCTCAAAAGATTGTGCTAATACTATTATAAGCAATGTACAATATATAGATATTCTTCGGCAAACTCGCTATGCCCCAAGTTTCTTAGTGCGTGTATTGTTTCATAAATTACCAAGAATACCAAAAATCATGATGGTCATTATGAGTCTTATAAAAGAGCGAAATATATTTTTATAAACATATTTTATTTTTATTTACCTGGATTTATATTTTCATCATCTTTATGTGATATGATTTTTCATCATCTATTTGTGATGTGATTTTCGCTGTAGCAATTCTTATTTTGTCTTTATGGGTATTTATGTCACTATTATAATTAACATGCTTTCGTGTCCTTTTAACAAATGTGTATTAGTGTAAGAAATAATCAGCTTATCTTTTTGCAAAGCGTGCTATTTCCGTCCTTTATAAATAATGTGTGGTCAATACCGATGGTATAACGTCGTGTGGATTATTATGTTTGAACGATAATTTTCACTGATAACGAAGATTAAGCTTAAGCTAATATCACCCACTCATACTCTACTTCACCAACTCCTTGTTTAAAAGTGACTTAAAGTCTTCATTTGAGAACATCACTATTTTGCACTCATATGCTTTTGCATGTATCTACAAAAATTTAAGTCTTTTCGTATCAAAGCTGCCGTTACCTTGTAATATCAAAATGCACTTTGTCAGTGAAACATGTTTACATTGCTCTTTTATTTCGTCGTTGATATTTCTCGATAGAAAAGTTCATGTCTCCCGAGGAGTTAAGTGGAGATAACGGGTACAATGAAGCCTGCTTACACCGATAACTGTATATGTTGTAGGATAACTCAATGAATGTTCAACATGTGAATAGTTGCGTCTTTTGCACAACTCTAAAATGAAATTATGAATTCTTGACATCAATTGGGACTGCAAAATACTTCAATAATCAGAGCTTATTAAATTTTTAATTAGGTATATGATATTCGTTTGATGTAATTGTTGAGTTACATGAAAAAACAAATCTTACGGGTTATTTGTTGCATGTGTTAACTACATCATGAACGAATAGGATGTTTTTAAGTATGGTATGATCTCGTCGTTGAAAGGTCAATCGGCATTAAATATGGCTTATATTTAACCCAATGGTATCTCTTATGTCTGTTTGAAAGATTTGCTACATGTAGAGATTGCTAATATGACCGAGGTGATATTGCTGCTTAGTTTGATGTTTAAATTTGTTATGTTAGGAATGTTTAAAAATTTGGGAACTTAAGAAACTGCTGGCATGAGCTAGAGGCCGTGTTTGGTAAATTTTGAACGATTTTCCTAGTGTTTGATACACGCTGGTATTGATAGAAAAAATCTAGTTGCCAATTAAAGCAGAAAAACATTTCCTTCGTTAAAATTTGAGCAAATAAAGCCAAGTAAGTGCGTCTTTAGAGAGGAATCGTTTCCAAATGTAATACAGCAAAATATGTGTTTATGCTTGTGTTGTGGTTCATGTAACGTGTTCTGTTGAGTTTTGGTAAGTCTTCATTGGGATAGTTTTTCATTGTTCACGAAGCAATGATTAAAAGTTTCTTCCTTTTTGTCGTGGATTTATTGGATTTAGTAGAAAAAGCTTGTCCTTGTTGACACATCGCAAAGATTAAATCTATCTTAATCGTCCCCCTTCTGTTCAATACTCTTTTATCTCTGCTTGTACAAATAGTGCTTGCCTAATGACTTTAGTGTATTGTGTGTGAAGAAGTCATTGTTGTTATATCGGCGTGTTCGTCTTATTATATCATTCTATTTCTTGTACGAGCTCTTCAGATGTAAGTTCTTTGTTGTATCATGTTTTGTGCGATTTGGGGGTGTTATTATGCAGAATGAAACTGCTTGAGTGACGATCCAAAATTTAAACGAATATTAGCACACCAAATGGTATATATGTTGTAAAAAAGTGAGTTGGTATTTTATGTTATAGTCATGCTTCTCACATGTGTTAATGAATAATTCAATTGATTTCATATTGTTTGAGAATATATGTACTTTTATGTATGTCTAATTTTATTATACAAATATAATTTTAGAACTCTTCCCAGGTTTATACTTATCTGTATTTATTGACCGCTTTTCTGTTTTGGTATACACTTTTTATGACGTCAGGACTACGTGTTATTTTAAAAGGTTTCTATGCACAAATGACTTTGTAATTTTTAAATCGGCGCAGATTTTGACCTATATATGATTTATTTATTGACCGCTATGTCTGTTTATGTATACTTCTGTGACGACAAATCTATACACTTTACAAGCAGGTTTAGCCAAATGCACGATAAGGTACGAAAGTTGACAAGAATGTAAAGAGTTGTTTAGAAAGGAGCACATATGGTCGTTATATCATAAATTTCACATTTGTATGAGTACTTTACTTTATGTTTGCTTGTGATAAATTGATGCAATTCAATCAAACATTTCACTCCTGTTAAATGTGGCAAATTTTGTAGATCTGTTGATTTATTTTGTAATGATATAAAGGAAATATCAGTTCCAGCTTGTTTAAGTTATATTGCCATGATTCAGCATTGTTAGCTGTGTTGCTTTTCGTTCATATCATATCATTCAGACCGTAGAGAAACATTGGACCGTCAAAATCTTTCAATGCTTCACGCATTTGTCTCGTCAACGTAAGCTCTTTTTCCTTGTACATGCTACCCTGCTTGGCTAGATGATAGATGTTTATTGGATTTTATCGTTCGTGTGGCAAAAATTGGCATTCACCTTAAAATTTATTTTTTTGAACAACACTTCCTCTCATCTGGTTGGTTAAAGGATCATGATAGTTAATAGCTCTAACTTATATAGCAGCGCTAACTTATAAATAGATATTGATATTAATATTATGTTTGATGTCTCTCTACATTTTCAAAACATCAGAAGAGTTGGGGAATGGCATCATTTAGGATAGATATTATCACGTTTGCCTTATAGTTTAGTTTTAGTTCAAACTCGACTTTATAAGAAATTTTTCCTCTAGTCTGACAAATCTACATGTACACGTACGTACCAAGTTTTATGATAGGAGTTCAACCAGACCAACATTTTAAATATCAGTTGTTCAATTCAAAAAATCCCACTAGAAGTTCACCAAACGCTCATTGCTTTTTCACTGCCTTGGTATAAATTGTTGAAATATAATACATGAACGGATATGATACAAACTTAAACTTTAAAGAAGGTCTTCGTTTACTGCCCCGTTTTCAAAACCGGAATATGACAATGCGGATCGGAAGAAAAATTTAAACAAAACTAAAGGTGTCGCCTTTTATGGGTGTAAAATGATAGTTTTATTAGTTGTGGTCAGCACCGGGCACATCTCCAGTTAGCTACTTTTTATTCTCTTTTTTTTGAAAGTAATCATTTTACCGTATGATTTTATTGAATCAATGATACGTGTTTAAAATTTATGTCAGTATTATATTTTTGAATGACGTGTAATTGAAAATGTGGCTGATTTTCATTGCCTTTGGTTGTAATTAAACCAGCAATTCATAATCCATTGATAACTTTAATTATACAACCATATCTTATCTAAAAAACCTTGTAATCTACTGAAAGTAAAGACTTTTTGCTATATATTTGCTTCTTTCCGCACTTGCATGTCTAGATCAAGATATGTTTTGAACGTAATGAATACGTTTGAGGGAAAATTCGGCGTTTTGGAGTGTGCTTTCCGTTCCCCACCGTCACCGCACTGTGTGAACTACCGTTTTGATTGAGTTACACCAATATGAGCATGCGTATCTGCGGAAACTCTACGCTGTTTTTTACATGGCATAAATGAGAAACACTGAAGCTTGTGCAGAAATTGACTGCGAAAATGTCGCCTCCTTGTTGAGATTGTAAAGACAGGATGCTAGTTGATTGAAAGCATTAAAAATAATGTCGTTTATCATTGAGGAAAAAAGGGGGGTGTTTTTAAATGCGACTATCGCTCCGGTATATATAAATACAAAGATATGTTAATGTTCAACTTAAACAAAATCGCGCTATATAATGACAGTAACACATGTTTTTGTATAGTGGTTCATGACTATGTTGTTTTTGAAACGATTATGTTTTTCTCTCATGCGACGTCGAAAGGTTTTTGTAATTTATTGCCGACCACCTACTTTCATCGACTGTTGTTTAAAGGAGTTTATTAGTTCCGGAGGGAAGAACCACCTGTCAATTTTTATGCCTATATGACACATCAATTACTCGTCAACGAATTAGTAGCATCTTGCAAATGGTTTTTGAAGGACATGCGAAACATATTGGTGGTTAGTTTAACTAGTGAACTATAGTTATATGGTTTGGGAGTGGACATCGCTTGTAGTTAAGGTTTGATTTTGTACCAATACATAAAAGTCATAGAATCTTCGATCCTATAAACTAAATATAGTCTTTCCATTTATCTGTATAGTGTTATTTGCTTTTGTCAATAATGTGTTTGATTATACTTTTTATATTGATAAATATTTTATAATTAACTTTAATTCAAATTATATCATTTATTATTGATTTTTGCGTTTCAATGCTTAGAACAAAGCACTTTTTGTGTTAGCGTAAAGTGTGATGTGTAGTGTTCAATGTATTTTATGTTCGTGTAAAGTATGATGTGTCGTGTTCAATATATTTTATATTCGAGTGAAGTGTCATGTGTAGTATTCAATGTATATACATATAAATTTCCCCTTTTTTTGTCGAAAAATCTAGCCAAGTATACTGTTACTTAAAGTGCTATCCAAGTAATTCTTTTCTATCACACTAGATCGTTTGTAGAAAATTCACTGATTTTTACATTGTTTTATTGTTTGTTTACATTGTTTTTATACATGTGCATTTGTATGAATTAGAGGTGTATTTATTCTTAAAACGGAGTACTAAGACATAGGTGCCCTAGCTTGTTGGCCTGACTGACTACAATGAAGTTTCAGCTAATTTCATTGATGATTGGCAACATGTTGAAAGATGGCGACTCACTCAAAAGCGAGGAAAAATTTAATAAGCTTCAATCGCAACGTGTCGCATGGTATTGGTAATTGTTAAAATAGTGTTCCGTCAAATTTGATTATTTCTACATTGGATAGTAATATGAGTTGTCGGCGTGTTTTGGAGGGAATTTCTTTAACACACCATGACAAATGGTTATTCACACGATGTGTTTCTTAGTTTTATGGATTTTTTATTCAATCAACTATGATGAATTTTTCTACCGGACACCCTTTAATTAATAAGCTTTTGTATTTAGCCGATATTTTGATTTTTTACTTGTTTATTGAGTCTGTTATATCATCAAATACCTATCACTGAATATATTTGATTGTTTCTTCAAATATTCTACAGCACAACGATAGCACAATAATAGCCTTGTATTTTGTCAACTCGTAAATCGTAGCGTTGAAAATTTTGTGCGTAACTCTCTCTTCGAAAACTTCGTTTTCTAGATATCTGACAATTCTAATCAAATCATCCTAATGTATGTTTTATTTGTCTGCTTTGAACCGCATCCGTAATATACTGCCTCGTTTATTGTTTTTTAAACCGTCATTCATCTCCTATTGTTTTGTATTTTCAAAGGGATGGCTACATCATTACGATAATAATTCTGAATACATTTGGTGTATATGTGCGCGTTTTTTGCCTAAATTGCGCTTTAAAAGTAATCAGATATAATTACCACGTTCCGGACAGTTTGTTTCGTTTGCGTTTTATTTTTGCCTGTAATTATCTCGACATGGAGTTACTTCGCTACGTGAGCCTATGGGTTTTTTTAGTTTCCAACATTCTGGCTTCTTGTAATTAACGTTTAATGCACGAATCATTGTGAATTAAAATTCCTGTAGTTGCTGTTATACAAAGTAATTATGTATTTTATGTTTTGACAAATTACACTATTCTGCAGACACTCTATGTTTTTTCCTACTGTAACTTGACGTATCATTCAGCATCCATTCACTACGATTACCATGACCAGGTTACATGTTGACCAGTTTGAATTTTTCTCTTTTAGAGATGGGACTTCTCTGGTCGATTTTTATTACGTTTCAAATGTCTTTTGCTCTGCTGTCGGAACGCTTTTACGTTAAATGTGATGTTCGCACAGCTGAAAAACATTGGAGTTTTTTCAAATATCCATTCCACCATCCGACGAACCGAAAAAAAGTTGCACTTATGTGTCACAATAAGAATTATCTTGTTCTCATGAATGGGAAGCTGAAGGGAAGTGTTGATCCGAAGATTATCAGAAAATACGGTGAGATTTTGTTCAATCCGTGTTTTTGCTTCGAAAATTGCATGAAGAAGGCTTACGTTTTGTTGACGCAGATCAACTCTGTGGGCGTGGTCATGACGTCACCTTGATTGAAACGATTGCTGGAGCCAATCTGTGTATATGCCGAAGCGTACACCCATGAAAAAAATAGCGTTTATCTCACAACTGCAATCACGCATGTACACCGTGAATTTCAAACACACAATGTGTTTTAATTTTTGCAGTTCGAAGGTTCATCGATACCAGAATAAATTCGTTCGCTGTGTGTTTGGTGCGCAAATATTTGTATCATTTCCAACGGCCACTTGCTGCAGTCGCTAAATCTTTCCGTCTGCATTATTTCTACCTCTGCTGCGAAGCGTTTAACTGAAATAAGCCTATTTACTTTGGAATGATAATACCTAAAACGAATTTAAAGAAAGTGTTTTGTGATGTTTGTGTTAATATAGCACACTATAAATTGAAATGATGTAGTTTTTCTTGCAGGCTGCAAGCCAGAGCGAAGTACAGCATTTTATGAAATAAAAACTAGATTTCACGCTTTTTGTCTTCAGAATGCGTATATTATGCAAATATAAACCAATTATGAATAAATTCCCACGTTGAAGACGATCTTGTCTTACTCAATTGGTTTTTATACAACTCAAATCGCACAAATTCAAAAAGGCTTAATTTTCACTACCTCGGTGTTTATTGAAGACAATTGATCCATAGGTAAGTTATATACAGCATTTGTAATTGGCAACACTGAAATAAAAATTTAAGGTACATTTTCAAGCGTTTTGTAATAAGACTTGTAATCTGCGCTTATAATTTATGATTTTTTTACAATGTTTATGAAATTTAACATTTTCAATAGCAGTTAACACAACGGTCTAAATTCACCAGTTCTCCTCACACTGTGCAATATGCAGGAGTGTAGGGCGATTCACTGATGATAAACGTAGGGTTCTGAGGTTGAAAGAAATTGTATGAGAAGCTACGACATACTTCACCGTTATAAGTATTTTAAAAAAGCATTGCTTTGTCTTTGATGGCATTATGGCAACGTTAACCTGTTTTTCTTAACAGACTTATGATAGTAAGTTGCTTGCCGAGCTAGGATACTTCAAATAAATTGTGCAATTAGCTTTCTCACGCTCTAACACGCTAAGGGTGCTTGAAATTAGAGAGACAGTCTGTTTGCGCGCAGTTGGTCTGTCGTTATGTTTTCGCCAGGATGGTTTTTTAAATTTCGGCATAACACTAAGCGCACAGTTTGAACGAACAATCGGTCATCAAAGCAAGAATGTTTACATAACGAAACGAGATAATCTTGTTGCCTCATTAAATTGTCTACCTCGGCAAGCAGCGTGACGTTTCATGTAAAATATATCAATAAGCAGATTGGAGTCACCCTTGTATTCCAGTTGGACATCAATTTATATATGTGTATTTTTTCAAAGTTATACATAAGAATATAAATTTACGTTGTAAGCTGTTCTGAGTGTATAAAATAGTTGACTCTTGGAAATATTTCTGCGCAAATTAGCAAAACCAGAACGTATGCTCAATTACTTTGGCATGCATTCATTGGTTAAAAAATATGCATGGCGCATCTTCCAGTGTTTTCCATATGTGTAATGAAGAATATAACTGGGCGATCTTCTATTATTACTTTATCCTGCGGTAAAATTGTCATGTGGATTTTATTATTTAATTAATCAGGTTGTATTGATGATTTCGATGTTTTCATCTTAAAAAATTTCATGTTTCTATGATTCTGATGGAATTTCATGAAATTTCAATTCATACAAATTTATTATATACACGTAATTGTAAAAGTTTTCGAGAACTAAATTTTACGTTGATCATCGTGGAAAAATAATCGAAAACTAACTCGATGAAAAGACAAAAGAGTCGCTTTATAACATAGGAAAACAGCACGACATTCTGCAATTCTCGTGTTTACAAACGGAATTAGCTGAAATTTAATGTGTTTTTGATCGGATTATCAGTCATGGCTCTGTTGGAAAAACCTTAGCATGCCTCCTATGGTTCCGACGAGATCCCATTTTAGTTTTTTTCATACAATATGCGAGCGTTTTATTTTTGGAATATTTGCCCAGTATGTGTGCCGATTAATGGCGAGACCTGGGATTGAGCACTCAGAAAAACGCTGTTTGATTGACTTCTTAAAGATGTAGTTATTTTATTTTTACTGTATACATGTCACCACGAAAGTTTACCTGACTGATTTGTACACTTACAATTTCAACTTGAACGCATTTCTTCTTCGTCATCACCTTCTGATTCAATGTTTCAACTGTCATAGGTAAATTTGAATTACAGACTTTTGGAGTTGGTAAAGTCAGAATATTCAATGTAAGAGGGAAAAAATTCGTTGCTGTTGACAAGAAGGGTCGTGCATACATCACTGTAAGACATTTATTCATTTTAATCTTTGGATTTCACCTTTTTACTTGGTTCATTTTTTCAAGTATCTTTTATCGCTTTTATAGCGCAATAATACGTTGGACGCACTCTTTGTGACGACACAGAAAAACAGTTTATTCGTCACGTACCATTCTTACAAGCACAAGACACATACGTTAAACGGGAGTCAAAAATGGTATTTAGCAATTAAAAAAGACGGGCGTTTAAAAAGACCCTCGAAAACACATTTGAGACAACGCTCAACGGAATTTCTTCAACGGGATTGGAGAAAATACAAACAGCAGTTAACTGGTTCGTTCCAAAAGTAAAAAACTGTGGTAAACAGTGGTAAAATTTACTGATCAAATAACTGGTGCTTTAGGTAGATAGCACTAGTGAAATTCTATTGAAAGTCATTATGATCCTATCATCTTAATCCAAAAACTATAAACACTGTCATACTATTTTGATCGAGCATGTTGAGGCGCTAACTTATAAATTTTCTCTCAGTGTAGCCGTATTTTGTAATCCCTTGGACAAGTGGTTTTATATATGTATATGTGTCTTTTCAAACGTTTTTTGAAACGTTTCTGAACAATTATGGAAAACCTCACTATATGAGTTGTACACTTTGTGGCGTGTATCATATATAAGTGTATATAATTTATATAATTTGTAGACGACGCGTTAACACGAAACGATGACAGTTAATTTTATTTTAAATTTACTCGTGCAATTTACGTACAATTTGACTTGCTAAGCCCAGTGATACAAGAAAGTGTACATCAATCAAGCTGTAAATTCTCCTTTATGATTCTTCAACAGTGCATGATTTAAATTGGAAAGCATTTATTTAAACGATTCATCGTTAATAAGTTTAGGATTTTTAAGTGTAATCATGAAGTCAACTTTCTATTCTGATTGGTTGCGTTTCACGAAACGTACGAAATCTGAAGAAAGTTTTTATTTATTGTATGGTTGAAGTTTGCGATTGGTACTGTAATGGAATTGGTTTTCAACCCAACATAATTTGATGTTAAGCTAACGAAACTTTCGAATAGAAGATTTTACAAAAACAGTTTTAATAGACTTCTATGTATGCACCAAGTCCAACTGTCCAAGACATAAATTTGACCCAGAAACAGAAAAGATGCTTAGTTTATGCTTGTGGTAAGTACTGTCTCGTGTTACTAAGCAAACCTTGATTTACCTTACATAATCAAACCAAGTTAACCATCCAAGTCATTTGAATCGTCATCTTAATTTATTGCAATCATTTTTCTCATAGGTATGTTAAGTGAGAATAAGTGTAAAGATCTTGAGCTATTTGTGAACCAGAAGCAAAGAATGCTTATGATGGTCAACAGTTGCATCTTCACTGGCTAAAGGTATGACCTAAATGCTTCTCTACTGACAAAAATATCATTACTCTGCTCTTTAACATCAAGCGTAGCCAAGTTGTCATAATGTACTTTATCATCAAGAGTATCATCCTTGTCATTAAGTGTTACATTTACCCTCTAGTATCAAATGTATATACTTTGTCAAACCTATTGTACTCTACAATAAAGTATTGCTATTTAGTGATACCGTACTCTACCATCATGTATAGCTATTTTTCCATATTATACTATACCATCAATTCTGGTACAAAATGGACTCAAATTAGACACTTGTTCTTACTCCAACTCAGCATACACAACAGCAGCAAACAAGTAAAACTTCAGATCATGCAAATTCAGTTACAACTACAACTGCAGTTACATCATGAACAGCAACATATACTTTGAGAAATCATAGCAAGAAAAACTAGGCAAATTAATTTTCGATAAAAGGCTCTACAATATATATCATTACTGTGGATATTTTACTGGATTATACATCATGAGTGTTCTGTTTCATCTTCAAAATATACATGGTGAAGGACAAATCGACAAAAATCTGTTGACTGCCAATAAGAATAATGAGAGGTGACCACTGACCAATATTGAGATTTGTTATCGCTCAAAATGAAGTCAATCCTTGGCAAAACTGAAATATAAAAAAACAAGCCTACATAAGGCCAATGTTCAACCTGGAGTCGGGAAAAGAATAGAACAATGGAGATTTCTAAAAAGGGGAAGAAAAGTAGAGGGCAGCAACCTATGAGATGGTAAAAGCGATAATAGAAACCACTTCCTAACCTCCTGTAATGACAAGGAGTAGACAAAAACAAATGAAACGTTGGTGTGAAAATATTATTTATGTTCGATTTAAAACATTGTGTAATTGTCATATTCACCACATTCGGTTTTCTCATTTGATTCCAGCTTTAGAGAGAAGAAACACCTTACAGCATAGATCTGATTCATCTCTATTCTTTTAAAATACCTTTTTTTAGTTTTTTTGATGCAGTATTATCATCTTTTCCATCTAGTAGGTCTTTATTGGGAGAATTTTTATCATTGGTTTTATTTCGTGAAAATATGCTTGAAAACCATCCACTTTTTGAGGCTTCTGTGACTGCCTTCGCATCAGAATCAACGAAGTCAGTGTCTTCGGCGTCTCTTGCGCCACCCTGGTTATCTCCACCAACGTAGCTGCCAAATAGCGCATACACAAGCCAATTTCCCGAGGCCAAGCTTTTGTCAGGCAGCAGGGGTCCTTCTGGGCTATCATACGAGTAGTTGGCATCAATGTGACTTTTTATATGGACAGGTTCAATATTTGAATAGCGTTCACAAAACAACGGCTCTAATCGATATGCCTAAGAATGTGAGTTCAATGCTCTAAGCCGTGATTTTTTTTATGATTTTAATAGCATATTATCTTACCACTGGATCGCATTGGTCGTAAATATTGAACCATCTCCCGCAGACAATATGTGGCAATACTTCATTTTTAGTATCTTTGCTGGGACGAAAACCACGTAAAGAAAAAAATACTGCTAACGGTGAGCCAATCATGAAGAGGTATGTTACCTAGAGGGAACACGTTCAGTCAAAACTGATGAATTTGGCAGTAACCAAATTTAATAACTACGAAACTCTAACAGTTAAGAATTGGTTTATGCGTTAAGTGACATTATGTACCAGGATTAAAAATTTTTGTAATTTAACAATCATGTCGTTATGTATAAAACATACTTTAAATTGCAATGATTCGTTGGTGTTCTCATTTTGCTGCATCGTTTGTGCTAGCTCATCATCAATTGGATTGTCTGTTTTATAGTGTGACAACAAGCCGTCGTTCAATTCCGATGAACAGTGGGGATAAACCGTATTCAAGCTGTTTTGAGGATACGTTTTGAAGTTACATAGTTTTGATTCCCATTCCCTAAGAATATCGTGGACAATGACACTTCCTAGAGAGTGAGCAATAATGGACACCTTTCCATTTACACGAAAGCTCGGTTGGCGTGAGAGGAACAGTTTGTACAGACGGTTGAGCTCGTCTTTCACGAACAAGATCATCTAAAAGATATAGAGCCTTCATTTAAGGAATATTTAAGACAAATGATGATCCCCAAACGAGTCGGTACAACAAATGATTGTTGAGAGGTTTTGGTAATACAATTATCATTTATCTGAATTGGCTAACTGCTATTGTGCTTTCACGAAATCAAGGAATGTCTGATGTTTAAAACTTTAACATGCAGCACCCCAGTCCCGTGTTTTCATCAGGAATGATGTGAATTAAAAACTTGTGTCCTAGTTTAACCACCACCCCCCTACACATTCATCTTTAGTCCTCAAAATCTCAAGTTAGGTGTCTTCCTCAGGAATGATACAATGCTAAATCATGTATCTTTATACATTCCAGTCGCTTAAAGAGTGACTTGACACATTTTACGTGAATATTGATAGAAATTAGTGAAGTATGTGTTGATCAAATGTTGGCTAGTATTATATACTCCAGTCTAAACTTTCCCTCTTAATCTGGCGTTAAATATAAGTTTAACAGAAAATTTTGCCTTCTACTTTCCGTACCTCTTCACGATAAACTGAGCTGCTGTAATACATCACATCCATCATGGTGGTATTGAGGACGTTGCGCAGATCTCTCATACTATGAGGAGTGACAAGATTGATAACTCCTCCGTCTAACTTGAGCGAGGAACGCCACTCTACCGGAACAAACTCAACACGACCTTTGCTATTCTTTTCATTGAAATACTTTTCAGCAATCGTTTTTGATGTTCTGCGCAACCTATTGTGATAAACATACAAATTTTTTGAATTTACGAAGTTGGAGTGCTGGCAGAGAGTGAAGGAAGTTGATCAACGTTCTTCTATAACACAAACGAACTTTTTGGTATTAATTGCATGTAGCCATATGGCACTTTTAAAACACTACCAATTGCTTAGCAGTCATTTCAAAACAATGAAAACACAGTGTACACTGGAAATATTTCCCAACAAAATCTATTCTCAATGGATACCACAATAAAAACCTTTGCAGATATCAAATTGATGACACAAATGATGGATTGTTGGTAAAATATGGGACGATAAACAATGAAATGACTGAAGAAGAATATAAAATTTACAAATGCTACCTACACCTGACAACTTTTATTTATTGAATTAAATACAAGTTGACCAGCACCATGTATTACGAAGATAAGATGCGTAACATCAGCAGGAGCATCAGTTTCAACACACTTAGTATGATAGCCACGATGCAGTGGTTCCCCAGTTGAGCCCCCTATCTTTTGTACCACTCCACGAATTAGTGTAGACTTTACGCCTTCACTGTGTAACCATACTTCATTTAAGTCTGTCCACTCAATGTAGCATCCTGATAGTTGAAGCCTGCATAAAACTGATGGAAATGTTTATTCATTAGATTGTATTTGAATGTTATGAGCTGCACTTTGTTGATGTAGAATTGTTTTCTTGGGCTCAGACATGTAAAATGTTTGAAGCACAAATGACCATTGGAAATTTAATCTCCAATTATCAAAACAAATGCCACAGATGTACATATTACAATGATTACAATATACTTAAAATGAAGTTTGCATATTCATTTTGACAACGCAAATGTGCTGGCATAATACCTAAAGTGCTCAGAAATCTTAAGCATTGATAATCTCTGGATAATTATGCATTGACGTTTAAATTTTATATTTACCACTTTTGATTTCTGGATTTATAGTGGTTGTAGGTTCTTTGTTTTCATTCACTTTGTGCATGCCAGGTGTTATTCCCTTCAACATGAAAATTAAATGGATACAATACATAATAATGATGGTTATACAACCCTGTCTCTTCAAATAACTTACAATTGATTTCCACAACATTTGATGGGAATCTTCAATTTTAAGGCTTTCCTCTTCACTAATTGGAGTCCATTTTGTCTCAGAAATAGAGCCTTTGAACCATGTTCCTCGGCATATTTTCAAAGGATCACCTGCAAAATTATTTAAAAATTGCTAAAACCTTTGCAAAGGAAATTCATAACATACATCAAAACCTATTTATTCTATATCGACAACACCACACCTTTCCAATATACTGGCTCGCAAATACGTTTGACGACATCAGCATCGTATAAACCACCCAAAACAGAACACAATTCATAAACATCTGGTAACATTTTTTTGTCATTTTTCTGCATCGGCAAACGTCGAAAACAGTGTTCAATGCGAAGAGAATCGCGACCACAAAACGGCGACCATTTTTTATTTTCAAAAAAAACCATCTGACTCGTTCTGGACATACCTCGGAAAGTGCTTCGAGATGCTTAAGTAGTGACGCAGGTGTAGTTCTTTGGCTTGTCTTTGTTGTTTTTGATGATAAAATTTCCATGGATCAAAAGGGTTCGTCAATCAATGATTACTGATGATAAACCTTGTCAAACTATCACATTTGGCATGTGATCACTTACCACGTACCAAAAATATAAACATTGTATATACATTATATTTTTCAACAAATCATTCTTTCTAGATCTTCCATGTAATGTAGTATAAAATCAAATTAATCCAAAAGTACTATATATAATATATTAACTATAACTATGTTGACATTTTTTATTTTGGATAAAGCGTGATGTAAGGCTTCATATTGTGCTTATTTTATCAAAAGCGTCATGTAAGAGCTCATGTAAGAGCTAAGAACGATCGTTTGTTTTGTACATGTATTTATTTTGTAGATGCATTTAAATTGCGACTAAGAATTCACTTGCTTTTTCTCTGTTGTCGTTAAATGATTAGTTATATCTTTTCAACATGACGCAACGACAACTTAGTCATTCCCCAATCAAAGTGGCACCTGTAGGATAAGTTTTGTTTTGTCCAAATTTAGCTAATTGACTGAAAGAACAGGTTAGATTTACAAACAAAATCCTAATGGCTACTTAAATAGATCAATTTCCCTTCAAAAAATTTATGGAAACCAGTGTGGTGGACAAATAGCTTGGTCTTTATCACAGTCTTCATTTTGTGGAACAAGAATTTCCCTCTATTTCGTAAATCCTGGGCTTCATCTAACTGGTATGAAAAATGTCAGATGGAAATTTAGAGACGTATTCTGATTTAGAAAAAATAAAGGACTTTGATCATCATAACAAAAAATCAGATTGCTCAAAACCTGAGGAAATGAGTTTGAGTAAATCACGTGTTTTCTTTCTTAACGTTTCGTGGTTTGGTCTGAATGCCATGTATTTAGTTTTATCTATTGAGGTATTTCCAAGTCAAGTGCACGCTCTGGTTGGCTCTGAAGACAAGGGACAAGTATTGGGCGCTATGATTGCACTTGGAGCCGTTGTGACGTTTTTTGTTAGTCCGTTGATTGGAATGAGTAGTGACCGTCTACTTTTCAAATACGGGCGACGTAGACCCTTCATGGTTGTTGGCATGACATTGCTTGTAATTGCATTGTATGGAATGGCGTTCAGTGCGCCGAATGTCGAAAATGAAAAAGGCAACTCGACTTGCTTCATGGAACTTGAAACAAAGAGATGTTTGCCTTATTTGAATCTTACACAACTGGAAGAGGAAGAGCGCAATAACAGTATCGAGGTTGAATTTCTTTTGAATATTTTATCTCAAAAAGACACCGAGGGCAACCTAGTGACCTATGTGCTATTTTACAGCATAGTCATGGCATGTTATGCATTGGTAAGCGTTCCTTACAATGGCTTGATTGCTGACCTAACTCCACCTTTACAACGTGGGCTCAGTTCTGGAGTTATGGGTGCTATGACGTTGGCTGGAAATATAACAGGCGCTGCTATTGGCCTGTTTTTTTTCCGTCTAGGTGTAGTAGGAATCTATTCTTTGGTTTGTTGTCTGTTCGTTGTTTGTGTGTTGATAACGGTATTTTGTAGTTCGGAATCTCCTCTTTTAGAAAAACCAGAACACTTAGGTTTTAAAGGGTTGTTTCTTGCATACTGGGAGCCTTTAAGAGACGCTGACTTCAGATGGGTTTTCTTGACAAGATTTCTGATGCAACAAGGTGTTGCTACAGTAACGGGATTCTTGGAATTTTGGTTAAACGATATGGTTCGTTTACCTCATTGTTGGTCACCTGAACGATCAGTTTCATTGATCTTGCTACCTTTACTGCTTGCTGCTGCTGGAATTTCGATAGTTGCTGGTTTTCTATCGGACGCGTTGCAGAGAAGGAAGCCATTGGTAATTGGTTCGGCTATTCTTATGGCGATATGCGCGCTTATTTTTGCTTTCCTTAAAGGAAAGTACACTTTCTATGCCTCAATTCCTGTTGCTGTTGCGTTTGGTGTAGGATTTGGTGCATACTGTGCAATAGATTTTGCTCTGGTCATGGACGTTCTACCCAAAAATAAGGACAAAGCGAAAGATCTTGCGGTTTGGCATCAGGCTCTCGTGTTACCGCAAGCGATTGCCACACCCATTGGTGGTATAATTTTGGACGAGTTTGAAAGATATAACTGCCATCTAGGTCTTGGATACATTATACTATTTACTGTCACTTCATTTTATTTTGCGCTAAGTGGGATTTTTGTTGTTAAGATAAAAAAAGCCAAGTAAAATAGACTTGGCTTTCAAAAGATTCTAGCACAATTTTGATACGATTTTGTACTAAAATCTAATAAATGTTGAGAGAACATGGAGTATTTTAATTAAATAACAGAATTACTACCTTATCCCTTCTTAGATTTTCTGTTTGTTTTGCTTGAGAAAAAACATGGAGCTGACTTTTTTGTCCGCGTTGAACGATAAACGATAGCTAAAAATATTATGTTGTGATGAAGACGTAATGAGCGTTATATAGCCTTCATCACCTACTGGAGAGGTGAAAGCTGTTGATTTGGACTAAGCTGTACATTAGTCTGGACTTTAGACAAGGATTTATGCTAGATAGTACATACCAAAATCAATTCGGGGGCTATCATAGTTTGATTAGAATTAGTGATATGTCATCTTTGATAGCAAAAGTTTTGTCTTTTCTCTTCATATTCATAACGTACATGACATTCACAACTTTTTGAAATGAAATAATTTTGTCACTAACTTAATTAATACGAGTTAGCGTGTATTGAATGATTTCATTCAATCACTGCAATCCAGCCCAATCTTTTCAAGTGTCTTCTTACAATTTAAAACGAATATTAATTGATTCCATGAAATGATGGAAGTCTGCACGATTATCATCAACTTTCGAGTAATTAATTTTTTCAAGCGTTCGTGGTCTTCCTTCCACAATATATCAACAGGAAACAACAGTAAACATACACTTGAGCGATCTCTGCCCAACGACATTGATATTATTTAACATAATACATATAGGACCTTGTGGTTGAAATTTATGCTTGACGAGCAATATATTTATGTAATCATTCTTTGTAATTGCAACCAGAAATACCCATATCTTTCAATTGGGTATATTTCATTTTAGCTCTCAACTCAATTGTTGTTTGCGGTGTAACCGCAGAAATTATTACATCATCGATGCTCATAAAAAAGGTATGTGTATAACATTGTCATTATGTTCAAGTGGTTTACATCAAGTCTCACATTAAACAATTTGCAATTGAAGTTTCGACAATGACAAAAACACGCTTTAACCGATGGTCGTGATAAATTGATTGTGAATAAAATGCCGAAGGCTAGTTCGGAATACAACACAAAGGCCAAAGCCCAGTTAAAAAAATGTCCTTAAAGAAACGTGCGTGCTTAAAACCACAAATATGCACTATCATCACTTGATTATTATTACTGCTGCAAATTATGTCGGGTTGGTTTGGAAAAATATCTCATCATCTATATGTAAAATCATCGCTGAATCTATCGCATATCTTATCATGTTTATAAAATATACTCAACCTATTTGAAATATTTATAATGTACAAATATTATTCTTATTGACGTCTCTTGCATATTTGCCAGATATATGAATGCAACAGTGTTGATTAATGACATGACGTTAAACATGGACCAATCAGAACAAAGCTGCTTTACTGCTGTGGTAACCTTTACGACGCAAGGCTATTTGCTTCAACCTATACTCTGAAATTTGGCGAACTATTTTGTTTATTACTAAACATGAGCTCCAGAAAGAAAACAAGACGACCAAGGTAACTTTCGGCTACATTATATCGCTTTTAAATATCAAACAACCGGTGCGTATTAAACATAATTGGCGACATTAGGCATTGTTGTTTGAGACCTTTCTCCTTCGCGATGCAGGCAGGGCTTAGCTGTACATAAAATACCCTTCCTTATCGCTTTTGGTGGTTGAATTAGTTCTTCTACAACTTCTTTAATATTTCAATGGTTTATGTTGTGCTTCTATGTATGAAATTTTAAAAAACGTGATATATACGAGAGAATAAACTGAAATGTTTTGTCTGCTGGGTCGTCGCGTCTATATTTTAACATCGCAATCGTCTTTGATACTTCTTCAATTTGTATGTTTTTTGTTTCTATTGCCCCCTGTTACATGTGATATCGATAAATAAACGTTTCTTGTATGATTTTTTGAATTCATAAAGCCAAATGGAAATCAGAGCTATCGATTTTACTCGTTGAACATTGAAGAAGACTGAGATAAAAATCACATACAAAATTTCCCCGGGGAATTCAGGCTGCCTACACAGCAGTAAGGCGCGTTGTACGCGTTGTTTTGCTGATTGTATGGGGTTAAACAAAGCAGCTCACAGTTTATTAACATCCCTATATATAAAATTTAAGAACTTCATAGTTTCTTTTGTGACAAGTATTTTTTCAATATTGTTGTCACTTGCCGTATTAACGGCTTTGTGTATAAGCGTATGCCATGCGCCATTTCTGGTTTCTTATATATTGTCTTTTGCGTGGTTATGTGGATAATTCTTGTGTTGTATTATGCTTCCTTCATATCACTTCTCCGCCTACATGAATATTTTGAAAAATCTCTGTATTTTGTACTGTACAACAACAATTGAATTTCTGTGTTCAACGGGTATAATTTAATGCTATGTCGTATAAGACAAAAACATCTTGGCTTTAACTAATTTGACAGGAAAACGATACTCGAATTAAATTTTGTGCGTTGTAAAATATCCTTGAATGTCACAATTTTTGTTAGAATTGCAATTTATGATTTTTAGCTTTAATTGTAACAACAAATTGAACGTTCCACTTAAGAATAGTTACCTGTTATAAATGTCGGAGATTTGGCATGCTTTCGTGTAGTTTTGCGACACTTGACATTTTCGAATCATACCTCCATAAGCCCTACCAAATGTAAGTGCTACTGTATTCGATTAGACGTTGGAAGCCAAATGTTTAGACATGTCTGTCAAGAAGATATCTCAACAAGTATCTTTCTCATTGCGTTATATAAAAGATGTTGAGAGGAATCGATGTACTTTGACCTGAAGTCAGTTTTCGTTTCTCGCGTCTCCAAATTGTTGTTTTGCATAATGATTGTATTGACTAAGAAATACAGATTTTTTCCTAGATGGGAAAGTGTTGCTCTCAGTGCTGGAATTGTGATAAGCTTTTGCTACTACCATATCTTGTAGCGAATAGAGCACTATTACTAAATGTTCTGGTGTGAACGATTGGCAGCGAAAATATTTCGACTCTAATATCAATTACATTTAGGCATCGATTTCCAATTCTGCTTCTGTTCACTACCATTGAAATTAATCGACCATTTGTAAAAGATAACTAAGTGATTTTGGCACAGGTATAATCGTTCGAAATGTGTGATGTTGACTTCCTTCGAAATATACATTTCTACTCGGTTTTCTAAACTAGGGTACGAAGGAAGCTGTGCATTGCTTCGTTATGTAACGTTGTCTTTGCTCGTTTTATGACATCATTATACCTTACTTCTTGGTCTTCTAAAAAATTTTGTAACATTAAATTTGTCTCTTCATCTCACTCTCAATATATTTAATTGACGTGTTACGGTGCAATCGGACGGTCATAAGCAAAACTTAAGTCAATTTCTATTTATCGATTATCTATTTCGGCGGTTTCCTTATGAAACTAAACAATGGCATGTGCGTTTGATTAAATCTAGGAAAGCGATATATCTACCTATGGTGGTGTTTACGTGTAATTTTTGTTTCTACCGTGTGAAAAATTTTTTTATGGATAGTAATTTGTTATTTATAAAAAAATGTGACTTTTAGACTTCCGCTATGTCGCGCTCCATTTACATTTAGTTTTTCATGATTATTTCTGCACGCGTTCGACGAATAACGTTATCTATGTAACTATGGACATCAGCAATACATATTATAAAATTTAATTGATTTAATTTATCATCACATAAACAAAAAGTTCTTTATTAAAGACAAAATAATGAAGAGTCCCCATCCGTTTGGCATTCTCGTTATTGTTTTTCATGATCATTAAATGTAACAAATTACACCCTTGCTCTTTGAGTTTGTTTAAAGTTTGCCGCAAGAAATGGCTCACTAAAGTTGAACGTCTTTATAGAAATCAAAAATTTTTTTGATGACCTTGCTATTGACATGCTTGGTGTGTAATAAATCCTTATAGTTTTCAATGCATGTTCATTCTTTTAAAAATATTTCAACAACAATCAAAATTTGTTTTTCACATGTTGTGGGTCCACCGATTACAGAAATATTTGCATAGCACGACTAAATAAACGGGCTCGTTGCGTCACCGATTTATTTTGGAAAAATTAGTAAAGAATAGAACGCTGGCAGTGTAAACATTTTCTATCGTTCATAGTCATTTTTAACCTTTAACTCCATTATAATATGAACGAAACACTTTCCACTTGGTGAAGGGAGGTATAATCACATTATTTTTTGATATTTGTTTTGTCGAGAAAGGGCTGAGGCAGTACCTTAATGATATCGAGTGTTTTTTGTGGGTGAAGGTTGAAACAGTACTTTAGTATTGTGATATGCTGGTCTTGTCGTCAAGATCAATTCAAATGTGTATAAGTCGTCCTTATGTCAGTCATGGAGTTTCGAGATTCATAGTTACAAGGTTTTCTATCTAGGTTATTTTCTTTTTTTTTCAATAAGAACTTTCCTAATGTTTTAATTTATCATTTTATTAGTCTAAAAGGCTCGTTAAACCCGTCTAAAAGGCATAGGGATCGTGTAAACGTTGAACTAGACAACTTGGCTAAACTTTTGCCATTTGCTCCGGAAGTAATCGCCAAACTCGACAAACTTTCTGTTCTCCGTTTGAGTGCCAGCTATCTCAGGACGAAAAACTTTTTCAAAGGTTTGTAAAATTGGGTTTGTCATATTGTGTATTTAAATACTGTAATCTAAAGAGTGTGTCTTTATTTCTATTTTTTAATTTAGGTCTTGATTTTGGTGCGAAGCTAAACGACACTGAAAGCTTGTCAACATTGGATGAGTTTGAAAAAACTGGATTGATCAGTGATCTCTTATTAGAAGTACGTACAATTTTACTTGTATGTGTGCTTGACTGTTTCTACTGCTTTTGTGCCTGCATTGGACGTGATTCAGTTCTAAAACGTTGAAACTTTTCTTATTTAGGCATTAGATGGTTTTCTAATGGTATTAACACAAGATGCAGAAGTTTTCTATGCTTCTGAGACGATAAATGATTTTCTGGGCGTATCACAGGTTAGCGTTATCATGACTTCACAATTTGTGATCTTGGTGCTAAGTGGTTTAGCGTCTCGCTTGAAACGGCTTTTTTCTCTATATTTTCCAATTCATTTGTTCTTCAATTCATTTCAATTCCTGCAGTAAATCATAATTGTGTGTATGGTTTGATTTTATCAACAAATTATTATGTTTACTTCAAGGCGAGTGTTATTCATCAAGATTTCATGAGATTTGTACACGTTGAAGATCAGCAGTTGCTGGAGAATAATCTCAAATTAGTTGTCACTCCTCCTGAGCAGGTATGCTTTACAGACATATCTGGAGCCTCTAAAGGTCTTGTGTGAGCAAGTTGAAATGAGTTTGATCTTTGTAGCAAGCTGTTTGCAGCCCACTTTCTATAATTCATTTCTAGTAATTTTTATGTTTAGAAAATTCGTGAAATTATTGATGATGAGGATGCATTACCTTCAGATCATCTCAATACAGACCACAGCAACATTGGTAAGTTTATGTGGTTGAAATAATTTTCTGTGTACTACGTAGTAGTCTGTTGCAAAGACAAATCCCTTGACGGTGGTCACACACTGAGCTGATATTTTATATAGTCATATGAGAGAAATGTCTTGCTTTGCTGCATTATCTTGAGCAATTAATACCAAAATTTATAGCACTATTATTATAACAAAGTATTTCGTATTTTGATTGGCTTTTGTTCAAATATATGAACAGCAAAATATTATGATCTAGTTTTCTGATCAGCTTGATTTCATTGGACATCCATGGAAATTTCTTGTTGACAAAATTTACTTCTCACTACTCAGGTCTTTCCCTGTTTCAGAACTTTGAGCTACTTTCTATGCATAATGCTGTATTTGTTTGCGTGTTGTTCTGCTTTAGGAGAGAAACTAAGCAAAGAAAGATCATTTGTTTGTCGATTGAAGTGCATCTTAAACACTAATGCTGGATATTATAAGGTATATTATGAAAAGTGTATGCACTGTGCGTCATAATGAATGTGCGTTGGTCACAGCTGAGAAATTTCTTATTTAATCTAGAATCTTGATTAACATTGTAAAGCATGATTTGAAATTCCATAAATGTCTTTCTTTCAGCCTTTCAAATGTCACGGTCGCTTACGTGCAGTTAAAACTAACGATCCATCAACACCTCGTATGGCCTTGTTTCTCATTTGCTCACCATTAGAAATATCCACGTCGATCATTGAAGTACGCATGAAATCCATGTTATTTTGCACAAAGAATAAATTGGACCTCACGTTTGTTGATATTGATCAAAAGTAAGTTTACCAGGAAAAGTGAATGTCTCAGCTCAGATAAAATATATCATTGTAGTTGAAGATTAAACGAGTACCTACTGTGTATCATTTATGACGCAGTAAACTAGACCAATACATCAGAGATGTCAGAGAAACTGAGAACGGCTGCGTGATGTATTGTCAACATTGCTTAAATATAAGATAGCAGGTGTCTTAAGTTTCTCGTGCAAACTAATGAAGTAAATTTAATCTTTAGCGAAGAAATATTTGTAGAGAACAATCCTAACCTCAATGGTGTCTGAAAAATATAATTGCTTTTTAGAGGGAAGCAGATTGTTGGGTATGTGAAAAAGGACATTCTAGCTCAGTCGAGCTATTGTATGATGCATTATGATGATATTCCAATTCTAAAAAGAATGCACCATGATTGTAAGTTACTATTTTATATATGAACACTTGGTAAACTGGCAAAACGTACTCTGTGCATGACCATGCCAAGCGCACATACCAATGCTGTCGCAAAAATACTGTTATTTCACACGATGCTGTTAATTTCACACGATACTGTTAATTTCACACGATGCTGTTAATTTCACACGATACTTTTCATTTCACACTTTTGGTAAGAATCTGCATCCAATCACTAGAGCGTTAGGTCGCAGATTCGAAATTTAAGAAAATGAATTTCCTTCATATTGATTTTGAATTTTGCCTGAAGAACATTTCAGATTCTTGATTCTTTCATGGTTCGATTTTAGATATTTTTATTTTGTGTATATTTTTATCAATTGTGCCACCAATTTTCACGTAGCCATTCATGTACGTAGTTTTTCATATAATGTCGTTCTATAAGCGAGGTTTTCCTTTAATTTTAGTGATGACAACTGGATCTTGTGAAGGTGTATTTCGCTGGTTAAATAAGAATAATAAATGGCAATGGCTGAGTGGTTCTGGTCGTGTCATCTTAAAGAATAATCGTCCAGATTTTGTGATTACAACAAATAAACCATTGTCGTGAGTCGTTTTTGAACCCCTACAACACTGCCCTCTCTCTTTACATGTCATATTCACACTATTGACGTTGTATGATTGGTTTATAAGCTGAGTTTGCATCAGCCTGTGCAAACACGGTAAACATCTTATGTCTTAAGTGAAATTTTTTTGTTGCTTGTAGCGATGAAGAAGGTGAAGAAGAAGTCAGAAGAAGAGAACGTGAGATGGGAATCATTCCAACTTCCCCATCTTCTATGTTGTCCGTTTTACAACTTGGTTCCCCACCCGGTAACCCACCTGTCAATGTGCCTGAAGACTTTCGACCGCAAAACCCCCCGCAGTTCCCTTCTAGTGAGAAACTACTCTGATATTTTTGTTATTTATTTTATCATTCGTGGATCGATTTTTCTTTTTTTTTTCGCAAAGCGCGTTTGATTTATCTGGAATTTCACAAGTAATTTGTAGCAGCATCATGTTTTAAAATCAAATTCTGGAATAGTTCATATTGAAATATTTGTTATTGTTTTTAGATCCTAGTGTTCCTTCCTCAATTGTCACACCCGGTCTCTCGACTACCTCTTGTACTTCTGACCCATTCCCACCTGAGGATCTTCCATCGGACTTAAGCACAGAAATATTGTTCGAGACAAATGGCGATGACTATGATTCTCAAGGTTTGTTCCATCTGCAGTTTTTATGTTGCAACTTTATCATTTGCGGGCTCAGGTAATATGAAAGTGGAGTTAGGGTTAGAGTTTGCGCTTAACGAACATCACCTACATATGGGTAAAGATGAAGAATTAAAATACGTATTGGGAAATAGTACGATGCAATTATCTCGAGTTTTTTTCTGAATATGTTAATGCTTGTTGCATTTAAGCAAATGTTTCCAACTAGATGTTATCTGCTTATTGAGGTTTTGCTGTTATAGCTTCCCTGTCAGACTTGGACAGCATAGTTACAGGAGATTTGGTGCATAATCTCTTTGATTTGGAAACGAAGGACTTGAAGATGAACTGCTTTGATGATAGTAATACAGTTCCCCTGACTCATGCACCAAATACGACGTATGCATCGTCGCAGATTGTTCCACCCACAACGGAACTTGACCCATGGATGCATCGCTCTCAAGGCCCTTTTTTTCGTCAACCTGCATCAAACATGGGAATGGCATCTTCCAACATTGGGGCTACAAATGATTCATCAACTCGTTTCCTTGACGAAACAAATCTTGGTAATTTGCAAACGGTTTCAGCACGATCGGGACAACCATCCCCGGGTGTAAGATCACAAAATTTACCTCCGAACATGTTTTCAGCTCCTAGTTTAGTTCCCACACAATCTATTTCACAAAACGTATCCCATGTAAATGGTCAGTTTCAAAATCCGTCAGCGAGAGTTGTATCACAACATGGCAGTTTGGATTCGAGTCGCGTTGGGTTGCTTAAAGTTCGTTCGCAACAAGCAGCAGACGGATACATTAAACCTGAGCGTTCAACAGGTTATTGTTGCAACCCCAACAATCAAATGAGCTCGTCCATGTCCTGGGGAATGACAAATAATTTATCATTTCAAAGTCAAAATATGCCGCTTCGGCAAAATGATTATAGGTATCAAAATAAACTGAATTACACTAATCAACGCCCGTCTCAGTGGGCTATGGCTCCCCCTAGCCCATATTCTTCTGGATCATCTTCAACTAGCTCATACGATGCCTTACACGTTCAGTTCTCGCCCACCGAATCGCTTGCCTCACCCTTTGCATCGCCTCATGGCGATAAAGACCACATTCAGGGTAATTTACCATTACATGCTCAAGGCCCTCAATACCTTCTTCGAGGACCTCCCGCTATTCAAGAACCTTTCCTGGATATGTCGAACATATCATCCCAGGGAATGGTAGAGGAACTTATACCGGGGATAAATCAGACATCTCCTGTTGGAACTCGCCAAACTACTACTCTATCACATATGTGAAGGTGATGTTGACAGACGATTAACACTCGCGCTTATGGAGGATACATGGCTAACTACTGTGTCTTATTGTGTTTGGAAAGTGCGAGGCTTTTGTTGCTCTCATGAAGTACACTTCGTCAAGAATGGATGTCGACATTGTCCTTGGTTTTTTCAGAACGGAATCCGGCCCTCAATAGCTGATACACTCTTTCGCTTGCGAATTGTTTTTCAAGATATGAAGTTGGTTTGCTGTGTTACTCGATAAACGAATTGTCATTTGCATGACCGAAATTGGTTTTTAAAAACAAAGACGTTTTAACCTTGCATGACCTTATATTTACGAAGGGGTTATTAATGTTATTTTTTGAAATAGTGTTCCTGATTTAATGTCTAAGGATGTTACCTTGAAAAAACTAACTATTTTTTAAAGTGTGCGTTAATCTATTGTATATATGTAATGAGTTAGCATGAAATTGGAATAATATATTTTGGCTTAAAACATATCTTTAAAGAGATTGTAAATATATTAGTGTGTACTGGTTAGAAACCTTTGCGTCATTCTTAGCTTAATGGTTTGTTGTGCACATTAATAAAAAAGACTTTTGAACTGGGAAGTGTCATGTACTTTACATAAAGAAATGATATTTCATCAAATATGGCGGAGGGTTTTAAAACAATCACTTGATTCCAGAATTTTAACATGTTTTAAGGCCTAAGCAAATTCATTAGACTTCGTTTAAACTTTACAAGGTTGTTGAACGAGATGACATAGGCAATATGCATCCTTGTAAAAAAACCGAAACCTCTACGTACGCCATTTTTCGGCCGCTTTCAATTCCGCCATTTTTTTGCCTGCGCTCATCCTTAGCTAACCCTGTTGATCAGTGGCATGAAATAACTGATTTGAACATCTACCTAGTACCTACGAGCTATGCTGCATAAAAATGATTAAAACATACCTTTGAACGATGAGACACCTGTAAAGCAACGTTAGTACCCTGGCCGAAAGGGAACCTAATGAATAGGGAACCGCCACCCCAGGGCCCTTATACATTACCAAACGGCGAGCCAACCAATCCTTCTTGTGTCCAACACTCGATCACCTAGGTACCAATTTGGCACCGTTTACAGTTATTTCTACCTACATCTACTCTAAACGTATTTGATTAGTTCGTCTCGCTATCAAATGCATACTTCGTTCATAAAATAGATCAAGATGTTTAACTTGATTTTGAGATGATTAAATCCAATATATCATAAATAATTGAAGTATCTTCTTGCTCTTAGTTATTTTTCTTCAAGTTAAATAACAGCGAATTATTTAACTTGGACATGCCACTGTCATAACATTGATTTTGACAGCTATTTAGCAAAAGCAATGCCGGGTTTCATGCACCTATTCTGTTTCGCTGTTCTGTAAACCAATAAGATAGTTATTGTAGCATATTCCTCTTGATAATGAAAAACACTCACTTTTTTCAAAAGTATTTTAAACATGTTGACTTGTTTTTCTATATTTTCTAGTGTTTTATGAACATTACAAGTTTTGCATGGTTCAAAATTTAAGCAATTCGTACTAAACGTGAAAATTGATGAAGAAACATCGTCAACAAAAAATATTTCAGACATTTATAATATTGCAATGCAGCATGCATGCCGGATTGCGCATTGTTTGGACCGTAATTTTCTTCCTATTTTAGCGTGCAATCTGTAATTCGGATTTCGCCATATTTTGGATCGAAATTTTCTCTTCAATTTTAGCATGCGATCCGTAGTTTAGTTCAAAACGTCCAAACGTGTTTTAATTTATGCATTTAGATTTTTTAAAATGTTTGACTGCGGAAATTATGAATATTATAAATAAATGTACATAAAGAAATCCATACTTATTTCCTTGAACTTGGTATCGTGTTTCCTGGTGATCAAACAAACAAAAAACATATGAAGACAGATTTCAGACATGTATACCGTTTTGGTTGTTTTACCTTGTGCAATTATAATCGTACATTGACTGCAAAAAGCACTGAAACATGCACAAAACTGGAAAAAACACCAACAGGAATCAAAAGAGCAACTAACTATGTTCAGATATAACTTAGTCATTGTTCAGTCACTTTCCTGTTAGTGTTGATCACCAGGATTTTAAAAAAAACCACAAACCTGAAACGTCGTCTTTAGTCTCCATTTGTAGATTAAGATAATCCTCAACTGATTGACCCACGATTAATTTCACAAAATCCACGACAAGTATCATGTAAATCCACGAAAACCAAAAAGTACATATAAATCACGACAGCCCTGAGTTGATTTACGATGACTTTGATTGTGATCAATGACAACAATGATATAATCCATGAAAAATATATTGCGCCACCATTGTCAGTATTCTTTTATCACTACAAATTAAATGAAAAGTCTAAGATAACACGAAATTCATTATCGTTAAACGAAAAGTATATCGTTTTTAACAAAAACGTGACACAAACACCACGATAAATGATAAAATGAGATCTTATGTTATATCATTGTCAATTTATACCATTCAATGGAGAGGCTCAAGCTAGACAAAACGTTACCAACAAATAACATTTTATCCAATTTCAAAACTTATTTATCGACAAGTTACTTTTTGGCTAGTCGTAATTGCTTTTTGCTTGTCGAATTCCAATTTACGACCTTATCGTCTGTTCGTAATGCAGTCAAAAAGTAACTGTAGAGATTAGTCAATGACAAAAAAGGTGAGTATAAATTACGTATACATGAGCTGCCATAAGCAATCAACCCATCTTTCCTACGGTAAACATAGGTGTCAAAAATGCAAGATCAAATTACAAAATTAGCAGAATCAAAAGGTCGGACATAGTATTGTAATTTCAGAATAGTGGCAATAAAATAGAGAGAAGATGCTCTTGGGGCATTTGTAAATCTTATTTTAGAAATCCAGTACAACTGATTATAAAGGCAGAAGGTGTAAGAGTGAATGAAAATCATTTTCCGTTGGATATGACATGCAATATATATGCAGATACAAAGTTGTAGAGAAAAATAAAAACATTTCTAACGTTGTCGCGGATATTACGAGTGCCGAACCAAAGTGTTGATGAGTTTCATTTGCATTTTCAAAACAACCATAAGAAGATACACAGCATGCCAAAAATATATGATTGAAAATTCGCTATGCGCATATACATGCTCCAATTTCAGCCGTCGCAAATTAATTGAGATTTAATATGAGCATGCGTAGTTTACTCCACCAACTCTCTAAGTTCATGGTCTTGGCAACGACCAACTGGATGTACTAGTACTGATTATGGAGCAAATAGCTCGTTCAGTCACAAATTTTCAGATAAATAATCTGCACATGCGCAGTCTGCTTGAGCATGCGCAGTTAACTTGACCAACCTCCCAAGCTCATGGTCATGGCAACTACCAACTGCATCAACTAGCACCGATTTTGAAGTGAATAGCATGCTTAGAAACAATTTAATAGAAAAATCGTCTGCGCATACGCAGTCCACTTGACTAATTGTTCATAGTCATGACAACGACTGACTATATGTACATGCATTACATTTGAGGCAATTAGCTTACTTACTCGCAAATTATCAAAGATATCATTTGAGCATGCGCAGTGGTGACTTTAATAATACCACAACTTTCGTAAGCCTTTGAATTTTTGTATATATATATATATATAAAGCTAATATTAGGTCTAGAAGATGTCAACTAGCAGTGGAAGCTGGGTGCGATATAGTATGCAGTGGCTTAGGGCCCACACTTCAGTGGCGACCGAACTCTCCCTGCGTACCCCGAGCAAAGCCTATCGTAGGTGATCTCGGGGTCTGATGGGCGGAAGCTTGCTATTGCATCTCCCAAGTAGGATAGCGTGGAGGGCCGAAATCTCCTACCGAATCGTTGATATGCGGCGTTTTAGTGCCTTACATGTAAGAAGGTATCGGGAAGCATGGCCGAAAACGGGTTTTTGCTTTTGAATTTTATCCACTTTACTCTACATAAACGATAAAATGTCCGACCATTTGATTGTCCGAATTTTGTAATTTGATCTCGTATTTTTACACGCGTGTCTACCGTCGGAAAGGTGGACTGCTTCTTCAAAACTTTAAGGAGCGTTGTGTATAAGGTGGCTTGTTCAAATAGGATGAATCGTGCGCGAAAATATTTTAAAATATTAGAATATTATTACTCTTTCTAAGAGAACAAAAGTTCAGGCACCTCAATTAGTAAATCGAATGCAAAAGTACCAATCGTTATTCTCTTAGGCGTGGAAAATCGTTATTCTCTTACTATGTGGAAAATACTTACTCTCTTGCTCCGTGGAAAATCTTCATTTTAATCATTAACATTATTCATTTCTTTAGAAATCTGTTGTTATTACAGTGAGTGAACAAAAGAAAAATCAACATAGAGGACCAAATTTGCGGGCTAGCTACGCCACTGTTCACACAATGTTATCACCATAATTGTCTTTCATATTTATATCTTCAGGATGGCAAATAAATGCTTTTTGCTGAAATTAAGGTGGCACAGTACCAAGTAAGTTTATATTTCAATGTCCGTGCAAAATCCAATTCTTTTCTTACCTGTTATCCATTCTTCATCTTGTTCTAACAAGAGCATCTCTAAAGATTTACTTATGCACACTTGGTCGAAAATCATGTGTAAGTCAAAAACAACGGAACACAGAACTTTTCAATGGGTATATGTTATTTAAATCGTAGTCTGGCTTAAGCTGCTCATGCAATAGCTTATTGAGTTGAGGTAAGTCATACGAGACAATCGAGTCATGTATTTCACACTAGACAATGCAACCCATAAACCGAAAGCAACATGTAAAAAAAGATTACACCTGCCGCAAGAAGTCTTCAAAAGTCATGCATGGGCTAAAATGTCAGGCAATGTATTTACAAATATAGTTTTAGAGTTCATGAAATCTTTTTCATTCCTCATTTTGTTTATTTTTCTAAACAAGATCGCTTCATGTCATTTTTGCCTTCCATTATTTCATCTTATTTCTCTTCACAAGATTGCTATATCATCTTTATCTTACAACATATCACCTGATTTGTCTTCATAAAATTGCAATAATTTTTTTCTTGCTATTATTTCATCTTATTTTTTGTCAGAAGCTTTTCTTGTCATTTTTAACTTAAACTCTTTCATCTTATTTTCGTCACTAGGTTGCTTTTTCATCTTTTTTCTTGCACTATTACAACTAAACTTTTTTTAAAAAAATAGCAGTCATCTTTGCCTCTTTGAGTTCCTTCTTTCTTCTTTTTCTTAATATTTTTCTAACTGATCTAAATGGATCTATCTGACACCTCTAAGCTTTCATGACATTTCCAAAAAAAGAAAAAATGCTGCACTTGACATGACTCTGAAGAACTCAAACTACGGAAGTTCTGATCACTCAATTGGTCATCGACCCATACAACGAAAGTGCCCAAACAATGGAAGACGCTGTGTTTGCAGGGAAGTGCCTCAACAACGAAAGAATGCAGAAATTGACGAGTGCCTCAACAACGAAAGACGCTGCGCATGCAGAAATTGACGAAGTGCCTCAACAACGAAAGACGCTGCACATGCAGAAATTGACGAAGTGCCTCAACAACGAAGACGCTGCTCATGCAGAAATTGACAAAGTGCCTCAACAACGACGCCGCGCATGCAGAAATTGACGAAGTGCCTCAACAACGAAAGACGCTGCGCATGAAATTGACGAAGTGCCTCAACAACGAAAGACGCTGCGCATGCAGAAATTGACGAAGTGCCTCAACAACAGAAGACGCTGCTCGTGCAGGAATTGACAAAGTGCCTCAACAACGAAGGACGCCGCGCATGCAGAAATTGACGAAGTGCCTCAACAACGAAAGACGCTGCGCATGCAGAAATTGACGAAGTGCCTCAACAACGAAAGACGCTGCGCATGCAGAAATTGACGAAGTGCCTCAACAACGCAAGACGCCGCGCATGCAGGAATTGACGAAGTGCTTCAACAACGAAAGACGCTGCGCATGCAGAAATTGACGAAGTGCCTCAACAACGAAAGACGCTGCGCATGCAGAAATTGACGAAGTGCCTCAACAACGAAAGACGCTGCGCATGCAGAAATTGACGAAGTGCCTCAACAACGCAAGACGCTGTACATGCAGGAATTGACGAAGTGCCTCAACAACGAAAGACGCCGCGCATGCAGAAATTGACGAAGTGCCTCAACAACGGAAGACGCTGCTCGTGCAGGAATTGACGAAGTGCCTCAACAACGGAAGACGCTGCTCATGCAGAAATTGAAGAAGTGCCTCGACAACGAAAGACGCTGCGCATGATGGAATTGACGAAGTGCCTCAACAACGAAAGACGCCGCGCATGCAGAAATTGACGAAGTGCCTCAACAACGAAAGACGCCGCGCATGCAGAAATTGACGAAGTGCCTCAACAACGAAAGACGCTGCGCATGCAGAAATTGACGAAGTGCCTCAACAACGAAGACGCTGCTCATGCAGGAATTGACGAAGTGCCTCAACAACGAAGACGCCGCGCATGCAGAAATTAACGAAGTGCCTCAACAACAAAAGACGCCGCGCATGCAGAAATTAACGAAGTGCCTCAACAACAAAAGACGCTGCGCATGATGGAATTGACGAAGTACCTCAACAACGAAAGACGCTGCGCATGATGGAATTGACGAAGTGCCTCAACAACGAAAGACGCTGCGCATGATGGAATTGACGAAGTGCCTCAACAACGAGACGCTGCGCATGCAGGAATTGACGAAGTGCCTCAACAAAAAGACGCCGCGCATGAGGAATTGACGAAGTGCCTCAACAACGAAAGACGCTGCGCATGATGGAATTGACGAAGTACCTCAACAACGAAAGACGCTGCGCATGCAGGAATTGACGAAGTGCCTCAACAACAAAAGACGCTGCGCATGATGGAATTGACGAAGTGCCTCAACAACGAAAGACGCTGCGCATGCAGAAATTGACGAAGTGCCTCAACAACGAACGCTGCGCATGCAGAAATTGACGAAGTGCCTCAACAACGAAGACGCTGCATGCAGGAATTGACGAAGTGCCTCAACAACGAAAGACGCCGCGCATGCAGAAATTGACGAAGTGCCTCAACAACGGAAGACGCTGCTCGTGCAGGAATTGACGAAGTGCCTCAACAACGAAAGACGCTGCTCATGCAGAAATTGACGAAGTGCCTCAACAACGAAAGACGCTGCGCATGCAGGAATTGACGAAGTGCCTCAACAACGAAAGACGCGCGCATGCAGAAATTGACGAAGTGCCTCAACAACAAAAGACGCTGCGCATGCAGAAATTGACGAAGTGCCTCAACAACGAAAGACGCCGCGCATGCAGAAATTGACGAAGTGCCTCAACAACAAAGACGCTGCTCGTGCAGGAATTGACGAAGTGCCTCAACAACGAAAGACGCCGCGCATGCAGAAATTGACGAAGTGCCTCAACAACGAAAGACGCCGCGCATGCAGAAATTGACGAAGTGCCTCAACAACGAAAGACGTCGCGCATGCAGAAATTGACGAAGTGCCTCAACAACGAAAGACGCTGCGCATGATGGAATTGACGAAGTGCCTCAACAACAAAAGACGCTGCGCATGATGGAATTGACGAAGTACCTCAACATCGCAAGACGCTGCGCATGCAGAAATTGACGAAGTGCCTCAACAACGAAAGACGCTGCGCATGCATTGACGAAGTGCCTCAACAACGCAAGACGCTGCGCATGAAATTGACGAAGTGCCTCAACAACGAAAGACGCTGCGCATGCAGAAAAACGAAGTGCCTCAACAACGACGTGCGCTCGAAACAACAAAAGACGCCGCGCATGCAGAAATTGACGAAGTGCCTCAACAACGAAAGACGCTGCGCATGCAGAAATTGACGAAGTGCCTCAACAACAAGACGCTGCGCATGCAGGAATTGACGAAGTGCCTCAACAACGAAAGACGCCGCGCATGCAGAAATTGACGAAGTGCCTCAACAACGAAAGACGCTGCGCATGATGGAATTGACGAAGTGCCTCAACAACGGAAGACGCTGCGCATGCAGAAATTGACGAAGTGCCTCAACAACGGAAGACGCTCTGCATGAAAGAATGGAAGTGCTTCAGCAATAGAAGTAATTGGACTTGTATAAGTTGATAAACGTCGCAAACAACGAAAGGTGCAGCCCTTCCAAAGAAAAGAAAATGCTGCATGTACTGTCATTATAGGATCATAAAAGTTTCATAAATCTTCCTTGCACAAACTCTAACTCTTTCAACACTCTCTATCTACTCGATCTACTCAACTGAATAAGTTTACAGTTCCCTTTGTTCTTGTCCACAACTTAAATTGTGGTTCTTGAATTGATTTCTTCCAAATAATGTAAGCTCCTGTGTGGCTTTCGTCACTGCTCTAGACGTCTTGCAGCCATTTTACTGTAGTTCTTGGAGTTTTTTGATAAAGACATTTACAACAATATGTTTTACTTAATTGTCTAATTGATAAAAGAATAGTTGGCAAATGAAGACTTCAAGTTGCTGATGTATAGACAAGTGTGACATTTACTTTTGCTTCATGTATAGATTTCTTCTACTGAAGTGTTTCTTTTATATCTTATAAATTTCAAAAGGAAGTCGTATAGACTTGTTTATTTTCTTTTGAAAGTCAATTTCAAATATATGAAATCGATCGATCATTTTTATTATTTTGACTTATTGTCTAATAGTCCTTACCCTAAACTCAACAGCATTTGTTCGTTTTAAAATAAACTACATTTCCGCGATTTTTGTTTCAACTTTCATGATAGATATTTCATATTTTCAAAAGAAGGAAGTCATATAGACTTCTTTATATAATTATATGCCATTGAATGTCGATTTCAGATAGATCTTTCACAACATTTGTTTTGACTTATTTATTTAATCAAAATAGAAGACAAATGAGAACTTCAAGCAGCCAGTGCATGGACAAGTATAGAACACGCACTTACGTAAAATTTATATTTGGTTCATGAATTATTTGGTTCTTTCACTTTAAAGTGTTTCTTTGACATCTTATAAAAGGAAGTCGTATAGACTTATTGATGTCTTATAGATTTCAAAAGAAGGAAATTTTATAGACTTCCTTATCATTTAATTGATATTCCATTCAACGATCGATACATCGTTCAATCGTTCACAATAGTTTTGACTTGTTATCCAATCATTCTTAACCTAAACTTATAAAGCTGCTTTTTTTAAAATGGCACTCATGTATTTGCAGCAAAATATGAAAACAATAATTGTATAATAATAAAATATCAAGACAAATTTGTTAATAAGAAAAAAATTTTGTATGTGTGCACAAGTAAATCCCTAAAAATATTCTCAGTCGGATAGTCTTTTATTTGAGTATCCTATCAATTCAAATTAAACATTATGAGTTTCTGTGTTTTCACCCCTTTGACGTTGCACAATATCATAATAAGAATTTTTAAAAGTGTTTCCATTGTGTATTGATAAGGACATAAATTAAAAAGCTCTAAAACAAATTAGGCAGTCAATGAAAGTTTAAGGTGATTATTTTGAGTTTCCTACCGTTGCTTGTTTTCAGTTTTATTCCTTTTATTTTGTCTCAAAGTTCAACTTTGGGATACGACTTAGTGGCATTCATATAGCTAAATTGCCACACAAAATTAGCATCTTTTCCTATAGAATCGAAACACGTGTTATTAACAAAATGCTCTAAAAATAATCAATAACTTTTCAATGATAACTTTTCTAAATTGTACTCAAGTATCATAGCCAATATTAAGTACAAAAATTTATCGGTGTTTGATTAAAAATTTTCTCGTTTACTGAAATTGCTATCATTCAAATTTACTCAATTGTAGAGCATGCAGCCATTAGTACTCTTCAACGTTTAAATTTTCAAATTCATCCATTAGTTAAAAAATTTGTTTTATATAGTCAAGTTGGTTAGTTTTGCATAATTTGTACCCAGTTTCTTCATTTTCACGCGGAACAAAAAAGGCGCCAATTTAATTGAAGTCCAACGTTCAACATGAACCAACTTTTTCATATTTTTCAAATATCTTCAAAATTTTTGCTCAAAAGAAGACTTTTTGCATACACAGATCTACCCAAGGAGTAAGAAATACTCTGCTTATCTCTCATTTTGCCATACTGTCACTTTTCACCGAGAATTTTATTCATATTTTTGCGTTCAAACGAGAAAGATGTCTGTCGCGCAAGTTCGTTGTTGAAAACATATCGATACAAAAATCCTCGCTAAAAGTAAAAATGTTTAAGAAATTTTCTCTTCGAAACATTCCAGCACTAGCTGTAGGCAATACACCAAAGTAGAGTTGAAAGAAATACATTAAAACATACAAAACTTGTCGTTTTTATACTGACAAGGTCCTCGTGCAAAGCAAACACACCGGCGAAGACACACGGTTGAACGCCGAATTGCACAAAAATAACCGACGAAAAGCTTTACTAGTAAAACAATACGTAACTATATACATCAAACAAGCTTTTGTCATCGAATTTATAGACATTTGAAGTATTTTTTCAAATAATTAATCAAAATTTTAGAAACCTACCTTTCACTTTGGAGTCTTGGGGCATCTAGTTGTGTGAAAAGTGATTGACGTGTCTTAAGATCATTTTGTGGACTGATGTGATTGGCTGATTTGGACGAGCTTAGGAAATTATTGGTTACACTTTTTCCAAGTCTGATTGGCTAAAATGTGAGCTATATGCTATCCCAGCAATGTGAGAAGGAAAAATTCAAGGTAATCTGTGCTTTTTTCCCCTTTTTTCAATGAAATGAAGATAGATAAAAAGAGAAAACGTTTTCCTTTTTCATCGGATCCAAATTAACTAAATGCAGGTTAAGTACAGATTTTTATGCACCATGGAAACCCTCATGGAAACCCTACGTACAAACCCCAGTTACCAGTCATTTGGTAATGGGGGCTCAAATTCAATGGTAACAACATGGTAACAACCAGTGGCTATTTGTTGTATTGTAGTATAAAGTGAATGTATGAAAGAACGATTTTTTAAACAAATGAGGCATAACATTTGGTGAGTGTGATAATTTGTAAAACCTTATTATTTCGTGCATTCAATGGTCGATGTTCTTAAATTTTAGCATGGTGTGTGATTTCTTCTATCCGAATATGGGTGGCGTAGAAAGTCATATTTATCAAGTTTCGCAGTGTCTTATCAACAGAGGCCACAAGGTCTGCTTAATAGTCTAATAAAAACTGTGAGACAGCTTCATTAAAGCCATATTATTTAATATTAGAAAACTTCTCAGTGCCATAGTATTATTCACTGTCGTCTTATGACATTGATTATGAATTCTGTTCATTTAAGTCTAAATTTAAAAATTGCTATGCTATTTTCAGGTTGTAATTGTTACTCATGCATATTCAGAGAGGGCTGGTATTCGTTATTTATCGAACTTCCTGAAGGTTAGTTTGCTTGTCATGAGAAAAGTTCATTATTGAGAGAAGAATTTTTCATTGCTGATTATTTGTATGAAATAAATATGTTTCATCACGTATTTTTTTATTTTACAGGTGTATTATTTGCCTTTTACAGTTTTCTACAACCAATGTGCCTTACCAACGCTGTTCACAACTTTACCATTGATGAGAGATATTTGTGTTAGAGAACAGATCACAATAGTTCATGGACATTCTGTAAGAATCTTTGTTATTTATATATCAAATGAATATTATTCTTCACAGTTACCAAATCTGTGTTGTTGTTTGTTTCATCTTTTCAACAAACCCATCTTTTAAGAGTCAACAGAACTATTTGAAACAATAGCTCGTATATTATTCCAGGCTTTTTCCACCCTTTGTCATGATGCTTTGCTCCATGCAAACTCACTGGGAATAAAATCTGTCTTCACGGATCATTCACTTTTTGGGTTTGCAGATGCAAGTTCTATTATCACAAACAAATTTCTTGAATTTTCCCTCGCCAATATTGATCATATTATCTGTGTTTCTAACACAAGGTAGTGTACTTTTAGCACTTTGCACAGAAAATAAGTCAGCTTTTTGTTTTCATTAATGTATCTCAAAAATGATCATTCATTAGATTCATTGGTGTGTAATTTAGCAAAGAAAACACGGTGTTACGAGCAAAAGTTCATCCTGGCTATGTTTCTGTTATACCAAATGCTATTGATTCTTCTGCATTCACTCCTGATCCAGCAAAAAGGAATTCTGATTTTAGTAAGTAGTAATTTTTGAAGCTGCAAGTGGCAAAGTTCTAAAATATATTGCACTAAAATTCATATTACTGTTTAAAATCATTGAGAAACCAATAGTCACACGTTTAAATGACACACATTAAATTGGCAGGTTTGATCAATGTCATAATGTATATGGCATTAGTGTACGTAGAAATAGAATTTGGGTGATGGCTTTTAGGTTATTTTTTGGATGTTTTAAGTGCATTTTCATGGTCAATCTCTTCTATTTTAAAATTGATGAAGACATCAACTTTCTTTATGACTGCTAAACCATCAAGAAAGTTTATGGAGCACAATTTGATGATATGATTTTTGTATTATTGAGTGATTATTTTTAAGCTTATTTGTATTTTTAGTTACCATAGTCATTGTCAGTAGACTTGTATATCGAAAGGGAATAGATCTGCTTGCAGCTGTCATACCAATGATTTGCTCAAGATACGGTCAAGTGCAATTTCTTGTTGGTGAGTTTATTGTTCTTGGGTTCTTTGTTTTACAACTATGCATTACCAATTTTTTAATTTTTCCCAAAACTCATTATTATTTTAATTAGTGTTATGCATTCTGAGTTGTAATTTTACATAACCAAAAGTAAAGTAGTTTGGAAGCAAAACTTGATACAGGACATTTTTTGTCAGATTTGTGCTCAATGTACATAAAGATTAGTCTTCATTGTTTAAATCTATTGTAGTGATGAGCATTTTGCTGTACAATAAACATTCTAGCATGATAAATTTGTGTGAAGAGCTGTTTTGATCCAACATAGTTACATATATTGTGTTAATAAAATTTCCTTGTGGTCATTTAGGTGGAGAAGGACCAAAGAGAGTCGTTCTGGAAGAAGTTTGTGAGCAACATCAACTCCACGATAGAGTTCGATTGCTTGGTAGTTTAAAGCATGAACAAGTTCGAGATGTGAGTATTTGTCTATATTGTCCATGTTTGCAAAGAACTTTTTTGTTATTTTTAGTGCAGATTTTCCATGTTCAAATTTACATGAAAAAGCAAAACTTTTACCTCAATGACTGCAAAGTATAGCAATACACAATCATGGAAAAAATGTACAAAGGCTCACTTTGCTGTATCATACATGAATGAAATGTATTGTGCTACATTTCCACTAAGAACTGATTATATTTTTTATCTTTCTTAGATTTTAGTACAAGGTGATGTATTTTTGAACACATCATTGACTGAAGCATTTTGTATTGCAATCGTTGAGGCTGCAAGTTGTGGGTAAGCATTGGTAATTTATATTTGCTACATATTTAACTACTAGTAACGTTATTTTGGGTCATGTCACGTGACTGTGAGTTTGAAATTGGATCGTCATTGAGCAATGAAATAAGTTCATAAAAATCCAAGTCTGAACATCAGGTCCCTCTTCATAAATTCACCAGACTAGAAGATATATAAGAACATGTATTTTAAAGTCTGAGATAATTTTCTTGTTGAATTTGTTACACCTCGCCAATACTTTAGACTCTCACTCACTCTCCTCTGAACGCTTTATGTAATCATAAGGTTACAGGTGATTAGTACCAAAGTGGGTGGCGTTCCAGAAGTACTACCAGAAGATATGATACAACTAGTTGAGCCAAATACTCAAGGTGGGTGCAACCCATGAGTTTAGAAAAAAAAATTTAATTTCGCACTGCGAGTGTTTCTCTCAAACCTAAACGTTTTCATTTTCTTCTCTTTTCATCAGACGTGGTGCAGGCTCTTGAGATTGCGATCAAGGCAACAATTGACGGGAATGTTATTCCCCCAACCGTTGCTCACGAACGCGTTAAGAAGATGTATACTTGGGGTAAAGTTGCAGCAAGAACTGAGAAGGTAATATGTGGATGATCATTTGCTTACATTATTGATCTTGAAAGGATTCAAATGCAAGTATTATCGCCTCAACCAATTATTACTGCTGGCTGTATAACTTTTTATTTTTATTATTCATATGAGCGCCAAATGTATTCAATGCATGCTAGTTAAGACGTGTTCCCTGCAGTCAGTTTGATCTCATTTTCTTAAGAATGTAATGATTTTATTGAATTTTATTGAAGGTGTATGATAGTATTGCTAAGCGTCCTACTCTTTCATTGGAATGCAAACTGAAAAGGTACGTACGATTTTCTCAAACGCTTTTTGAACATCTCTGAACTTAATTACATATGTATATATATATAGCTACGTAGGTATAATTATGTCATATATTTTAGATGGTATGATTGCGGAGCAGTAGCAGGAAAAATCTATTGTTTTATCGCTATAATTGATCTTCTTTTTTGTATTCTGTTGGATTGGCTTGCACCAAAAAAGGTATCATCATTTATTATTTGAGGTGGATGATTTTTTAAAATATTCACTTTTCGACGTGTATTCTGCAAACATTCTAAAATTCACTGACTTTACGTATGTTTTTAGTTTATTGACAAGGCTCCTGAAGTCATTCGTGGAAGGTCTCCCTCTGTCCACAATAAAGAGACGTGACAGCGGCTTAATTGAAAATCTTGTGGTACATCATGGTCTTTCAGGTACCACTCGCATAAATAGGGATTGAAATATCATTTAAAACAATTGAACTAAATATATAACTGGTAGGCCACCTTTTTGTAAACATACCTGTACTTGCATGGGCCGTGCGACATAAGATTGGGACTAGTTAAATTGCTGGCTTCAAATTTTTGTCGTAAGGTAGCTTTCCAGTTATATTCAGTTTAATGTTTAAAGCTGCAGTATTTTTCACACATTGCGCTGCAGTACCAATTCGAAAATATGAAATTGTGCGGTACATAAAAGTTTCATTGTACAAAAGCAACAAAAGTTGTACATAACAAACAATTGGCCGGTTTTTTAACAACGATGTGCTATTTTGACAAAAGTAATTCATCGTTCAAAAACAGCCTGTATTATTGTTCATTTGGCTTTATTCTAAAATGTAGAATATAGCTACAATGGAGAAAATCCCTGGATGAAATAAATGTATAAAGGTTACTTTATCAATGACGTTTTTCTTGGAATGAAATGCAAAAAAATGCATACACGTCTACTTATAGAAACTGCATTTTGCCAAACTGCATCGTTTTAATCTAGCGATTTCCTGCATTCCGTTCGATTAAAATTTCCTTGTAAACTCCCTGGCTTCTTGCCATCTGTCAGGGAATTTACAGTAAAGTCGTTAAATGGTACTATTGTATGTTTTCTCGTTCGTTATTTGTTCAATTTTGTCCTGCTATGCTTCGTTTGTCGAGCTCAGAACTAAGGCATTCGTAAGTGTAAGATTCTCCCGGATATTCCGTTGGCGAAATAGCAAATCATACAAATCTTAGTGTTACATGGTACCTTCTAAAAATGCTACTATTGCACCACACAAATGACTTACACAGTATATAATAATTAGGTTCGTGCATAAGGCTAAGACTTTCACTGACAGAACAGTAAACAGCACAACATATTAAAGCTTTACATTTGCAGATCTTTTACCTTTGACATAGGTAACGTTGAGTATTGCGCCAAATCAAAGGTAAAAACGTGTTGCGTTGTGGGAGATATATTTGCCAAAATGACATGCCTCTTATGTTTGGGGAGTTTGAAATACGGTGTGAAATAGGTGAAAATTTGTCACGCGTGAAATCCGTGTATGTTTCAAACGTTCCCACCCAACTAATGCGCGAATGACGTAGCTTGGTCATCGATGCTTCCTTTTTAAGGATAAATATTGAAAGCTTGTTAGAGCTTGCAATGCAGTTTAATTACTTCGTGAGGCTTGTGTTAACCATCTGTTTTTAACTCGATTCGTGTTTCCTTACATCACTGAAGTGAACGCCAGGAAAGACTGTCGTGAAACGGTTTTCAATAAATAACACGTACAGAATATTGTTTGAAGAAAATTTTGTATATTTCACGTTGATTTTCTACCATTTCTCATATGGCGTCATCGTTTTCTATCGAAAGCATTCTTGCAACTCCAGTCCATCGACCGATTTTGCCTTCTTCTGTTGTACGAAGCTATCCTCATCCGTATTTTGTCCCTGCTGGCAGTTTTTCAGGTAAATAGCTAATATGTGATTTTGCTTTTATCTTGGTTGTGAAGACGTTTTGGTGTTGATTGCCATAATGTGACGGTCAATTTTGAATGCACTATTAATTTCGTATAATGGAAGTTATTTATATACACAATATAATAATATGTTTTATGTACCTTGTTTTCTCTTTATGAATATTATACGTAGAACGATACATATGTAAGATTTATGTTTCACATTTAAGTTTATTTTACGTACACTTGGTCGAATAAAAGTTCATCTAGACAGCTTTTTATGTATGATATACGACGAGTTTGATAACTGCAATTTTTTAGTTGGGATATTTCGGGGTAGCTGTACTTATTTTGATGATTTTTTTGAAAAAGATTTAGTTCACTTCCACAAGTTTATTTTGTTCGTTGCTCTAGAAAATATAATTGTACATATTTATATAGATCTTTTTTTAACTGTTGAATAGGTTTTAAATTTTAACCGAGACCACTGAAACTACTATAACAGTTAAGTCTTGCAATAATAACCACGAAAATCTGCAGTTCGTTCTTTAATGCTAACGGCTCCATAGTATATCGTATGTGCCATCTGTTATCGAAGTTCACACAGCACCCTATAAGATTGTTTTCAGTTGTTAATAAGTAACGAACAATTTGCTTTTTCATTTTACTAATGTATATTTGTGATGTATTTTTTTAAAAAGCCAGTTTTTTAGCGAAAACATAGCCTATTTTTGTGAAGGCTTTTACCTTACTTTGTAAATTGATGGGATATTCACTTTATGCTTTGGATCAGATAAAACTATTTTTCCAGAAAATTAACAGAAACGGAGAGAAAATATACATAAATCTGATAAAATAACATATTAGTGTACATTATCTTTTTAAATCCCTAAATGGTGTTCATTCAACTAATCATACTAATGCTCGAAATCACCATTCATATGTTGATCTGAAGTTAAACCGGATTTACATTGAAGATAACGCGTCATAATTAGACAAAGGCGTTGATCAAATGATTTTTTTGCTCTTATTTTACCTAACACTACAATTTTTTATTTTTGATTCAAAGATAATTTTTTTAAGTCACTGTAAATTTTTTTTATTGATTTTTTCAAACTTTCATCATCATCATAGTAATCTCTTAATGGTCTACTTGTTTTGTGTCATTTTAATTGGTGAAAGTAATTTCCTCACTGTAAGAATTTCAATAGTTATTTCATAAGGACGATCTCTAAACCGTAGTTTACGAAAACTAACATTTTGAAATCATTTATAGTGACCATTCCAGGCATGAATCTTCCATCATATCATCTAACGACGAACAAACGTCGAAAAAGATATCGCACAATTTTTAGCGAGACTCAAATTGAGCTTCTCGAGGAGTTGTATCGTACGACTCAGTACCCTGACCTCTATCAGAGAGAAAATGTTGCAATGCTTGCTGGTCTGCAGGAGGAGAGGGTTGAGGTGAGTTGAAGCTGTGTTGCAATGTGTAATCATGTTTGCTGAATGTCTTAATGTTGTAATGGCTTTTTGTCCTTCATATTTGCCACGTTAAAACAACAGTGTATATGTATATTGGTGTAAGCAATGTTTTAAAATATCTTGTACGTATTGTCGATCACTTGAACAGTTTTCTTTTTTTGTAAACACATTCCTACATTTTCATGGCTTGTTTAAATTTTGATTTTTTTATACCCTTTTATGACGGAACGAGTGAATATTCCTGCTACGTGTTACAAAACGTATATTCAATTTCTTAAAAAAAGTTTAGATTTATACATTTATTCCCTTTAAGGTTTGGTTCAAGAACAGGCGTGCGAGATGTCGAAAAGTTAAACGAGCAAAAAATTCAGTTTCCGAAATGAACGCCGCCGACAATAGAAAAGACGAAAATGTAAATAAAACAAACGAAGTGGTGATGGACTGTTCGACAAAAGATCAAAACACCCATAAAGGCTTACACTAATTTATACTGCTGTATACATATGCATTTTTTGTGCGTTGCTGAAGAGTTTTATACTTTAGCAACATGATGTACAGCCACTCACGTATATTGAACGCAGCAGTTGGCGTGCACTTGTAGGAAAATTAGCATATCCTCCGTCACCGCTTCTAATTAAAGCAATATACTGTGGATCATTGTTGATAATGTTCTTATCGTTCTTAAGAATGAGCATGCGTGTGCCATATGTTGTAAAAAAACTTTTGAAAAATATTTTTCTTGTAAATTCAACTCAAATGATTAAAACAAATGACTTTATAGTTAATGAGTATTATTCTGCATTTCTGTTCAATTTATTTGAAAAAGTTCAGCAACAGACGGTTAACACGCGCACACGTCATTTGAAAATGCCACCAGCAATATGATTTGTAACCAAATGGTTACCTAAACACATTGCAAAGAAGAGCGCACACAAGAGCTTATACATGCTTCGTAATGTTCGAAGTTTTTCCCTTGCAAATTTTTCAATTTATTGTCGAAAAATTTTGGCAAATGCAGAGAAAATTTGGTGGCATTTTTTTGGGCAAGTTCTATTACTATGTACGTTTCAATGATTGCACCATTCAAGGAGGTTGATTAATACATAGCTCATAGGCAAATGTTTTATCATATTCATTCACCAACAGAAGAATATTAAATTCTAGCCTATTTACAATAATAACATGGCCATACCACAGAGAGCATGAACATGTGTTATTCCTGACTTAACCATGACAACTATTATTTACTTTTTCCGCTCATTCACGTGATCTTTGTAATGATGTAATGTTTTTGTGATATGACTGACAAAATGATCCAAACAGTAGCTTATCTTTTAATGTCCCAAAGCTTTTGTCTTGCTTGTTTCTTTAGCAACAGTCGAAAATTCTTTGTTCTTAGGTAATTACCGTACAATGGCTATGTTCATTAGCGGTGTAGTCATTGCTACGGCAAGAATTTTGAATCACGATTGTTCATTCTTCACTCGCCTTCATCGTGCTAAGCGTCACAAAAGTAATACTAAGAAAGATTGGATTCATCGTGTTACAAAGAATTGTGTAAAACGTGATTTATATCGCCCTTTGCAATCTGAAAAAGCTGTCAAAACAACTGTCTCAAGAAACAATCAATGATGAACCTTTGTGAAAGTTCACAGCATTTCTATCGCACGTCAAGTTCAAACAAGTTGATGACTAGAAACTATCCAAGATATGTGGCAATGCGCGTCTCAAATACGGATGATTTGATGTATGAAATGGCGAACCCTAATTGTAAAGCTCTTTTTAATGCTTTACCGAGATCTGAACCATCATTATCCCAGTCTTCAATTCCCGCAACTGTATCACAGTTTCGAGTACGTCAGAGATTTCGTACTCTTGCAAGCCCTAGTGAGTTAAGGAGTCTTGACATTGCTTTAAAACGCACAAAGTCATTAAATACTCCCATCAGAGTTACTAAGGAAACTGACTGTGTAAAAAGAAATGATTTGACGAAAGTGCAAGATGATTTAACCTGTAAATCTTTTAAAGAGGACTTTGATCATTCTAGCATTGTATCTTCGCAACAAAAACAAAACACAAACGTCAAATTGCGTCAAAAAGATCAGAAGAAAGCCTTATTACTAAGAAGCGTTAGCTCATCACGTCTTTCACCGAAAGTTGAATCTCGACCTAAACTAGTCAACCGTTTATCCTGTCCTGATAATCTCATACCACCTAAATCACGAATTACCTTGTCTTTTGATATACTAGAAAGCAACGGAGAATTATCCAAAGGAACAAAATCTCAAACACAATTGCACGGATTATCAAAGAACGATAACAATGGAAAAAATGTAATTGTTAATGATGAATCCAGGCAAGGGACAACATCATCTATTCTCTTCGGAGATAGACAATCCCTAGGAGTTCCAGTGAGAGTTAAAAAAAGCGTCAAGTTTACAAACAGTATGGAACTTACAAAGAGAAATTCGCAAAGACTCGTAACGAGATTCGAGATCGAACTGGCAATTACAGATGATAATCGAGATAGGTTTATGGATTACGTAAACTCCAAATCCGTAAATCTTAACGCACAAGATTACTACGGGAAGACTTTACTTCACACGGCCGCCAGTGTTGGCAACTGTTTTTGCGCACGAATTCTTGTCGACAAAGGTGCACAAGTCGACGTACAAGATCAAGCTGGCTTCACACCTTTGCATTGCGCTGTTGTTGCAAATCACGTGTCCTGTGCCGCTGCACTCATAGCTGCTGGCTCGGATGTGTTAAGAACAACACGAACATATCACACAGCGCTAACACTTGCACATGAAGTGGAAATGATACTTCTCATAGGTCGCACTCTTTTACTTTCTCAACCTCCCACTAACATCCGCAGTATTACGAATGAAAGTTCATTAAGAGAAACCAATTTGTAATTATTTTTAGAATGCATTTGTAGAGATTACATCAGCAATTCCAGGAAAATCCAGTAAAATTTCATACGATAGAGTAAAGTCTGATCCAGTAAAACACTTCACTCTCAATGTAACTTTTACTCTGGACTTATTCATCAATACATTTGGAAAGGATCTTATAAGATTACCGAACAGCTTGCCATTGGCATGTTTGCTTAGAAAAGTTATTTGAAAAAAGGGGGAAATGTGTTTTTCATTCAAATACGCAAGCTATCTGAATATGGAAGATTTTTTTTAGTCTCAAGAACTCTTGAAAATTATCACTTCGTCAAAGAAAACTGTAAACGTGTTTCATTTGTAATGCAAAATTTTTTGTAGTTTTCAAACATGATGTGTTTGTTTTTCTATTAATCATATTTTTACCAAACTGTCGAAGAATACTCAATTTGTCTTATTTGTTCTTCTTTGTCGTTAGTCAATAGTTCATTTGCACCCAAACAAGCAGTTTTCGATGGAAGAGTATAACAATGTTTTCTGATACTATTTTGATATCATTATTGCATGTGTGATAAAACACTTTGACCTATTGGTGCAAGTGATAGAGATATGCAAAACGGTCCTAACGAGCAACCTTTCAAACAGATTCAAGCTTAAATAACAGCTGCTCTCATTACAGCCAGAATCATGTATAAAAACGACAATTTCACGCGCATTTTGTCTCATCGTTCAACCATAAAATACGTTGTATATGGATATTGAAATTCGTCCGGCAGAAAGAACCGACTTAGTTTCGGTTTACACATTATCCGAGGGAAACTATGAAGGGCATGATTACTTGCCTTTCGTCTTTTTACGATGGTTAGACGAACCCAACCGAAGAGTTTTCGTAGCAGTGAAGGGAGAGACTGTTATAGGTTTACGCTCGTTTCATGTCGTTGATGACGGTTTGACTGTTGTAAGTCAAGGTTTAAGAGTTCACCCTGAATATCGTGGTCTTGGTGTTAGTACCATGCTACTTGAAGCACAGCAAAAATATATTCAGAATCATTTTCCCAATGTTAAAAAAGAGCGCTATACAACCATGTCAAATAACGTTGGTCGTTTAGCCATCCATAACAAATCATCTTGTGAGAGACTATTGCTCGAGCTTAGCATCATTGCCTTTTATGTCGATTCGAAAACTCTTCATAGCAGTTTAAATATTCCAGATTTAAATACGAGAAAATTGAACTTCCTAGAATTTCAATGTTTTTTGAGAGATGGAAAATTTGACGGGCTGTTGAAAAACAATATGTTTGTCATTGATTGGGAGCCATTTAACTCCAAAGAAAGAGAAGTTAATTGTGGTTTAGTGAAGAAAGATGATGTGATTTTGGTATCTGCCTGTGATGGAACGCCTGAATCATCCACAAAGTGTCTTAGTCATGCCCGTTTTTCTGAGAGAGTCAAGTGCCCGCATTGGGTAGCAACAGTCTATACAACAGATATAAATTTACTTCAAGCTCACATCGCTTTGCAACTCAAACACTCTTGTGAAAAGGCAACGGTGATGAAAAAATCTTTTATTTTTTCATGCTTTTTACCCACTTGTTTTGTGACACAAGCAAAACAATATGTTATGGGACAGTTTATGCTTGATTACGTTGACTTTTTCAACTTCAACTTGTTACTGTTTGAGAAAGATTTGAGTTCATTGTAAAGTTGGTTTTTTTGGTTTCATTGTATTTTTTATAGGAATTCTATTAGAATAGAATTCCTAAATAAATTTCCAAAAGATATCATTATGCTATGAAAAATTGTCATTTAGTGATTAATTACTGATTTGTTACTACCAAGCTTTCTTCTTCTTAGTCTCAGATGCGAAACTTTTTTGTGAAAACTTCTTCACAAAAAAATGCTCAAAATCAACACCATACACACATACATATCACAACAAGCTTATATGAAGTAGAGGTACAGAAAACAATATGGCGGACGGGAAAGTACCAGATGTAAACGCGAAAGTTTTTGTAAAAGACGTTTTGTAGCTCGTATTATACCCTGCTAAATCACATAAAAGTATATAAGGCATGGCGGGAAAGCGGAAATTAAACTCGCTTATCGACAGCAATGATGATTGTGAGGAAAAAGCAAGAAATCATAAGACATTACGAAGCAGTTATGTTGGAGAAAGTGAAAGTGAATTTTTGTCTCAAGAAAATAATTCTCCAGTTGATTATGAGGAATCTGGGAATTCTTATTCAGAATATAGTAATTATTCTTTGAAACTTATGGTAAGTTTTCTGTGGAAGCAGACCTTCTGTAAATGAGAAACCACGTGCTTGGCTCAGTCAGTCTGTGTGCTATTTTTAATTTTTTGATTTGCGTTCATTCAATTTCAACAGGGGAAAATGGGATATCAAGCTGGTGAAGGTTTGGGAAAATTTGGCCAGGGTCGCTCCGAAATTGTGGAAGCGTCAAAGCAACGTGGAAGGCGTGGTCTTGGCTTTGAAATTAAAGGTCTTGAAGCAGAGGAGGTGGAATGGGTTGAGACTGATAAAGAGGTATTCACCACTATTATTTACTACTATTCACTGACCGCTTTTTTAAATTCTAGTCTTATGGTATAGTTGTATTTGTGGTTTGTTATTTTGAGAGTAGATAATTTGCTAATTTAACTCTCATGGAATATTAAATTATTTTACTAGGTGGAGGTGCACGAGACTCCAAACTGGATTCCTTCTTGCAAGTTAGAGCCTCCCTTAAAGGAGACTTTAATTAATTGGATGCTTATAAAGCCCAAAAAGATGATCATTAAAGATGAAACTGAGTTCTGTAGTGAGAATATCTTACATAAAGTTCTTGAATGCAAGGTATGTTTGTGTTTAGAATTATTATTATTTATTTAATGTGGCATATTCCTGGCTATTTAATTACTCTCTGAACAATGATTTGAAAATGAGAAAATTTGTGTTGTAACAGATGTGTACATAAGAATAGATAGATGGATGTTCACAATGTTTCATGTTTTATTTCAGACAGTTTTTGATTCTCTGGCAGATGACGAGTTTTTGAAAGCACGCACAAGAGCAAATCCTTTTGAGATGATTAAAGGGGCAATTTTTCAGAATAGAGCTGCAATGAAAATGGCTAACATGGATGCTGTATTTGATTTCATTTTTTCTTCTCCAAGAGATGAAAATAATGTATGATGGCATTTCTTTCTCCATTTTGTGATTATGTGACTTAATGTATGTTAAATTTTTAAAAGTCTGTCAATCACAGAAAATTCATTTTGATAATTCTTCTATATATCTCGCCATTCTGTACTGTTATTTTAACAAAATACTCTTATCTTGTGTTACCTGGTTGTCTTCCATAATGAAAGTTATATATTGTTTGTTTACCAACCTTCTAAAATGTTTGCTGATCTATAAATCTTAATTGTTGGTTTTTCATCAGAGGGAGCTTCTTGGTTCAATGGATCTGCTTTACTTTGCTGACATATGTGCTGGTCCTGGAGGATTTTCAGAATACATGTTGTGGAGAAAAGACTGGCATTGTAAAGGATTTGGATTTACTCTGAAAGGTAGTCGTTTTAATTTAATGTGAGACAACTTAGTAGTCTACTAGTCAGTAATAATTTACATTTACGTATTGTCACTTGTTTCTTCATCAAGGTGAAAATGATTTCAAACTGGAAAAATTTCTCTCTGGCACTCCAGAAACATTTGAACCATTTTATGGTAAGGAGCTTATAATAAAACCTTGTAACCTTTGTCTCGATATGGTTTATCTCTAACTTGATCCTTACTACCTTTAACTCAATGTTATCAAACTCTGATCTGATTCTTCTGATCTTTAACTCCAGCTCATCAATCTTAAATCTATCCATGCTAACATGGAATCATCTTGATTTAAAATGACTTAGTCTCGTGTGTTTCAACATCTGCTATATTGATTATGACAGGTGTGAATGGTATTGATGGTGATGGTGATGTTATGAATCCAGATAACCTTACAGCATTTAAAGACTTTGTTTTAAAGAATACTGATGATTTGGGTGTTCATTTTGTCATGGCCGATGGGGTTGGTTAATAATTCGTTCTATATCTAAAGGATTGAATAGTGTAGTTGGCAACTGTCTCCACACTATTTATATTCATATATATCTTTCCGCTCATTCTTATTCTAACAAAAGCATCAGCTGTCAGTGTTGGCTGTCATGAAAATACAACAGTTATGTTGACCACAATATCTTTCAAATTAGGGATTTTCTGTGTCAGGACAAGAAAATATTCAAGAAATTCTTACAAAGCGTCTGGTGTTGTGTCAGTTTCTATGCGCCATGTCCATTCTTCGCGTTGGAGGATGCTTTTTATGCAAAACATTCGATCTCTTTACTCCTTTCACAATCGGCTTGATATACTTGTTGTATCGTGCCTTCAATAATGTTTGCATTCACAAACCTGTCACAAGCCGTCCAGCTAACTCCGAAAGGTATGACTGTACCCTAAGGCGAATGAAAGTCAAATATGGAAAGTGATTTTTGCAACAGTTAAAATTTGGTTGCAGGAATAGCAACCAGAAAGCGTAAAACCGATTACCACCAATGCGCGAAAACTTTATAATGTTGTTGTTATGCTTTCATACGCGTGCTTATGTTTCTGTATGACGTTCATTACGAAAATATTGCAGTTTGTCTCTGACTGTGCATTGATTTCTATTATGTAGGTATGTTATCTGTAAAGGTTTACGCGAAGGTGCTAAAGATATTTGTGATTATCTTTTTGATATTAACAAAGAACTCGGAAAACTGGAACAAACGAATAAAGATATTCTGGAGGTGATATATTGATAATATGGCACAGACGTTGTTGATTTGGCAAATCTTACTGAAAAATTCACGATATAATGTCAGTCTATTTGTACATTATCAACAAAATGTGAATCAAATTAATTGACTTTGTAGTTGAAATGTATGGGGAAGTTCATTTTTTCCTGTTTTTTCTTTTGCAAGGTCGTCCCGTTAAGCATTTTACAAAACGATAAAAATTTCTATACCTATGTCAAAAACTCCAATGAAAGGTACATTTATTTATTAGTGAGTTGGTGACTCCCATCCAATTATTCAATTTTTCATCATGCAATTTCTTTCCCATGATTGCATGAAACAAAGAAGTTTATTTTCTTTAGTTTGGGAGAAAATCAAATCAACGCGCTTAGAAAATTGAAAGCCTATGTGCAGAACACGAATTTAGTTGGAAAAGATCAACTTGTTATAAGAAAACAATGCCTCGAATACTGGAATGTACGTACGCTCCACTTTGATATTAAATTACTACATTAGTGATTATATTAGAGGATATAAGGACTAAAGTTTCGACATTAGACTGTTCCTGAACAATTTCAAAAACATAATGTCTTTTAACAGATTCCTGACATCACTCGAGCAGCACCTCGACTTCCAAATCCAGATTATCGTTACGAGCAACTAATAAAGGTGTAAAACATATTTACGTATTTTACGTATATAATTAAAGAAATTTTTTAAACTGTTTAAGTCTATAAATACAATAATATTTTTTAGTTTATGTGTGTTTACAGATTATTTGCATGTATGTGTATTTTTATGTGTTTGTGTTTTTAGACTCCAAAGGATCACGAGGAGTTGCTATTAAAACCAAAAGATTTCTCAAAACGATTATTGCCCAATTTGAAAGTCCTTGGGAAGTACAAATGTTATGTTTCAGCAGGTGAACGGTTCTTCCTTTTCAGTCTTGGGGTAAGTTGCGCTTGCCAAAGCACTTTACTCGTTGACAATAACTTATTTATTTTAGATATTTGTAGATGTAGATCGTCCAGGTTAGTTGAGTCTTAAAAGACTTTGACTCGTCGCTTGACTCTGAAGATGACTACCGCTAAGGTTGTCGAAACGTCAGTCAACATCAACACCAACAGTCCTTCTCAGGACTCTACTAACCAGGACTATCTACATCTGCAAACATCTAACGATACTCCCGGGTTCAAACCATTTACTTTATGATTGATTTTAACTGGGCTGTTGTTTTAATATTATATTTTTGTCATCAGCGTTCCCGTATTTATCAGTGGGATGGAACTCCCCGTAATAAAAAACTTTGGCAAGAATTAAACTTTATGAATCTTGAACTGCCCAAGGATACGCTTATTGAAGTAGAAAAGGTTAATGAACTTTGTGGTGAGGTAAGTTGAAACACTGATGTCCACGAAAACATTACATCGATAATAAAATTTCGGTAAGAAATAGCTATAGATAAGCATCAACAGACATTCAGAGTTAAACTGATATAGCCTAAGCACATCAACATTTCTCCTTTACGTGATAAACATTACATAATTTTTGCATACTATTTTAAAGCGACCTTTTTAAAGCTCCATGACATGTGTGATTTGTTTATTTAGGGTAAAGGTCAGCGGCGCAGAGTCGTACTTCATATTACAGATGCATTGATACTTGGAGGGAAAGATATCCGTACAAGGCATTATGAGCACAGGTATATTCATTGCTTTATTTCATCAAGTGATTATTAGCTACAATGCATTCCTTACTGTTATTTTAAACTGTGTGGATTTTTTTCTTGCTATCGCTAGTTATTTTAGTTTATACTGTATTCTCTGTTTTATATTGAACCGTTTCATTTTTCATAATTCAATGTTTTGTCACAAATAGAATGCAGTATGCAGCAATGTTTTCAAAGGCAATCACAAAACATAGTCGACCTGACATGACAATGGTGAGGTAAGTAGTACTGGTTTCAACTCACGAGTCCCAAATTTATATTTCTATAAGTTTCTTATTGCAGCCGAACATATACATCTAATGTCTTGAACTCAAACCCGGAAAAACTCTTTTTATTACAAAATTTAAAGAAAACTTTGCACTATTGTGGTGATGAAGAAAATTAACATTAGTCATTCATCAGATAGTATATAGTGTAAACTTTCAGGGCAAGTTAAGTAGTTTTGTAGCAATAATTCTCGTTTATATCACAAGAATTATGGTTTGTAAATTGACATGAGAAAGAAAATATTTTTGATTCAAACGCCTCCTCGGTGTTAGCGTTTATACAAATTAGCAAAGTTCATACTTACTTTTCTTATGCTTTATGAATAAGTTGTATTTAACAGGGCTAAAGAAACGTATGACCTGTGCGCCCTTCAAGATGTCTTCGATAGGTTGCAAACAAAACGAGTTAAAGGTCGCTCACAGCCTTCTCTTTGTTACATTGCGAATGAAAATCGTGCTATAATTCCAAAAGGGATTATAATTCTGCAACATTTGAACGGTAAGAATTGAAAAGCACAAATTATGACCTTCGTTAGACTACTGAATCTTTCTGTGTCCTTTTTCGTCTTAATCGTTCTATCTCTTTAAAAGAGTTTCTCTTCCTCTTGTCTATACATATATGTGTCCTTCTTTCTATATCTCTGTATATTTAACATAGTCTTTCTGTTTCTCTATATAGTTCAGTCCCTCTGTCTTCGTCTCCATGTCTCATATTTTGCCTTATCTCGTCTGCTCGTCTTCCGTTTTTCTCCAATTATATTTATTCTCCTATATCTAGGTGATCTTTTCATATTCTAGCAACACACCATGCAGTTCGTTTAGCCTTGCCTTAACAATCCCCCCAGTTATCTGTACTTTTAATTGACTTTCTCTTTTTTCGTGCAAATTACATTGGATTTTGATGTGTTATTCTTTTATAAATATTACATAGATCCATGGTCTTCAGCCTTCAGCAAAAGCCAACAGAAAACCTACTTCTACAACTCCGAAACAAAGTCATCGCAATTTGATATACCTTTTCAAGCAATTGCTACATTTGGGTAAGTACAACAGAATTAAATCGCGTTCTGACAGCGTGATATCTTTTCTATCTACATACATCTGCTGACCATTTATAATCATCTAGCAAAATGCTGTTCTTTTGCCCTTTCGTATTTTGTTTAATTAGGTTATCATTTGCATTGTTTTAAAACTTATTTTGAAGATAAAGTGGATTCTATAAGTTAACTTGACGTTAAATTTGCCGAAATTATTGTCGTGATTATAATGATAATTTTAAAGTGGAGCTAATGAACGCTTTGATTAGATGGTAGATTGGCAGTAAGTTCTTACAGCCATTGTCGATATCTTCTGAACCTTTATACGTATGTAGAATGTGTTCCAGTCATCGCTATTTCTGGGACTGGTCTAATCTTGGAGAGAATTTGAGCAAGAATGATGGAGAGCTAGTAAGCCGTCATGCAATGTTGGATTTTATTAATGGTCATTGCATTCGATAATCTTGAAGATAGTTTTATCAAGGATGATGGGAAGTGCATAGCTATAATATTGGATTTTATCAATGATCATTGCACTCAACGAAGGTGCGTTCTTTCACCTTTTCTTTATTGAGTAGAAATGAAGAAAATGTCACCAAGGTAAGGAGTTTATTTACTGTCAAATAGGTAAGTTGCTGGAAAGTTCAGCATTTTATTACTGTATACATCTAATATCGAATATAGACACGAAAAACAATGTTTTGTGAGGCAAACATTGTTTTGACTATGTAAAACACATGGTTTGTTACTACTTAACCATGAAAGAACCACATCTATTTTTGACTTCATCGTTGACAAAATTAAAGTAGTGAAATTAATAAATAGACTGAAAGTCAGATGCATATGGTTTCAAACCTTGTGCATCAGTAGGAACGCTTAATTTATGAGGAATAGAATTTTTTATTTAATTATGAAAACGTGCTTCGGTGGACTTGCGTGCAATGTTCAGTTCATCAAGGAAAAGTTATTCATCATTAATGAACATTTAACTTGCCGAAGCAGACTTTTCTACATCTTGTTCTCAATAACAAAGAATAATCTGATCAAATGAGATTGTTTTATAAAAATTAATTATGAGTTTTATTGTAGTTTATTATACAGAAATGATGTGAATATGTTCATAATATTTTATTTCTCATGGCGATCATGGTGGCATTGAGAAATCAGAACTATGCATGCTGTGCAACAATCTATTTATTGTCCTCTTTAAGGGGCAACAAAGTCTATACCTATCTTCTTCACAAATCGGTGTAAAACGCGTCATAAAGGCTTAAAGGTTAAGGTTAGAGGGTTATAAAAACTGCTGTCTTTTCACGGGCCACATTGATTTCATTTTGAGTTTACCGCAGCAATTAGCGTAATTTAAATAACACCAAAACACACTCTGATGCAAAGTCAACAACAAACATATAGAGAATAAACAAATCGCGTTGTTAACTTATTGCCGTTTGCACAAGTGTGATGAAAATTTGATTAAAAATTATGCAAGTGCGGAAACTGAACAAACGGATCTCTTCCTATTTTGCTTGGGTGTTTCTTTTTCATTTCCTGATGGACATATGAAATTTTATGATTTTAGTCGCACGTATTTTAAAGTCCTACAAACAGTATTTCTGACAGACGTCAGTGTTGTGAGTGATAACTGATCAGTAAAATAAAACCACGATAAGCAAAACTAGACGACAAAGTTTTTGTTGTCTCTATAACTTTATCTATATCAGTACAAGACATCCAGATTTACATCATCGACAACATGCACCAGTGAAACATATGTTCGGTGTACACACGTATTTTTTTACGAGATATAAACGGCCGAGGTATTGCACCTTTCATTCATTAAGTAAAGTAAAAAATGTTTCATCTTAACTATAACCATACGTTATTAAGAGCCATCACTGTTATTTCGTTTATATCAAAGTAAACTAAATAAGTGTCTTATTTTTTGCAATTTTTTACTTATAATATACGATATGTTAAGACCGTTGTTTGGGTTCATTTAGGTATATTTTGTCGTGTGAAACAATTAATTTTTCCTTGCTCAAGTGGTGAAAATGTTTTCGTATTTTTATACGCATTAAATTTTCTTTAGTAAATCTTTTCAATTCGACAAAAGACATTGTATAAATAAGCTTTTTTACTTGTCGACAGGATATATCCCTTTATACAAGACGTTTTTGTTTTTTTGATAATTTACAAGAAAGATATAGAATTTAACTATGAAAGTAATTCTATCAACGCCATTTAACTGAAATGAGGGTATTGCTAATAATCACATCGTGTTTATTTAAATCAGTGCAAAGCGCACTTATTTTTCAATTACTCGCTTCCTCTTTCATTGTCGTTATCTTTATGTTTGACAAAGGAAAAGACGCACTCCTGTGTGAGGCTCTCGTTTAAACACCAATGGAGAAAAAATTAACACTCGCAGTTAATACGTAAATCCTTTTAGTCAAATATTAAACCCCCTCTGAAGTCGGACACGGTGACATTTGGCAAATCGTGCTTCTGTTTGGCTGGTAGACACGCGGCTTGACTTTCTTTAAGATATTGGCGGAACATAAATATATTTATAAATACGGAATTGCAGAAGATAAAGTGTTCAAGAGTTGAATTTTTTCCGAAAATGTCTATTGGCACATCGTTTAGTATCGATAGTATCTTATCAAGACCTACGTATCGATATTTCTCGCCGTATCAACTGCCAATGACTTGTCCATCTTGTCCAACCTCAGCAAGTTATATCAACCATATGTGTAAGTGTATATATCTATACTAAATACAACATGTTTTTGATCATCAATTTTCAAACAATGATTTTAGCTTCTAATGACCAATTATTTCATCTTTATATACGTACGCCATGATTTATTTGTCAGCTTCATGCTGGCTAACTTTTGCTTTCGATATCCTAAAAGTAATTTGTTAGCTACTGTTGCATGGAAAAACTTTTTTCAAATTTACATCCTTTACATTCTTTGTCACATGAAAAACTTCCTTTTTGCTACCAGTGATTATCTATCTATCTTTTTTTCAGTGTCATTGCAAACATCCTATGGAGCCGACTTCTATACTTTTCAACCGAAACGCAAGAGACGTCATCGAACAATTTTTACGGAAGAACAGCTCGCGTTATTGGAAAAAACGTTTGAAAAAACGCATTATCCTGACGTTATTTTGCGCGAAGATCTAGCGGTGAAAGCTGGTTTAAAAGAAGAAAGAGTTGAGGTAATCTAACTGGCTGTTTATGTAGAAATAAAGCATGTTAGCTTGTATTTTGGAACTTTGCAGAAGATATTCCAACGCAATTTTTGTGTGTCTATAGCTCCTGGTAGCTAGGTTGAAGAAAAAATCACTTAGTTTTGGCCAGTTAGCAGATTTGACTAATTGTCTTTAAAAAAATATATGGCTACTTAGTGACTAACTTAATGTAAAAATATTGTGCTTTTTATTGTTCGGAGCTTGTATAGATGATGTTGATCAATTTCATGTTGTATATATTTAAAATTAGTTTTATCTTTCACCATCAACATTTTTAAATCATGCAAACCATTAAATGTAGCTAGGTAGCTGATAATCAGCCTATTTTATTCAAACAGTAATCATAAGGTCTTCTGCATGACAAACTGTTGGTTCATGTTAAGTTTATGCACGTATAAAGGATGTGCGTCTCTTATCTAAATTTTCTATGTAATTGGTCTTTTACTGATTTTCATGGCCAATTAATGAATGAAGCTAATTATTGATGCAAAATGTATTACTCCTTGACCCGTGCAATTACCTATGTATGAACATCAATATAGATTTTAAACGTTATTTCCAGACATGGCTAATAAAGAGCACGTTTATTCTCTAGTGCTTGACGAGGCAATCGTCAATTTTTTACGACAGGAATGAGAATCAGTTTGGTTGCTGTTCCTCCGAAATTGACATGTTGCCTCAAAATATTATTTAGTTACAACTGAAAAGTACGAAAAGTATTTTTAACGAGATTTCCCAACTTTCACATTAGATAAAGATGATTACTTAAAACCACTCAAGACCAGTTTAACCAAAGGAAATTTTCATGAAAATGATAAATAAGAATTTTGTTATAAATTTTACCAAATGAATGCTCTGTTCAAATGATTTATGGCGAAATATTTCATTGACTAGTTGAGCATTCATCAGGTTTAGACTTTAAAAATTTAGAATGTGAATGGAAAGGGGGGGGAGGAAATATTAATATATATGCATGATATGCCATGTTAAATTCCTTTGAAGCGTATTGTTTTCTACAGACTATAGCATGCGTATATGAACACATATGAACATAATGATGTATTAATAATTCTTCAGTTTTTTTTTGAAATATTTCATTAACTAGCTGAGCATTTATCAGGATTGGACTTTAAAAAGATCGTAAAATGTGCATGGGAAAAGGGGGAGGCAATATTAATGTATATGCATGATATTTCATATTAAATTCCTTTAAAATCTATTGTTTTCTACTTATTATAGCATGCCTATTTGAACACACACGCCGCCTCAATTATAGATTTTACTACGTCTATGTGTGCATGGCAAGTTTTTATGTATTTTTTCACCCCATTCCAATATAACGATGTACAGAAAACTTTGACCGACAAAATATCTCAACAACTGTTCATAAACGTGTTTGCACGTCGTAGTTTTGTGCTTCCTGTACTCATTGCATTTATCGTGGCAATTACTGAATTAGTATAATCCACGCTAAGCCAATTATAAACAATAAAGAATCTTTTGAAAAATCTCCCAAGTACTCAAAAGAGAACCGTCTTCACGTTGGTCAACTATTTTGTCAAAAGGTGTGAAAGCAGCGAGCTTGCAGTATTTTTGGAAGTGTGCTATTGGCACACATAACTAAAGTCTTGAATGTCTATAAGAGCCACTTTTTCATGAGTTATAGCATATATTGTACTTCTGTTCCTGGATTGCAATCATATTAGAAACTGTTTTTTTTTAATATTCATGGAGGCTTGGAGGACTTTATTCTTATTTATATTAATAAACAAACTTGAAGATCTTTGGCTTAGTAACGCAATCATCTTAATAAAGTGGAATAGTTTTTTATTTAACTAAAACAATTTTATTAAGTCACTATTTGTATGTGAAATTGTTGGATATTACACGAGCTTTCATGTAGTTGCCCATACAACAGACTGTTGTTGCATTTGAGGAGTGTTTCTTTTTTTCTATGATGTATTTAGCCAACCCCTACAATATGTCTTTATTTTATTACTTGATTTACTCTGCATGTTTCACGCATAAGTAAACCATCTGGGAATTCATGCTTAATCTATATTGGTAAACACTCTACGACACTCTATTCATGTCGTTCAATTGTTCAACATTATAACTCCCTAGCTTTGACTTGGATAGAGGTTGCCCAACTTGTATCGTTTTTTGTCTTGTAAGTTCTAAAGTTTGTCATGAATTAATGCATAATCAAGTTATTTTATATATACTGAGTAGCATTTTTTAATTTAGGTTTGGTTTAAGAATCGTCGAGCAAAATGGCGAAAACAAAAGCGCGAGTGTAAGAGAGTTGGCGAAAGCACTTCCGATCAAACAGCATGTTTGTCGTCTTGTGTTGGGAGGAGTACATCGCCTTTACGCGGTTTAGCCACAACCACAACAACCAAACTAGAGGCAGCAAGTTTTGCACTAGGCGAAACCCTTAATAGGGGATCGAGAAGGTTATTTTCATCAGAAGCTGCCTCAAAAGCCGCAGTTCTAAAGAAGACTCTGCATTCATTCTCTTAATTAGACAGATTTGCCTTAAAAACTTCAAAATGCGTGATGAGAAGATTGAAAAAGATTGTTTGGCCGAGCACCAATATGCAAGGGATTGGTACTGTACATATTTGTTTCTGATGCATATTGGCACTGCACGCACACTTAGCAAGACATTTAGACAGAAATGAAGAAGGATTTATGATGCAACGATGAACAAGAGATTTGTACAGTTTCAGGCCTTTAGGTTTTCAGGAATGAATTTTTCATGATTGGTTCTCTCACATGTGGACGTTTATCATCTAATATTGTGGAAAAATTATTTAAGGATATGCTAAGAATGTAAATTTTACAAATGTATTCCGTTTTTATTTATAAACTGTGTTCATTGAAAAAGAATAAAAGTATTTTTGATGTGTTATGATGAAACTCGTGTTTTGACATGTTTTTGCTTACATTTAGCGATTACTTATGAAAACTCTGTTGATATATGAACTCCTGAATTAGGCATAACACAAAACTATGGATTTTGTACTTGCTGCAAAAGGTAGATTGCCATTTCAGGATAGTGGCCGAGAAAATAAGGAATGAATAGAGAGGACACATTTTGAATATTTTGGAGACATTTAGAGGCTCTAAAAGGATGTTTGGTACATGTATAATAGAGGTGTTGTTCATATAGAATGATGTTGGTGTTATACTAGCAGATAAAAGTCTTAAAGGAAAGCCAAAGAAGAAATACATAGTTACACATGACAACCTAAAATTGCTTAGTTTTTTTATGTTGTCTTCCGTAGTATGATTTATTTGATTCTTCTCTTTATTATTATGAATCCATACAAATATTTTTAGCCAAGTCATGATTAAGACGTGCATATTTATTGAAAAATAGTAATAAAAATAATACTAGTTATGTACAAATTTCGTTTGGTCGTATGAAGCTCGACAAAATGATTAGTTGGAAAGAGATTTTGTTTCACAACGGACTTTGCAGACGTACACATTGCATGAAAAAATCTATCCTGGATTATTTTTTGTTCAACGTACAAAGTTTACGTTTACGAAAATGTTAACTTGTGCTGTTATAGCAGCATGGAAAAATGTCAATAGGCTTTGGAATCATCTAGTCCTGTAATGATTCCAAAAATACGAGTAACATGCTACAAGCATGAAGTTAAAGAGGTAGCTTTTTTATCATGCAGCTAATTTTATCAAGTTAGCTTTGATTTTGCAAAGTATTTCGAAATCTTGTATGTTTTTCACCAAGCTGTCTCCCGAGGTATTGTTCTTTACATGAATACTATTTTGTTTTGAAAAGTTTGGAATGCTGTTACATACATGCTTGCGTGTGTGCCTGCAAAATAAATAGAAGAACCATGCATGTCTGATCTTTAAAGACTTAAAAGTCTTTAATATTTAAGCTCCACTGGATAAAACCAACAATGCAGTTAAATCTCAATGAGTGATTTCAGACTGGGCCGGAACAAATTAAAGCTTATATCGCATTATAAACACAGATTCCTTATAATTTTTGTAATTCTTATCTTGTTTGTTATACCCCGTGTGGTACAGTGTGAGGGAGCAATTATTTTATTGAAGCACGTGTCATTCGAGTATAATCGTATTTTCCGGCAGTCAGATGTTAGATTATTTCGACATATCCGGAAAGCTTTTATCAAATGAAAAAGAAGAACATTGATGTAGTCATTTTAACTAATCTTGAAATGGAAAGCTTTGAATTTCGTTGTTTGAAATATCATATACATTCGAATGATATAAACTGATATCTCATATGGACATATTCGTTTTTTCTTTAACGTTCATTGAGTCTTTCTAAAACTGTCCACTATAGCTCCTACGACGACAAAGTTATGTGCTTCAGATTGTTTGAATGCAGTCTTTACAAATTTGGCTTGTAGTTGTGGAAATTTTTTGTTCGTATTAGCTAGTTACTTATACATTCAGTTTGTCGGTTGTTGTGTTGTGTATAAAGTTGATCTAATTTGGATCTGCATAGAGATTAGTGCCTTCGCGCCGAAATTAATAGTCATATCTAAAACAGGAGTTCCCCGGAAAACCGACATATATTTTGGTCTTAATATAAGTATCTTTCTTAAATACTTCTTCAATTTACAATCGTGATAGTTTTTATAAGTGGCTAATTTTGTTAGCCTCAATACGTTTAAAGCTTTTTAACGAAAAATTGTATTTACCGTGAAATTATCGGCTCAGGTCTCAATTCAAATCAATCTGATTGTTCAATGTTCATTGTACAAAATACACACATAAAGATGTTATTTACTAAGCTTCACACGAGTTTCACACGTCATCTTTAATTCTTGAAATTCTATGCTATAAGCTTCATTCTTTATTTATTAATATTGTATCTTTACTATGTTTTTCTGCTGTAATTGGCACAACCACACGCGAGGTTGTACGTGCACTTTGACAAAAGTTGAAATGAATGTTTCTAATGATTAATACAAGACTTGTGGCGGGAGTGACAAGCTGTCTTGTGGTTAACGGTTGTGATAATTTTTCCTACATCAAATAGCCTAATTAAACATTTCTCTGCACCCATAACCCAAACATTAAAGTATGTTTGCGATACCTAGCCAGTCGTGTAAATACAATTTGATGTTAAATAATATCGTATATAGCTACAATATATATGAACTTATTAATTTCCCTTTGAAAATTCTCCATGCTCTTTCATATAAATTTCTACGTGCTCTCTGTAGGGATTCTTTTCGCTTGCCCGTTTTGACGTCTTCAAGTCGCGTTCACTGAACGCTTAATATATAGTCAAGAATTTAATAAAATATCTTTTAAATTTTAACAACGCCGCTCTTTGTCGGTTGTCTTTGCGCTATTATGCAACTCGTAAACCGTATCGTCTACATCTAAACGTTATAAACATATGTAAATTCATGCACAATTACTCATCACTCCAAGTATGTTTTAAAACGAACTTTCAATCATAGTTATGGCGTGTCTTTTCCATGTGGTCTTGCTTCATCCAATGCAGCGTGTCTTGCTCTTTGTATTACAGTAGATATTCATTAATTGTTCTTAATCTTGCAAATTTCGCTTTTACTGTATGGTGTGTAATAACGGTCAAGCTATTTTTCTTTTTGAAAACCTTACAACTTTAACTGGTACAAATGATGCAATTGCGAGTAATTCCTTTATTTATGCATGGTAATCAAGTGTTTGTGTTTAAAATTAAAGCAATGGTACTCAGCTGACGTTTCGTTTATGCAACGCATTGTTAATTTTCTATGGTTTCATTGTGAGTACTATTCAACTGTGTACGCACGTGTAAATTTCTTACATCACCCAGTGCATGTGTACACAAAACATTTTTAAATGTGTATAAATGACTACGCTTCTTTAAAGATTAAAGTACTTGAAATTGCTCTCAGCATGAAGAATAATTTATGATGGGTCATTACATATAGAAAAAGGTATTTTCTCCATAGATTACACAGTTATTTCTATGTGATTTATATAAATGTTATTTTGATTCAATGAACACGTTCAATATATATCATAAAGACAACGGACTAGTTATATTAAGTCAGAAATTACCATTGTATACCTTGTTTTTCATTGTGAAAGATTATTTAGGTGATCATCTGTAAACTTTATTTAGAATTGCATCTGAACTGTTATATGCTAAGGTAAATAACACATGTACGATATCTATGATAGCTCTAGTCACCAGTATGATGACGGTCATTTTGATCAACATTCATACAAAGAAATCATTCATATACGGTTCACTAAAGTGAAAATGTTCCTTCAATAGCTAATTTTTGTAGAAAAAAGCATTTGCTTCAAAATTTACACTGGGTCCGTTGGTTCTTGCATGCGTTTCCGCTCTGCCCAATTAGTTTTCGAAATCTTGCTTTGTTTTCGTAATATTTGGCGGCTGCCATGAGTCTCCGACATGTTTTACAATTGCAAGGAAAACGGCGTTTCATTCATTGTGCTCTACACAAGGACGTCTGCCAAGGGGCGTTTTGTGTTTTATATCTCTGAGCAGCGGCAACGTTTTACATTATTTCATGTCAGACGATTTGACGCCAAAATGTCCGCAGATTTGAACCACATGCAAGGGAGTGTATGAAACTTCCCTATACTTAACAACCTTGCAAACTAGTTTAAAATAGGTTCTCGTCAATTTTTTGAATGGTTTAACGAAATCTCCCATTAATCGCGTGAAATCTTATTAGTTTTGTTTGTATATATATACCATAGCCATTTGTACATTCAAAGGCGTATCTTATTTTGGATGCAATCTCTCGCCAGAGATTTGTACTAATAAATTATTATCGTACGTGCCAGTTATGTGTCTTATTTTTGTTTTGAAAACGTCAAATGCTAACATTAAAGATGCTGATATTAGTAGTTTATGTTTATTCGCTCGAGTATCACTGATTTTGTCGGCTTTTTACGATTCACCCGCGTTGAGATTTTAATCTCTGATCGTATTCTTGAGCTATTTAATTTTTAGATAAAGCCTTTGCAATTTTTAGTCACCTTACGTATTTACTCAAATGTGTCGTACAATTTTTAAAATATTGCTAGTTTACTTCGTATACACGTCAAGTGTGAAAATATTTTTATTTTTTCCCTCCTCCCTCCCTCCCTCACGTTACTCCTTTTTAAAATGTTCATATTTGTTGAGCGGCAACTCTCGAACACCCACCTAATTTTCGTAAAGTCATCAAATGACTTTATGTTTTCTTATGCTAATGTACAACAATTACTTTGAAAAATCTGCTTTATTTTAATGACGACTTTTACACAAAGATCGTGGCGCCCGCAGTCATCTCTATCCACTTAAAAAGAGAAGATCGACCAAACGAGCAAATTGATCAGTTTGTTAGAATAATTGGAAAAGTTTCAACTGTCTTCCACGACTGATCATTGTCAATGTAGAAAGAGCCACGGTTCTTGTGTAGACATGCCGAACATGTTTTCATCATTGAAAAACATGCAATTTTGTTCAATTTAGGTTTTCTAATTACGTTTTTGGGTCTTTTGTGCAGCCGTTTTATCTCAGCCAATACCGGCATTCTTTGCGTCACATATTATGTTTGTCGTAAATATTCACTCTTTCATTCAACAAGAGGTTCTTGACAGGAAACAGTAAACCAACTAAATTGGCTTATTTTCTTAAAAACCGTTATACTCTTCCTCAATATTGTGCCTGTTTAATATCACATAAACAAAAGTTTGCCTTGTCATTTGTGTTTAGTTTTACGACTGAATTTCAACCAAAGCTATGTAACTAGGTGAGGATATTGTCATTGATCTGTATCAAATTTCCAAATGTCCGTTTCATTATGATTTGTGTAAATTGTAATGTGCCGTTATGGTTACCTATTCTAACTCATTTAATTTTGGTCGTGTCTTGGTCGTGTGTGCAATGCGCTGTTGTTGTTAGCTCTTGTGATAATTTATCGTGTGCATCTCAGCGTGTATAACAAAGTTCTTTACCTTTTCCACAGCGGGATTTTTCATTGCTGGACTGTGACGGTGAAAGAGAACCAACAGAGAACAAGGTCGTCTCTTCTGCCCGCTGTAATTGATCTATGAAAGTACAACCTACTTTACCATTTGGAATTTTACTGCGGTTATTCATAGGTATGCCTATATATTGTTGTATAAAATATAATTTACACGTATTAAAATGTATGCATTTAAACCTTTCAATAATTTGCCTTTGAATGATACTTCACTTGCTGTGGGACTGTAGCAAAGTTATGTCTAAATATGGGATATAGTTATCGCAAAAGGCTTCATTTTTTTTAGTTACTTAAGAGTTTTTTAATTTGTTGACAATGCTTCATTTTTGTAATTTTCGTACAAGAAAGTTGTGCTTTTTCAGTGTCTTTCATATTAAATAAGCACTGTCGACCATTAAGTTTGTAAGAGTTTGTTTTCCATTTTCTTTTTGTCGAATATCAATGGCGCAAAAATACTGGAGAAACAGAGTAAAATCTGTTTGAACATCTTCTTATGAGCTAGGGCTTAGACATTATCAGCAGAAATTTGATCATCTTATCTTACATGGGAAATTTTTATTTACAAGCAAATCTTAAATCTTATATTTTTTTATGTTTCATTGTCTTTTTTTCTTGCGTCCCAGGTACAAAAAATTTTGCATTGATTTGTTCTTTACTCGAGTTCAATTTTCAGCTGTAGAGAATTAATTGCAATTTTTTATGTGTTTGGAAATCTAAGTATTTGACACTTGCCCTCTTTTTAATACTTAGCTGGGGATAACATGATTTTATTCATGTATTGATTTTTAGCATTGAAAAGTGATTCGCTAGCAATGTAATAAAGTTTGGACGTCGTTATCTGTTCATGTTTGTGATTTTTCATTATTTCTTATTGATACAAACATTGATATTGACATTGTTATCTTTAGGATAGGCACGTAGGATTTAATTTTTTGTCTTCATTGGTTTAGGAGAATAAATTTCAATGATGAATTAAAAGCAAATTATGATTGGATGATAAATGTTTTGCAACGATTATGTCAACTTTTGAACAAACTTTGTTTTGATAGTAATGTAAAAATGATTGTAATTTTTTCACGTCAGCCAAGGTTAGCATTTTTCATCAATCACAGTTCTCGATCCAGTCTTATGTGTAGTCACTTAGGGCTTATGTAATTTTAATGACTATGGGATGATGCGAGAATTCTCACCTTTTCTCGAGTTACAACAAAAAAATTTAAGTTCATTTCACGGCTTTGATCAAAAATCGATTCTATTTTAGCAAATGACTGAATTCGATAAATTCTCGTAGTTCGTACATTTGAATTGCATTAAATGGTTGCTGAGCCATTACCTTTGCCAATAGTTATTCAACACTATATGTTTGATATATTCGAGTTAATGAAATTCTTATGTATAGTAATGAGAAGCATTCATCCTATTTTAAACCAAACTCTTTCACGTTTTGCTTTTTAAAGAAATTCACCTTGAGGACATCAATTTGTGATGATATTTAAAATTAGATCTCTGCATGTTAAGAAATCTTTATGAACAAGGCTAAAGCATGTTTTAATTATCCTGTGTTTTTACCCTGAACAAGAATTGTGTCCATGGCCAAATAAGGCGAAAAATTCTCAACCACGAACTCGAATATTTTATTGTTTGCGGAGGGCTCGCAAGGTGGTCTGATGGGAATGCTCATCGTAGCTTGTCCGTGCCAATTTAATTTCATGTGTCCTAGAAGCGCGTATAATGCATTTATGAATAGGTGATATAGGAAATTATTACGTTAATCTACTTTTCTTTGTAAAAAAAAATAATTCTCTTTTTGAAACTGTGGGTCAAATCATGTTGAAATTAACGAAGTTTTTTCATTTCCTCTATCGATTTTTATTGTCACCGTGAAGAAGAAAATGCGAGTGTCAACATCAGTATGTAGTTAGATTCATTTTGTCAACTCATGAACATTTGAGTACTTTCCATTTTGAGAAAACTTTCTTGAATTAACTTATAGCCCATGGTGATAAGCCATTAACCTATAATCTCTGCTATTCTTCTGTACAACTTTAAATCAAACTTACATGCATTCATGAATTACTTTGGGAGGATATTGTTATACTATAATAATTAATGAATGGGAAATGTTTAAGTTTGCAAGCAATTTAGGTATCCTTCAAAAAATCCTTCATTTCGAAGACATTCGTAGAGTTGTATAACACATTAGAAAGTTTCAGGAACTAAGTTTACTTACATACATAAATTGTATTGATTATTCTTTTCAAATGTTGAAAAATTCATATGCAGTGAGTTGATTTTTCAAGTTAGCTATGTCGTTTTTAAATCTTCGAAAGATCTAATTCTCACTTGGATAAAATTCTTAAATGGGAATGACGCTTTTGCCTTTCTTATTCACAGGTTATTGTGTAGAAATTTCTCATTCCATCTAAACCATGCATCACTTGTTTTTGTCATGAAAATATTTTCTCGGCACCTATTTTGCTTAGCACAGCTCGCGTGTTTGAAATTATATTAATGGACTGTTGAACTATACAATTTCAACACGACGTGTGGTGTATTCTGTTATGCTGGACATTAAATGCTCCTCTGTGTGAGAGAGCGGAAAAAGAACTATGCACTTTAAACATTCCAAAACAATACTTTAAGCTTGTTGTCTTTTAAAGAAAAAATCCACGCTTTTTGCTACAATTATTGCTTCGTCAGCATCACGCTCTTTTGTCTTTGATACAAAACTGTAAGTTACAAAATGTACACAAGCTTTGTACGTTTCGTATATGTGTTGATTCGATTCCTGGGATTTGATATCTTATCCCCGGGAATTGATATCCAACCATTTCTGTTTGTTTTTTTTTACATTCTCCATGCGTTTCATTCCTATTTTGGCCATGTTATCATTGTTATGCTACGTTAAAAAGTGCCAATACACACACATGCCTATATTTTGTAGATACACCAGTGAACTCGTTCTTCTTTTGTGTATCTGTCAGCGTCTACATACTAAACGCCAACTTCATTGGCCACAACGTCATTTCAGAATTACAATTCCAAACAACTGATGGAGGTGCAACATCGCTTGCACATGCGACGTAAGTTTTTGAAAGTGAATCTTTGATTTTATTTTGAATAGGAACGACTTTAAAACGCTTGATATTTTATTGCTACACCTTTGCTTAAACACTTTCGATTCGATGTAACGAGAAAACGAGGTTTCTGGAAAAAATCATAAATGGTGCTCGACCATTTTTGACGTCAATGTGTTTGTGTTGCAAAATATTTATACGTACGCAGGAACGCGCACGCGCAAATTAAGAAATTAGCATGTTCTGCGAGCTTTTCGTTCGTGTGCATTTTATTACTTACGTGCTCTATGTTCAAAATAAGGAAAGAGTCTTAAATATTAAGTGTAATATGAAGTACCTCCAATTATTTGATAGTATTAACTGCATGCACTAATTCTTTACGCTGTTCAAGAGAGAAGATAGAATAGAATATAAATTTTAGTTTTCATTTGGAACTTGTGCTCTTGAGGAAAACTTTATCAAGCTTTTAGGCCCGTTTCAAACGTCGCATTTTACATGAGCCAAATGCATTAAAGACAAAAGAAAATGCGATAAAATGCCTCATTATCTTTTGTTTTAAATGCATTCGGCTCATGTAAAATGCGACGTATAAAACAGGCCTAAGAGTAAATCAACACATGAGAAATATTGTTCCAACACCGTACATGATATCCAACTAGTCCTAATTGTGTGATTGTTAATCCTTCATTTAGTTTAACACGATCAGATTACAGATAAATTAATTTTGCCTTTGATTTCCCTAAATAGTTTGTCAATTTCACTGTTTAGCTACATCCTTATGAAAAGGTTTTTTTATTTTACTGTTAGCAGATACCTGTAAAATATGTTGTTTTTTATCGATACAAGTATTAACCTCATACTTACAATTCAATGCGCTTTTATACAAACGTTCTAGAAGATCGGCACACGGAACGCTTCATAAAATACATCGTGTTAGTGTTGTTATAGTGGCAAGGTTTTCCGTGATCTTGTGTTTATGTTTATGAAGGACTTGAATAATCCGGGCAATAATCCAAAACAAAACAGTCTGTGTTTCTTGGTAGATTGGGATTATGATCGAGGAGCCATGCAATGTCACTTTACGTAATACACCAAATTAGAATAAGAAAATTAAAGTTCGCAAAATTATTTCTTCATGATAGAAAATCATATATTGTTGTATAAAAATTTTTTTATTTCCTTTCCTTCCTTTTTCGTAATCACATCCCTTGTTGCTTTAAAATATACATGTAGAGATACCACTAAAACATTGTTAATGGTGATCATTTGACACTTTATATACACCTGTTGAATAGTGTATTCTTATTAGTCTGATAAATGTTTATTGGAATCAAATCGTTGCACGTGATACAACTTCCCAATAATTGTTTATATATATTTGTTAAACATAACAATAAGGTAATATTTCCGCACTTTCGCTTCACAATGTCTACCGAAACCTACTGATCGCTTGTGGACGAAAGCACGGAGATCTTATATATTATTGTTATTTTTCTTCATTGATATTTTGCACTCTATTGTTTCAGTAACGTTATATCTACACGAGTAGTAATTTCAATACTTCAACTGATTTATGGTTATTTTCATTTTGATGTTTTTTTTCTGAGAGATATTCTGTATGTGGGGGTGGGGGAGGGCAGAGCAAGGGAGAGCAGAGGATATCGGGTGTAGGCATCAAATATAAAAAAGCTCTTGCATCCTTTTTTATCCCTGTGCTTACTTACATTATCCCTTGTTTCAAATAGTTTTTCTCGTGTGAAATTTGAGAAAAATCTTACAATACTGAAGCGCATCCAATTACCTGTGTTTGTAAAGCAACACAGATCTAAACTATGAATGGGAATTGCTTTTATGTTTAATGAAAGGGGTATGTTAATGGCGAGGGGTTGGATTACGATTTTCATGAAAAAAAGTTTTGAGTCATGAAAAAACATTACTATTTCATTGACGATTGTTCTTGCTTCGAATATAAATTGTGTGTGGAAGGACAACGTTGTGTTCATGCCATTTGCTATTATTCATGCATCGATTTTTTTTTTGTTTTAATAAATTTCGAATTACATAATTGTGAAATTATTTGAAAAAATTCTGATTCTCGTGTAGATTGGGCCACTTATGAAGTGTTTGATTAGAAAGAAAAATTTAAGTCCTTTGTCGACTGTTTAGAGAGTAAATTGTCTTGCTTATATCATTTATTTTTCTGTCATTTCATAATTAAATTAAAAAATTTTCAACTTCTCGATTTCTATCCATTGAATCGTCTTAAGCGCAAAATGTTGATTAGATGCATGGGTGTGAACTCTCGTCAAAATTTTCACCCAAAAATATAAAAAAATTTTTAAGAGTTGGTTGTCAGTGACAATTTTGAGGATTTGGTTTACTATGCATCCTGCTTTTCTTTTTATATCATTTAATACCTATGGTTCTTGTCCATCTCGTTGCTCTTTTATCTGCTTTGCTGTATTGTTCAATTTCTTATTAGATTACGGTTTTGACCGCTACTGTGTTAAATTCGTAGCTTGTAGAACAGCACTGCTAGGTTTTTTCTCAACTCATGTGTTCTTATATGTTAGTGAGAAGAATGAAGAATCTATTATCCAGCTTCTGGATTTTTTCTCTCATAAGTTGTATTGTTAGAATGTAATTAAGTTAAAGAAAAAAATGCCCAAAGAGAGGGTTCACATTTATCTTGTTAAACTATAGTACCAACTATATGGATAGTCACATTACAGTCTTTCTCGTTGTGTCTGGGTGTCAACGGTTTGAGGATCTTATCGATATCAAGTTTCTTAAGGAATGTCGTTTTCGCTGTGGGACTATTTAAAAGCGAAATATATCTCTCTTAAGCAACGAAATTTCACGGGATGGCATTCCTTTATGTAAACAAAGTTTCAACCATATAACCCCCTGGTGTTATAGGACACCAATATAATCTGGTCATTAAACGTCTGCTCTGGTTAATGTACTTCATCGTTGCTTAAAAAACCATTACGAATAAAAAAGCAGTGTCTTTCTTATCTGCACGCTCACTTCAGTTTGGTCAACTGTGTTGCTACGTTTTCCTTATTCATTTCTTTATCTTATCCACGTTAGTTTAATACAATTGTCTGTGGCTATTTATACGTAAGTACAAATGTATCCTAATGTGTATGTCTTCAATTTATCTGTATGTTTTGATACATTAGGTAAATATTTGGTAAACTGTATGCCAAATATACTATAAAACTGTGTATGTACTTTAAAGTGCTGCGCTAATTCGTTTGTGTTTTTCAAGCAATCATTCGGCAAAGTCCGCATTTATGAATATGTATGATATTTCTGAGAAGCAATTTATACTTAAATTTGATTTGACGCATGCAAGCTGAGATTTTTCCCGATCGTATGAATTTCATTTGTTTGTGATCTTTCCGAATATTTTTATGCGTTTTCAACATATAAACTAAAGGCTTTTTCTTTATGTTTTTAAACTCTCTTTTATCATTGTGATTAATCAACAAATTTATGAACATTTTGTGAATATGTGCACACCAACGTGTAAGGCGCGAAAATAGCTCTTTTCATCGGGCTCTCATTCTGACCTGGTCAACACCTTCGAAGGTGAGTCGTTGCCAGGTCGTAGTCATCATATTTGAGCATTTCCTAATCTTCCGTTTAAGAAAAATAGGGAAAAGTATAATTTTTGGCACGAGGGAAATAAATGTTATAAGTAGCTGGGAATATTATATAATGTAAACAAAATTGTAGTTTATAAATGAAGAATTCTCGTTAATAATTTCAAACTTATTTTTGAGATTTGTTATTGCATAGAAGCTTCTCGAAAGATGATTGTCCAATTGCCTGATAATTTACTAAAATTTTGATATTATAGAAATGCCAATTGTTGAACCATTTTAACTGACATTTCGATCCAAGTACCTTTGTAAAATACTTGCACATAATTGTTGAAGAATGTTGTTCCAAATATAGTTAAGGCTGTCAGCCTAAGGCCATATTTATGACGTCATAGAAGTGCTCGATATTTTTATTTGTTCATGAATGGCTGCTCTCTATACATTTAATCATGTTTTTTTAAATGCCAACATCATAATAAATCTGTTAAATATCAAATCAACTTTATGAGGACATTTCTCACCCTCGGAGCATGTATCCTTTCTTGACGACAATGTTTTTATACTTGAATTATACACATATATAAAAGTTATTTGTTGCCATTGTCGACAATTTGTGAGAATTTTCGGTTCGTGATGCATGCAGTTCTTGTCAGTTATAATCTATCAATTCATGACGGAATCTCTGTAAAGCTTTTTATCTTAAGTTGAATAATTTGAAGAAATAATTTTTAAATGTTTGATTGCTCAAGATGAATGAAATACGCTTCTGTCAGTTGCATTAATAAGTAGTTAACATATATTGTTTTTTTGCATCGTGGTTTATGTGATTTTAATCCTTCCTTGCAGTCTTTCACTCTTGAAATTCGTGGCTACAAAAATGACCACACTATATGTCTATGAATAACATTCTATCATAGCAATTTCTTTCAGTTTCCATTGATCATTTATGCTAAATCGAAATCGCATAGTTGTGCTGTCCCAAAATTTTAAACGCCGGTCGTTTCCAATATATCACAGTTTGCTCTACCATAAAATGTTGTGAAATATTTTTTACAATAAATCCTATATTGCCATCGACTAATGTAATTCGTGCATTAGACGTAAGGTGACCTACTTTGTTAACACTCATTTTCATCTTAAATCCTTCTCATTTGAAGGGCTTATTTGTCCCAGCGTTAAGACACGAATTTATTTGTACGGAATATGAGTGTTTGATTCTTGGTATGCGAGCTACTCATTGTAGGAAATATGCTGTATAAAACAAGTAGTTTTTTAACTAGCTCATTGTCATTTAATTCATTATCATTAAAATTACAATATGTTTAAAAAATAATTTATGTAAAAGTGAACGATTTTGTCTACTTAGTTTTTATCAACTCACATAAAGTAATCATTTATACGATGTAGCTACGTTGTTATTTTTTTGAGGTTTTTAATTTCTGCTGTACTTTATCTTCTTTATGTATGATTACTTTATATTTTCATTACTCAGGCACAACGTCGACACATTGTTTTATTTGAGCCATATTCTCAATGTACCCAGTTGTTAAAGTCTATTCGCGAGTTGTAGCCGGATTTATCCGTTTTTGTGTGAATTAGGTTCACTGAATTTTGCATTTCATGTTTCCCCAGTCATGCTATGGTTTGAATGGAATGCCATGCGAAAACGTCATGTAAGATGTGTCATGAAGTGAATGATTGAAGGGAAGTAGAAAAAAATGTTACTATAATAGCGTGACAAAGTTTTCTTTTGTTCACAAAGATCCAATGTGGCCTTTTACAATGTGTTGTTATACAAGTGGTCGTACACAAATCCTTTTATACGATCTAGCAAAGCCAAGGCGATAGTGGTTTTTATCCCATTACAATCTCAGCAGAGTGCTGTTTTAACTATTTTAATACCCAATAATATATTTAATGTCGTAAAAGAATTGGCACAGATATCTTATCCCTCAAACGTTTCTTGTATTTAAGAAACAGTTAAAATTTATGTGCTACAAATATTTAATAATCTTATAGGCATTATACTACTTTTGTGGTTTTTTTCATAATTTAACGACTACGGCTATATGGTTTTACTTAGATCTAAGTCATATGATCACCATGGCAATGGTCCCAATGTAACCTCGCAGTATACGCACTGATATATTCAATAGTGCACTACGTCCCTTTGAGTTGCGCAGTATTTTTCTCGAGTACCTTTGTCGAGTACAATGTATATTTTTCATCTTTAAATAATGTTATTGCGTCCAAAATATATGATTTTTCATGTGTGTGGTGAATGTAGCTGTAGGGAATGGTATTTTTTGAGATCTGTTCGTTTTGTCAGTTGGACCTGGTTTGGTTAACTAGTTGTACTGTCAATGTATTCTGAATGAATCTTACATAAACTTTCTTGAATTTTTCAATTCTGTTGATTATTTATTGTGATTACTTTCCTACTTTGATAAATCATATTTTTAACTGTCGTAGAGCGTATTTCATTCTAGATTAATTTACAAAACTTTCGTATGTCACTTACTCCATATTATGCAGCCCAAAGTGTTGCGTTTTTCAAATGTACTATGCATAGAAATATAAATTATTTTTGTTACTGACCTTCAGTCGGATATGATTGATTTAATTATCTTGTTTTTATCACCTTTCTGAAGCTTTACATCTCTCGTTTCACTTGTTGAAAAAAGAGTGAAAATTGAATTGTCGGCGATGACAAACCTTTAAACAGATAATTTTCGTTAGCATTTCCTTTAGTTACGCCTCTTCATATATGTAGGCGAATAATTTTTGCGTCAGTAGAACTTGCACTTCAAATACAAATAGTCGTGAAAACGATTAACTTCTCTTGTGCTGTGATTTAACTAGCAAATTGTGTCTTAAACGCTTAAATAAATAATACACAGATTAATGGTTGTATTTTACGAATGAATATTGCCTGGAGTTGATGTATCAACTGAAAATAAGCTCTCGTATTACAGTATTTTGCCTGAAGACAAAGTCTATATGTACCACCGTCCTACCACCCACATGGTGTCGCAGTGATATTCCGAATGCCCCCAAAAGAACCTAAAAGAACATGCTGGATTCTTTCCAGTTTTGTAAGTCTTAATTGGCTTAGGTGCGCAAAGTTAATCGATGTGTGGTTTGTGGTTTTCTAGTTTAGTCATTATTGGCGTTTATATGATCATTGATATACTCTTGTGGCAAACAAAATGTCACTAATAAATTATTTATATTTACAATGATGTTTATAATATTTACAATATATATATGGGACGTATACGAATAATGCCCATTTCAATTTATTCTTAATAAAATATACCATCGTGCTTGATAAGCCATATCTGTTTGAAATGCATGTGATTCTATCATTCAATGCAAAGACAACACATTAGCTTCACATTCTTTATGTACTTTATGGTTCTCTTTGCAATATGAGCGACATTTCCAAGACTATCGTAACTTCGCCGGTATATTATGCATCATATATAACCTCTCTGCAATATCTATATATCCTGTGTTTATCCACGAACCTTCTCCAAAAGTTCATTTAATGAAATATAAATGTATATTTTATACTCGAGCTCTATATTTTCACAATATTTAAGTTGCATGCTTTAGAAAAACTGTCAAGTACAGCTTTTGAAATTTTTATATACAAGATTTTTTGTTACCTGCAGAAGAGCCGCTTTGAAGGTTTTGTAATTTCTCCTTCACAGGGTACGCGTTGACAATGGGCGTGGATAATATGAACTGACATTTTCAAATTATTCTTAACAGGCCGACTCTCTGCTCTATAAACAAATGGATTGATAATACTTGAATTTGTCACTGACTTCTTTCCGTACACTAAACAGAACTAATATTTTTGAACGAATGAATTTGCTTTTGGTAAAATTGTACGTGAATGTTCTGGACTCTTATGACTTGAAACTAAAACCATTTGCATTACCATGCTGCATGGTTGAAAAATTTCAAATCGGTCGAACAAGTTGATATGTTTAAGGTATTTTGGTGGCATAAGCTTCCTACTCGACTAACGTTAAAAGCAATTTTTTTCGTACAATATATGATTATTGTGGTTAATTGATGTAAACTTTATGACTTCGATAACTTTATTATTACGAAGATAACTATTAGATAACTCAGTTGACGTCTGCTTTTATTGTATCTTGTAACACCAAACAATCATTATTTATGCGACTTTCGTATCCATCGAGAAGTCATCTCTCACATTCTCTACGACGCAATGCAACAGTTTTCTTTGTGTAGAAGCTGGCATAGTTATTAATGAATTTGTTCCCACAGCGAATGCGTTTTTTCACAAGAAATTTAAGCTTTTGCGCGTGGTTTTACGGGTCAAAATGTCGTCCATCTCTATCAATGACACAGCTTTTTTTCGTGTTTTGTCATTTATGCATACACTAATATACCGTTACAACACATGAAATTTTTGTTTCTGTCCTGCAGAGTCCAGGTTTCTGTGCATCTTGATTAGGAGTTTAAAATTAACATTTTTGTCACTCAGTTGGTATCGCTTACATTGAGTCAAGACAGATTAAATGTTGTCCAAACTTTTCGTTGACATATGCATGTAAGGTTATGGCTGTCAATCTTTTATCACGCACACAGCAGGAATCTTTAAACGATCAGGCAAAGCTCCCCGGTAGCTCACAGCACAGATACACATTTATCGTATTGCTTAAGTATCCTGTTTGCAATTACACTGCATCTAGCGTTCTTTGTGTGAAGTTTACAAAGACGCACAATCACAACACGCCTGTTAATCTACATCATAGGAATTGAGGAATCATCAAGAGTTTGGGACATATTTAAAAGGATTTCTTTCTTTTAGCTACATTCACGAGTGATTCGATGGCCAGTTTTCCGTGTAATCGCATGGCACCATATCCCATTCATGGTATAGGATTGTCGCACCATCCAAGTTATGATATGTTGGGACCGTTGGCGTCGAACTATGGTGAGTGTTATTTTGCTCGAAATTAACTCAATTGTGTAGGAATGTTCTCGCAATGTTGCATGTTTTTACCAAACAATAATAATACAGCGTACGTTATGAACAGTGCATGTGTGCATTTGAATAATGGAACCATGCAAAATAATGTTTTATGCCACGTTTAATCGCAGCTTCGCAATTGTAGATATTCCCATGTATACATAACTACGTTTCTTCTATTTAAAAAATTCCTTGGCAAAAGCTTTGCTGTCGTGCAGAAGCGCCGGAATTGTGTAGAGAATCCGTTTTGTATCTGGCACAATGCCTAAGTAAGTTATTTCTTTCAAATGTGGCATTTCGTCGTGATATATTTGCGGTGGTTTGCCATCTCTTGGTGCGCTAGAAATTGGCTTAGAGAAAAGTGCTTTTGCTGGGTTTTCGTTTAAGTTGAAATGCATAATATTGTCAATCTTATTATTATGTTTAATTGTTTTATTTATTTTTCAATTTGCATGCGTTTAGTTTATGCAGTAACATTAACTTCAAATAAAGTTGTTCTTCTCAATTTGATGGAGAATGCTGCATGAACTTCATCCACGAATTACATATCTTTGTGTATGTGACACTGTTTGCGTATGTGCTCTTTGAGCTTTCGTATGAAATCATGAGCGTTTTTCTTGAGCGCACACATGGGTGAAAGCCAACAAGCTTTGTAAATCATTACACAGTGCTTACTGAAATTTTTGGTTTCGAATATAACTATTAATATTGTGGCTTATCCATTTCAGCTATATTGCTATAAATTTACCCAAACTATTCACATTGTTTTTACGAGTCGAAAATTAATAAACATAAAGTCTTTGCATCGAGAGAAAGAGTTGTGTTCGAAATATTAAGGCTCGCTATGGTATAATATGCTAGTTGTGAAAAATTTGTTATCCACCTTGCAGTCAACGCTGTTAAAGGAAAAGGGTATTAGTGCTATTATTCCTCGCAGTTTGAGACCAAGTAGATCGAGATATAGATTATGTGTTTAGCTAACTAAATACACAGCTTGTAAATAACGTTAATTCGAGTGTTTCAATTTAGTTTCGTGAGACGTAAACGTATGCTCGAGTTAAGCTATTAATGCGTTGCAATTTTCACAGTTAATTAGGCATATACGTGTGTTTGCGTACTTTGATCATCAGAAATATGGTTGTCTTTTGTCTTTATTAACGTGTTTTTAGAAGAAAACTTTGCTGAAATATTTGTTTACGAAGAGCACCATTACGAAAACGTACTTGTGTGCTTGTCATCTTGTTTGATTAATATAATGTTTTAACGCTTGCTGAGAACATGCAGGACATCAGAAAGTGTAAATATTTTCATTTCATTTCCTACTTCCATTTCATACCTATGTTATGTTTTTCTCGCGTGGGCCTATGCACGTAAATGAGAAACATATTTTTGGTGCTAAAGCGAAAAAAGGAACTTCAGTCGGACTAGCTAAAAGTTATTTTTTACTGCAACGAACTGATATTCTGACGTTTTATTGTCTTAAGCAAGCAACCTCAGAGAAAATATTTTTGATTATTGTATTTTATTTCAATATTATTGGATCATCTATACTTTAATATTTTCAAACATTGTAGGCACACCATTAGTCCATTGAAAACATTAAAATATGTTTTGTTCTGGGCTGCGTGATTACTAACATATTCTACATGTTGTTTAATGAAGTGAAAGATACAAGGCAATTGCATGCGCGAATTAAACATCGCTAATCTTTACTTTTATATGTGCATGCATGTTGAAATTTCCATATATTGGGTCTCTGCTTTATAAATTTACTTTAAATATTATTTATGTTTGTTAAAAGCAAACCTCTATTGCACTTATAAGTAAACCATTTATCTCTATAAAGTATATTTTCAAACATACCAACTGTTGTATTTGTACCATAAACGTCTCAAGAAAAATTTGCCGAGTGTTAAGATAAGGCAAAGGATATTTTAGTTCGTGTATCATAACAAACTGTTCTTTGTACATAAAATAGCTTGTCTTAGTTGGATTAATATTGTGGCAAAATACACATAAAGAATTGTGTATCGACGGTAAAATTCGTGTAAAGAATTTCTTCGGCTTCTAAGATTTACCATGTTTTTCGTAATTTTTATACAGTATAAAGTTAGAGAATATAAAATCATATAAAGTTAGCTTGGAACATGATAGCTAAACATCCGTCGTGTCCAAATTGACATAGGAAAGTTGATCTTTTGCACTTACCAGTAAAACATAAATAGGACAATACATGTTTTGTATGCTGGCGTATGTTTAGGTGTTAAATCCTGTTGTGAACACAGATATCAAATGTCGTAAAGTATTTTTCACCTTAATTTTAGTTGGGTAGAACCCATTAATCTGCATTTACTTTTGTCTTAGTCAAAAATCTTTCATTAAGAAAATCATTCGACCTCGCCCCTCAAAAGAATTTTCGTTTGCCTAAATTATTCTTTTTTCTGTGGCTACTTTAATGTATTCTTTCCCGTTGTTACAGGTCATCACCCCCCACGAAAGCAGCGTCGAGAGAGAACGACATTCACAAAAGGACAACTGGAAATACTTGAAGCCCTTTTTGCCAAAACGCGCTATCCTGACATATTCATGCGAGAAGATGTTGCCATGAAAATAAATCTTCCTGAATCACGTGTTCAGGTATGTTACGTATGTAGTATGTAGCACGTAGTTTACCACCAAAATTTATTGCTTGTTTGTTGGATGTGAAAATATCGCCAGCTTTTGTTCCAGCAAGTTCAAGTTGTTACAAATCTCTCTATGAATCTTAGAGGAGAATTATCAATTATATCATATTAATGATGCAATATTTTTATGTTGATGCTCATAAAACGCATAGTCTTGGTTGCTGACAACTTTACAGCGAGGCTGCTACCATTTGACTATTTCTAAGATACAATTTTTAATGTTATAGTTTTCGTATTTACAATGTTTTACCGTTTGAAAATTTTACTGGAAATGCTTAGGGAAACTGAAGTATTTTTTAAGTCTGACGTAATATATGGATCTTACAAAACTAATCATCACATATCATTTAAACTTCTTACTGTGGTCAAAGAAATTTTACCTATATCAAATGATATTTTACCTATATCCTTTATAATAAAAAATTAAGCAATAATTTTCTTCTCCCTTATGGTTTTATATGGTTTTCCTTTATTTGTCTTTTTCCATATGCGTCTCATATTCATGCAATTAGATCGAAACTCGTAGAAAACAGGGAAAGGTACCTCATACATTGTTACTCATGGCAGGTAGATTGAATAGAGATAGATATACGTGTAAGGCATGAAGTTTCGGATTTTTTCATGTCTTGAGTAATGCTGGTAATGACATTTGGTCAGCAGCTGTCACTGTATAATGGTATTTATATGATTGCCAATTTTCCTTCACATTTTTCGTCAATCGTTTAGGACTTCTATAAATACGAACGGACGATAATTAGAGTGTTAAATAAAGGCGGGTCTGCATATGTGTTTTCACGATCAGCATAGCCATCGAACACATTGTATTTTTGTTTACACGCTAATTAACTTGTATTAATCATTTTGTGATGACTGCTTTACGTTTAATTGAAAACAGGTTTGTTCAATATAGAACATGTGTAATGTTCGGGTTATGAGATATATATGTGATATATATGGTTTAATGTTGCGTAACATTTCTGATCAAATTACTGGCAAAAATTTGAAATGACATTTATTTAAGACCTTTTCCTGTTATAACGTGCTGTGATGCTCTTTTTGGGCTTAAGTCATCCCGTGTTCGTCACAAAAATAATTATTTCTTTATGTCAATGGACTCTAACGCCAAATAATTCAGACTTATTATGTAGTGCTTCTATGTAGTGCTGTTTGTCAATATATTCATTACTTACTCACGTATATTAACAGTCTTTGTGTTTCTTCAAATTTTATCTTCACATCAACCTTTACCTTCACATCAACCTTTACCTTCACATCGAAACTTTTAAAAACTCTACAAGCCGCCTTGAGGCATGAACTTTGCTTTAATACCTAACAAAGCACTTGCAGATAAAACGTATTTAAACGTGTTCTTGTGTCTTCCTGTACTACTCTCGATTTTTCCACATAACCTGTGGCTTGGTATTCATCGTTTTTTCTGTACTTTTGAAATGAGACGTGACGCGGTGGGAGGTGGAGTTAGCCAAGTGCATGTTGAAAAATGATTATGGAAAAATTTGGAAACACTTCCGTTATGTGACAGTGACTATTGAAAGATATAAATCTTGTGAGATAGTAATGTGATGGTTAGAACACAAAATGATTATTGTTTGAAATGTGGATATAGACACGCGGAGATGGATGGGCGGATATGGACACGCGGACTGTTTGTAATTTGGAGATAGTTGTGGCCAAACTTGGTTGTTGATAACTGCCTTTTGATTGAGTACTTCAGTTTTATTTGTTTGTTTTTTGTTTCAACGGTCAAAAAACTCATCTTTTATTAGGTTTGGTTTAAAAATCGACGTGCGAAAGTTAGGCAACAACAACAAAACAGCGAAGGAAAGCCAAAACCAAAGAAAAAACCACCTACACCCAAAGATTCTCCAAAGATTCCAGTTACATCTGGTTATCCTCAATATCCTAGCTGTGGAGCTAACATTTGGAGTCCTGTTGGGGATCAATCGGTACTCAATCGGCCACCTCCGTATGCACCATCCCTTATGAACAACCCATTACCCACCATGGGAAGCTCTTCATCCATGCTTGTACCAGGGCCACCACCTCCACCGCCACGTTATTGCTCATCGTCCCAGGACTACTCGTACATGAGCATGCATTTCAATCCACCACCAAGCTCGGTATCGCCTTCATACGACTATCTAGAACATAATGGCTTGCCTACCGGACAGCCGCTGTCTATGCCAGGAGGCAGCAATATTTCTCGTGTGTAGCACAAGAATTGCTTGTGAATGTTGCCAGCTGTAGACTATGGAATGCGAACAATCCAGATTAAATGCGAAGGTGAAAGTGTCATTGATAAATACGAAATGACATAAAATGTGTTCGAAAAGTGTCTTCCTCCTTGAGGAACATTTTTTAATTCCAGAAAAATTAAAATACATGGAAATATTTTGACAGTGGGAATACTTTCAGATGTAATCTGAAACTGGAATAGAACAAGAGAGTTGTCTTGTGTTTAACAAGTACTGAAGAAATTAAAGTATTTATGTGCTAAATGAGATTATAAGATACAAAGTGTTGAACTCAAGGTTACTTGTAACTTTAATAGAAAGACATTTATTTATTTTCCAACGATAAAAAATGGTCGTTTGTTGTGGGTTGGTGCCGTATTTATGCCTAATATTGGTGTTTAAATTTCAAATTGAAACTTCAGTAACCTTAACTGACCTACATTGACGAAATATAATTGTGAATAGTACAAATGGAAAGATGTACAGATTTAAATACTAGTTTAGGTAGTTTCATTAAATTTTGACATAGCTTTGACTTGTGGTTTTTTTTGAAATACACAATTAATTTTTTAATTTTCACGGATTGAACGACATCGTGACGATGCAAACTTTATTTGACTCTGGAAATTCTATATTATACAGGGTGTATTAATAAATGGGAAACAATTGATATTCTACAATGCATATTGTTGTGCAATATGGCTTCTAATCGTCGAGTTGAACTGTTGATAATCATGCGTGATTACTTACTAGAAAATCCTCGGGGCCAAACGTCTTTTGTGCTGTAAAACAAAGGGTATATTATAATACTAAGTAGTTGTCTTTTATGCCCCCATGTGATGTCAGATTTAACCCTTTGTCTTACGATCTTCGATGACTAGAAAAAAAACAAAGATTTTTACACTTTGATCTGTATTTATAAAATAATGATATGTCATATATCGGTGCATTGTACCCTGTTTGATCAAATTGAGCTGGTAATGGCTTAGTTCTAGTCAAACTGAAGACAAGATTTTTGGTCAAATTTGTGCTGGTAATGGTGTAGTCCTAACGAAACGGAAGACAAGATATGTAAGTTTGATCTTTAAACTCGCTGCGTGTGTGTGAAAGTACATAGGTTTCTTGTATTGCATTCTCTTTAACCTTTTGATATCATTCAGTACAGTAAATGCTTGTATTTTCTTTTACTTGATATGCATTAGATATAAATATTTGCTTATATTTTTCATGATGGCTGGAAGTTGTGTGCTATAAAACTGGAGCGGCTAAGTGGACTGGGGCGATAAGTCGACCTCCCCCTGCTTTCATATTCCCGCCTTTAGTTCAAAAAATTTGCATTTTTCAAAAACAAACATCAATCGACAGACTAGTTGTTGGTTTTATAATCTGTTATTCTTTTTAGCATTTCTTTCAAAATGCCAACATTTTCTTCACTGGTTGGATGTCCCAATGTCCGAAATATTTGCTTTTATTGTTTCTTTACCAAAAAATCCATAAAGCCGTATTTGAAAAGACTAATTTGATAACTACATTTACTGATGTTAATCTTTTTTATTAACAAAATTCAATATAATTTTCTAATATTACTAATATCCAGATATTTTTTGTTTTTTTTTTAAATTCAACTTACTTTCCTTATATAACACATATCAAATACATACACATTTTTCATTGTGTTCTTTCTCGTTCTTTCTTCAGGGGGGAGTGAAAAATTGTGATATTTTCTGAAAACAGCCGCTTCAGTTATTATAGAACTGATGTTATTAATCAATATTGGAAACATTTTTAACTTGTTCGAGAGTATTCATTTTAGAAAAGACCTGAGAATTTAATGGAGTATAGTACATCCTATATATCCGCTAAAATTCGGCAACACTCTTGGAGAGTTTTGCAACTTATTTTCTTTTGATGAGCCATACAATACACATTCACTATAATATAATGTAATGATATTTTTGCTTATTTATGTATATTTTGTTGAGTCGTTGAAGCATATTTTAATTTTATTACACAATGCTGATCCATTTACGATGATATTGTACAGATAATCCGCAGGGTTAGTAAAATGCAGGTGGAAATAATAAGCATGATTCAAGATTTCTTTAGAGAAGCTGTTTATGGTGGGATTACTTCTCTAAGTTCTCTTTACCAGGTTGTTATTACACGACGAATACCCGATAATCCAGCTAAAGTTTTAAAAGATCGTTGAATAATTTCGTCAAATATCCATTGTCTACTTTACAAGCAGTATTTTTTATTTTATTCACATTGCAAGCCATGCATTAAAAGTTTTAAAGTTTGAAAAAATTCTTAGTAAAATTGAATATCTTTACGACGCAATATTTCCATAGTTTAAACTCCCTGAATTGTATCTGGATTCATTTGCTTTTCACAACACGTACATCTCATTTGTCTCTCATTCGAAAAATCTCAGTTGATATTTTTTAATAAATTTAGCAATTTCCCTTTAAATGAGCTCAAATATGTTATACTCTTGCGTTGTTTGAGTGGCTCGCTGTAGAGATTGGTAGCGGCTGCATCGAAGGCTCGTGAAAATCGATTGGGTGTTGAACGGCAGGTGCCATAGGCCGATTGATGTACACTCCCATTGGGAGAAAGGGTCTGTCTTGTGAGCCCGCATGATATCTACCAGGGGTGGAATGCGGTATCATCATGGAGGTGGAATTGTTACACATTGAGTTGCCTATGACTGATGTGGGGTACGTTGGACTGCGAATTGTTTGATCATTTGGCGATCCCCACATTGTGGGATATGCTTGATATTGACTATAAGGTGCATTAGGGGATGTTGATGAGCTCTTTGGGACGTTTTCCTTTGGCGTTGAAGGCTTCTTTTTTGGTTTTATTTTTCCATCCGCGCTTTGCTGCTGTTGACGACATTTAGCTCGGCGATTTTTGAACCACACCTGTTGGATAATCAAAATCAATTTAGTGAAAGATATTGCAAAATGATAAAGGCATGAAAATATTCGGTGATGTCGTGTTGTGTTTGCTAATCCCACACACGTGACTCACTTGTGCATGATTTGATGTCATTTGTACTATCGTCAAGTCATTATTGCTATTATTGAGCTTTGCTGCTTTTAATCTTGGAGGAATGATGAATATAATAATATTCACATTCTGTGGCTGTGGTCAAGACAGTTGATAAAACCAGTTAATTTCTCCATTGGCTTATTTCCTAATTTTCCTTGGTAATTGTGTTAACTGATATGTATGTAGGTCATTGAACTTGTACCTCCTTCAACAATGTCCATCATATTTCAACACATCCACCTATTTTACGTCAAAACTGCACAGAATTTTCACACAGGAAGGAAGACTCAAAGATTCTTATCTTCTTCTATTTCATTCTGTCTCTAATTTTTGTCTGATGATAAATATCGTGATCAAAGTCTGTAGTTTGGAATGCCCTAATTTCAATGCAGTATTTAAAGCAAACAAAGTCTGTGCGCGGATGAAGATTTTTTCTTTAGTTTAAAAGTAAACGCTGTTTGTTTACGAGCAATAGACACAACCTTTGACGAAAAACCTATCAAATTGTCAAATTTTACTTTGTAACTTTTTCAAAGGCTTTTTAACCATCGTTTCTGTATTTTACATTCACTTATTGAGTCTAAACATCTTATGCAATGTCTTTATATCGCAGAAGTTACCTTAAAATAATAAGTCTTATTTCAAGTAAAAAATTGAGCCGGCAAAATGCTTATCGTGTTATTACTTAAGGTAAATTCTAATGCTGCCTTATAGTGTCGTAAAAGTACACTTGTAGATACATGAAGAATTTTGGGAAACTGGCTTAAAATTGGAGGGTATAATCGACGTTCCAAAAGCTTACATGATCTAACGCTTATCACCACTGAAAAGCTTGTGTGACCATTAAGTATTAGTTCTTTCGAAAAGGCCAAACTTGGTAAAATTTGAGCAAATTGTAATTTTCCATGAATGGCATGCATCTGTTTCAAGGAGCAAATGAGTTGCTAAGACGCCTTTTTTGCAATTAAACAAACGGAGGATTATTTTTTAAAAAAAGTAAAATAAAACTTCCTTTTACACATATATACCCGAAGGGAAATTCAACGTGTGAAGAATGTAACATGATTTAGAAAAGTCGATGATCTCAATTACATTTAAATAATCGCATAAGCTTTCCTAACAATCGTATCCCTAGTTTTCTTTTGCCGTGATTTGTTTATTCAAAAATTATTCGTATTTGGTTCTTTGCTGAGCACTTATAAAGAGTAGGAGGAAAAGAATCAGGAAAAGCGCTAATGTACTCTCAAAAGTCTTGTCGATTAATACGTTGTGAATGAACCTCACTGCAGTGTTCATCTATTTTGTTCAACGTAAAATTTCATAAAATTGCAATCTAAATACAAATGTTACTTTTGTATTAGATGAGAATTTTCAAAGATTTTTGTTTTCATCACACGATTTGCTGTGCTCAATCATGTATATGCATGCCATTGTTAGTGTGTTAAGTAAACGTTATTGAAAACAGCCTGTTCTTTATCATGCACATCTTATGATGCTTTGAGGTAGTTAATCATACATGTACATTTGTGTCATTGTATTTTTTGTTCAGGCAAACCGACCACCTTACCTGCACTCTCGATTCAGGCAAACTGATCTTCATTGCCACCTCCTCTCGCATAAATATGTCAGGATAACGTGTCTTCGAGAATAAATCGTCTAAAATCTCCAGTTGAGCTTTGGTGAACGTAGTTCTTTCCCTACGTTGTTTTCTCGGTGGATGGGCTGCAATGGGAAGATAAAGTTTACACTTTGATTTCCTACACACTCTTCCATATTTCTGCGTATGTTTGTTTGGTTGTAACTGCGTATAGTTTATCCTATACCACGTTGAGTTGATGGTATCAAAAAAGCGTTAAGTTAAACTCCCTATACCAATGCAAATTTAGACAATGCATTTAAGATCTGTGTTGCTGTTTTGATAAAAAAAATTCGTCAACAATTTCATATATTAGGATGAATATTATAATTCTATATTTTAAGGCTCTTAATATATCATATATGTTAGGATTTAGATTGTTATTCAGTCGTTACTGGCTCATAGATGAGGTTGTTTCCATTAAAATGTACGTGCACAAATTAGATTATTTTTTCACATTTATAAATCATTAAAATTAAACATTATAACAGGGTGGGGTTTTTATTGAATTCTCTCTTTATCAGGTCTTTACAGACTGTGCGTGTTCTTGTGGAATCTCACGATTGCTCAATTGATTAAATGTGCAAATCACCTAATGAATAGTGTATACAATATGTACATTACTTAATTGCATTTTTTTGCGTTTGAGAAGTTTAACTAGCAGCTTTGTTATATATGTATTTCAAGTTTGAGGCCAGTCGTATAAAACGTGTGTTAACAATGTGTATGTTTGGATGTATTCTTGTTACGTTTTTCTGGTAGATTTGAATAATTTTGAACAATGATCGATTTAATGTTGTATTCTTATTGGCAGTAATTGTGTTCCATCATAACACATTAATCTTGTGAATAAACAAACATATTTGCTTACTAGTCAACTATGTATTTTGATTAGTATTTGATTGATCGCACAGCTAAACAAGATTTTATATAAATACATCTTAAGTAGTTAAGAATGTTCTTTATGTCATGATTTGGTGTTTAGTCTTTGAGGTCTCAATCTATTGCCAAACTTTACAAACAATGCTACAGACTCTTCTAGCAGTTCGTGTATTTATTACTTATAAATGTGTGTCTTATTCTGTACAGTCGGGTTCATCCATTTTTATTAATTTTAAAAGGCAACTTATGGAATATGTTTTAATAGTGCTACAATGTAAAGAACATTACAAGATAATTTGGTACAAGAAAGGCTTAGCTCTTATCACAGTATTTTAACTAATATGTAAAATGATATATAAAAATAACTGCTTTGTATGAAGACAATTGCATAAGACAGGAAAAAATTTACAAGCTTGTATGCAATGACATTTGGTTTCCTCACTTTATTTTAGGGAAATACCGTCTTACCGCAAATTGCTGTTTTAATTACTTTGCAGACGAGGTAGTAAAACTTTCAAGATAAGTAAAAACAGATCTTTAATGACGACAAAATGCTATAGTTTCAACACCAGTAAAATTATATCCTGAATTATTGCACAATAATAAATTTTCCTCAAAGTGTTCGGCAATTAAAGTGTTTAAAAATAGTATAACTTCTAAGATTCCTTTTTCCTTATACTTTATTGTTGGATATAAAACTGATAAACCAACAATATGTTTTTGCATTGTATGTCGTGTGTGATCCACACAAAAATTTGATCGATTGTATAGGTTTTAATGATGTGCAGAATATGTAAAATTAAACTCGTGTATTGTATGTGCGTTGCAAATATCGTAGTAGTTGGTATGACGCGCAGAATTTGTAAATTTATTATTGCGTTTTAGATGCTGGCTGTGAGTTAGTTTTGTTTGAGGAAGAGATTTCCAAAATTGTCGCTTTCCTTTTGTCTAAAATGAATGTAAGCCAAATTGCGTAGGTGAGTCGTATTCAAATCACGATACTCTGTGCAATCTTTCTTCAATTGAAATACATCGGTTACACATGTGAATGGTAGTTTTCATAAAGTATTTTGACGTGCAATTCTTAAAAGATTATCCGCTCAAATGATTGACTTACTAACACCTTCATATTAAGAACAGTGTTAAAATATAGCAACTGTATAAATCAATCGCCTATAAATACAATATTAGGAATATATTTATTTATTCAAATTAATAATGTAATTGTTTGAATTTTTTAAGGAAAATACTATAAATATGCTGTATATTTGCATCATGTCAATACAGTTTAAGGTTTAACATTAAAATACAACACAGCCAGTCTCATTTGAGTATAGTTTACATGATGGTGTTTCCTTAATTGAAAATGAATATAACTGGTAATTTGTCTAGCAGTTTGTATTTATTCGTTGCTGAAAGCCAAGAATCAAGGAAATTTTGTACCAAATTTAAACCCGGCAAAATTTATCACACCATTGTAATATTGGCTTCGAATTCCATGGCAAGCTTTCTGTTTGTTTATCACTTTTAAAACATTAAAAGAAATTCCTTGAAATTATAGATTATTGTCTAGAATAGGTTTTAGACGAAGAAGAAGCAATAAGATGCTAAGTCCCTACAGCATAAGAAAGTGTGAGTTAACTTCTGTTTCATTGCTCATAATCTCTATTATGTTCAAGTAAACGTTGTGTTTAATAACACAATATAATTATTTAAATGCATGTGTTTTTAATTTGTATCATCTGGATTGAATTATGATTCCAGAGTAAGACAAAGAAATCTTTAATGATAAATTAAAACTGATATATGTAAAGTCGTTATTATATAAATACTTACCAACTGCTGTGCTCATCGGATTCATGAGTTCATAGCTGGGATGTGTTAACCCAATACCATGGACAGGATAGGGTGCCATTCTGTTAAAGGGAAATGCAGCCATTTGTAAATCGTCTGATGTTAGGAGAGCCTGAAGAAAAAGAAAATATATTTACAATAAGATGATGAACGACGGCGATTTTAAACAATTAAAAACTTCCACATGCAAGCGCGCAAATTGTTGGTCAGACATGCATTGTATTGGTAAATTTTCTGTTGATTACCGTTTGCTCAATCTTTTGTGCATAAATCACGGTGAAATTCGTATGTACATACAATGGTCTTATGTTTATTTCAAATTGTCTCTCTCACTAAGAGATGGACCACTTGTAAATCCATCAGAAACTGACTGACACATTCATTATCTATGTGGGATTTGACGCAGATAACACGTAACTTGATATCACGTTGCTGATGTAAATGAATTTTTTTCAAAATGAACGTAATCAACATCCATAATTCAATTCACGTTACACGGCGTTGTTAGTAATTTCCTTGCAGTTGAGGAAAGAATAACAGAAACTTTCGTTTATAAACTAACTCATTTTAACGGTGGACTAATTTTGATCACATAGTTTCAATAGTATCCCCGCCGCCGTCTTCACGACACAAGACGGCATTTATAGTCCTGACTTCGTTGCATTAACTAACAAAACGTAAATAAGAATACACAAACGACGCATGGCTTTAAAATACACGTTAATGAAACGGATATATTGAGTTTTATAACACTGGGCATACTTTCAAACAGTTCATCTATCCACCCAAACCGGGTGACACCCAGTGCGTTAGTGTTTTATATTTTTAACCACCGTAGGGGTCCTACAGAGAAATAGTTTACCATTTTTATAACCGACCAATTCTGTTGAAATTAATGGTATCACCTTATAGCTGAATATGTGATTACTATTCGTTTAAGCGTGCAAAAAAGTACTTTGACTTTATCAAATATATTTAATATTTTACTTATTGTGCTCATAATTATTTTTTTTATTTTAGAATATTTCATTTCTGGCTTATAATCTCTGGCTTTATATAGCATGTATGAAACGAAGTTTTGATCAATCATCTACTTCTGCGCTAAATACAAGAAGGCCAAAACGTAAGTTCATATCTTATTTAATGCACACAATATATATAAATTACTGCCTTAGGATACCTCAAAATACTTAATTCAAATAACCATTAATATAATGTAAAACTCATTGAAATCACGCTTTAAATTTAACTAAAATATTGAATACAGTCATGAGCTATATGATCAATTTTGGAGCTACTATGGTTGTGCAGTCATATGATTTTTTTTTCTTGTGAGCTACCTACAGATCGTAAAAAAAAGTAAAAACTTTACTTATGTACATATCAATCTATAAATACTGTAAAGTTTTTAATATTGCTTTATTATTGTCACTAGAAACTGATGAAAACGAATAAAATGTTCTTTAAAGTTATAGCACTTGAGTTTAGAGAGCGCTATAGTATAGATAAATATATACCTTTGCATGTTTCACACTTTGTACAACAATTCTATTATTATTAGTATAATCCTTTTGATTCTTTGTGGGAACAATCAACAAGGGATGTATAAATTAATGATTTTTGTTTAGTATTGAGTACATAATCCATAGTTATAGATCACAGTTAAATAAGCTTCAGTTTAATGTTTAAAAATGTTAAAATATTTTAAACATTTCTTTAAACTAAGACGAAAATGTGGTTTGAGGTGTAAAATGGCTTAAAAATTTAGTAATAAATGATGTTCGAACAGATTATTTACTATGTCTGGTTGTGCAACAGCAAAATATCCTGTTTGTTCAAGTACTAAAATATTTACCATTAACACCAAATGTCATAGCGTGTATAATATGACTTGGCAAACTATAGCAACAGCAAATTCGTGGCTTCCGTCGACTTCGTTCATTTTAAACAGAAACTGTATAAAATATTATACAACAATTATAGCTATACGCATACGTTGATCATTGGAATTTTGTCATGAGTTCAGGTCATTGTATAGAGGGACTCGTGACATTTAAATTACTGCCTGTGTTAGAGAAAATTAACTTGGTAGATTACAAATTTTAATCTTGTAAAGAACACATTGTGCTACATGCATTTACAGTCAACACACCAGATCGAATAATTAGATACATTACATTCTCTCTTGCCACCCATGCACGCTCACACAGCGCTTATTATACAATGAACCTTCATTTGGTGCGAATTTAATATGATTAAAAGATATTTGGTCCTTTAAAGTGCAATTTTCCGTTGTTTAATCGACGTTATGTTGAAACTGAGGAGATCACCATGCATCCATAATCAGAATTTTTGCCTTCACTTCAAAGATGACAATTTGACTGCGTTTGAACAAACTTTATCGGTTTTCCGGCATGTTTTTCCTTTGAGATAAGAAGATTTTACATGACAATCTGGAGATTTGCTCGCCTCAACAGCATGGATGACATTTTATTGTTTTTACACAAGCACCAATAAACCCGACATTAATCATTGTGGAAACAAACGATCACATCTATTTTTTGTTCATGAATATTCATCAATGTAATCATTTTATTTTTGTCAATCAATTGATAACATCTTCTTTGCAAAAGAAGTAACCGTGTTTTGTTAAGTCATTAAAACGCATGTATGTCTATACCTGGTGGGTGGTAAAAAGCCTCTTCTACACACTGACTACACTGTATAAAGATTAACGAGAGACGAGAAACGAGTTTCTGTTGTCTGAGATTCAATATAAAAAGTTGGTCTGAAAATAAGCATTATTTCCCATTCCATCATATGATCAACAAGTATACACGCTATACGAGCAATCCAAAATCAATGTTAGTGTCACGCAATGACCATGAAGAAATACAAAGTCACAAACCTTAATCATTTATTGACCCTTTCCTATAGCTCTCTTCTGTTGTTATGTTCTAAGAAATGTATAGTTTTTGGTGAGATGTGAAGACAATAGCACATTTATGTGGGCAGATTTATTTGAAATATAATCTTGATATCTAACATCCCACTTTCCTTTTTATTGAATCTGGTAAAATTTAACAGGAGGGAGCCACGTTGACATTTCTTTTTTAAAAGTCTGCAAAGTATTTGTTGGATATTTACGTTGTATTGACATGCTTGTTTGGTTTCTTTTCTTTTTGTATATATATATTTATAGTTATCACTATAGAAATTGTTTGACAACATTATTATCAAATTATGTTTCCAAACGTGCTTTAATTACGTGCATATATCACTTGTCTTTCATAATAATACTTGTCATTGCAATGTTGACAGATCGTGTCATGCACGTCCGTTCAGGAGAAATTGATGAATTTTTTTTATTTATTGAGCTATGTTGTTAATACCAGAATGTACAAAATGAACACGTCATGTAGCGTGTCTTTATCTTTGGATATTGTTTCATACAACGAAAATGAATGTAGTTTTAAGTGGGATAGGCTTGAACGTCTAGCACGCACATACAACAAACATTTGGCAAACTCTTATAAAGCTTTCTTTTGCACAGAAACGTATAAAAACCATAAATTGATTTTGCTTTCTACAGCATGCATGCATGGGAGAAATATTTACAATTTAGGACAACCATTGTGGCTATGTAAGGGGCAGTCAGTCATTAACACCGGTAGTTAAAACCCGTGATAATCCCAGGTTATTTTGTGAAAATTGACTTGTTTCATTGGCCTCTTTTCTCCGTTTACGTTTATTTTCTGTCAACACTGACACTATCATTGACGCTAATACTGTGATTTGACAGACACATGCACCATTATCCCATTATATTTTGTAAACTGCGCATGATTGCCATTGTACAAAGCTCAAATACTCATAATGTGTCATTCAGGGCACACACCAAAATATACATTTAATTTTACATGTACAAACGTATATTTTGAGACGCTATCTGCTGCATCCGCACTGTAGTTTTGTGGACTTCTCCGCTCTCACTACTTTTTATTGCTCCGTTTTTTTCTCTGTGTCACTAATTAATAATCAATAATATATGTAGAGCTTTGTATGAACATGAAAGTGAAACAAACGGTTGCGAATATTGGAAATAAAACAACTAGGGAATCAAAAATTTTGAGATCAAAAGATCATTGAGGGATACATTTTTTAGGACGAAATTGCTGTTCTAAACTTGGCTAAATGGTCATCATAAATTCTCTCATTGTGCTCATCTGTGCGTTGGCAAAGCCATGACATGGAAGGTTTAGAAAAATTACGCATCACGATATAGGGCAGACAGTAAAAAGGAAATACATTAAGGAAATTACTTGTTTATATGGCTCACATAACTCTTTCCTCAAAGCTGAATGTCTTGTCAAATGATGACGAATTTGTTTTTGTTCGTCTGATCGCTTTAAGTAAATCAGGAAAACTATTACAGGATGGATAAATTATCGCTAACAAGTTGTCATGAACACTTTTGATACTACATAACCTATTTGGCAAGTCATTAAACTAATGCAGTTTTATTGGTGAAAAATTTTTATTTTTAACACCTACGTACGTGTATGCAATAATTACAATGAAATGCGTTTATATCAGTGCACAAAACGATCGTGTATATGCACTCAAATATTTTGAAATATTTTCTTTTGTATATAATCCACTTTTCACACGTTCAAACTTCTCACCTTCTAGCCTTCATAAATTCACTGATTAGGAAGAGATAATAAACGCTTTAAAATTTTAACACTAAAATGCCCTATATATCCATGAGTAGCACAGGGAAATTCTCAACTGTTATAAAATTTTAACACTAAAATGCCCTATATATCCATGAGTAGCACAGGGAAATTCTCAACTGTTATAAAATTTTAACACTAAAATGCCCTATATATCCATGAGTAGCACGGGAAATTCTCAACTGTTAGTAAATCGTGCATAAACTAAACACAAGAAACTGCAAAAACCTGAATATTTTGCAGTGTTAAAACATCCATTGCTAGCGTTTCCCTGTGAACTGTCTCCATACGTATGCGGAAGACCCCCATAAGCGATTAAGACAAGACGAAAAGTAGAAAGCAGACACTATAATTTATATTTTTGGAATATACCAAACAATATAGATGAAAATATGTCCTGTGTTTTTATTCAGTATGTTATTAAGTGTATATAGTCTTGTAAAGAGTATAAAATCTTCGTATTTTTATCATCTTGGTATAACTTCCCAATTTTATACTTTTTTCTATCCATGCATTTCCCTGTGCTTCAACTGAATGGAGGGCCCGAAAAATTAAAGATTCTCATCAATGAGCACAGCCTTCACACATGATAATCATTAATACTTTAATTAGTTTTGTAGATTATTTCTCATAGAAAGATTCCAAATCCGAATGACAGAAACATGTAGAATAGATTTGTATGATGGCTAAACAACTATCAATGATATTTAAATATATATTGGGCAATTATAGCACGCAATATGTACGTATATAGTTTCATTACACTAGATACAAATGATTTTGGTGCTGAACGTCTTTCCTGTATGTGAGCTTAACATGTCATTAATCCGAGTTGTTTATCACCTTTTTCAGTTGTTGGTCTAGTACATAGCTAGGGTTTTCTGGAAACATTGCTGCTTATTAAAAGGTGATACTTTTTACATATACAAAACAGAAGTGCTGTAATTAGTATTCAAGATTTTCATATACAAACAAAATGTCCATGTGCTGGTTTCAAAAGGACAGTTTCAAATCACAGTTAGAGTTTTGCTTGTCTCTAACTTCTTGCAGCAGAGAGGTAGTCGATAAGTATCGCTGTCATACTATTAGTTTCGTGCATCGTTTTTCAAATTGAAAATACAACTTCATTGCGCAAATCCAATTCTTCATAACTTCAGCACAGATTCCATTTTAAAGTGAGTCTGTTCTTTATAACGTCAATTTTAGTTCGTAAACATCATGGAAATGTAAAAAATCGATATACAACTACAGAAATACTAATCAATTGGAGCATACCGCCGCAAACAAGTAAAAACGGGCTTAATCAATGATAGATCACTTACAGGAATAAAAGCTTTGCAAAGTAGTGCTAAACCGATGATAGAAATTAATGCCTTTTTATCCTTGGTCATTTATACATAAGTCGTAGTTTATACGCAGTGCTCGTGTTTGTTATCCCGTCACATGCAACTACTTAATAAGAAAGAGGATGGAATATACCGAATCTTCAATGATATCGACTTCATAATGAAACAATGATAATGGCATATATAGCTACCAAATATTTGTTCGACGCTTACATTAAATTGTTCTTAATACTATTCATTGCATGACAATGCATCGTTTGGTAAGTGACGTTTTTGAGGAATTTAAACATTTCACATTTTCGATGATAGCCAAATTATAAGAGGAATTAGTGTGATGTGAAATAAGTAAATATGTTCAACAATAGATTTTATTACCCAACCTATCTTTAGTATTTGCGTGTAAAACATATCGTTCATAAATATATATTTTAGCTAGCATGCATTGGAATGATGTTTTCTAATTCCTAAATAGAACATCAAAAATAACTCGTATATACGCTTAGAAAGAGACTTTTATACTTTACTTAAAAATGACAGTATAGATGCGTTTCATGTGGACGTTTTTTTCATTCTGTTGCAATATCATTGCATGAACAAGTTATTTCTAAAAATTCTTTTATCACCAGATTATATTAGCATCAAATATCACGACATTTATTCCTGCTGTGTGCGATAAACTTTAAACTTACTTTTTGATAAAATAATCAGCTTTACTGAACTCTTTTCTTTCAGGTATTAGCGTTTTAAAGAGATGAAGGATCTCAACGTCTCTTGATGTTGACTTTGCCAATGTTCTTGTACTTTGACGCAAAAAACTGATGGTTGGCACACATATACATGTACACAAAGATCCCTCCTAAGCTACGTCAAACATATATGGTGTCCAGGTCTCTGTCAACAAAACTACGTCATTTCCCAATGAATACGACAACGTTCATTCAGGCCTATGGTACGTACATATAAAGCAAGGAAGCTTCATGCATGCAAATGTTTCACAACATTTTTTAAAAAATGTTTTCACAACATTTTTGTAAGTTTATGTTTTAAAAGGAGGGTCGAAAATGCACTTACAAGCCTTAATTTTTTCTTCTTTCATTATAACAATGGTGTGACTGTACATTCGTAATCAAAGCAGGGCGCAGAAATTGTCACGTAAATTTGTTACTATTGACTATACTTCTATTTCAGTGTATCAAATTTTTTTATAAGCCCTATTCATTCAAAACCATCACGAAAAGTTTGAAGTTTGGAATACAAGTTTGATGTGCGTATAGTTTTAACGGTTCACTAGTCGAAATCATACTGACAATATTAACGAGTGCTTGCTAACAGCGTACCCTTCGAAGCATGCATGTCATAGCTATATAAGGTTAAAATATCTTTTCCGACATCATCAACTTTTTTTAATGTGTTTCAACAACGGCGAACAATCAATCCACATGTAGTTACGACACTTGTAAAAGCTTTTAGCTTTTAGATTCTATTAATTTGACTGCGCATCAAAAATAATTTAAATTTGGTATTTTTACCAAGAGTTATAAGTGCTTTCTTCTGTAGTCGAAAATCAGTGTCTATAAATAAAATAATTAACCAAAATACTCTAAGGTATAATGGCATGCATACCTAAGCACAACCGTTTCAGATTATATATAGAAATGGGTTGGGAAAAGTTGGTGATGATTTCTTTCAAAGTTTAAAATTTTTTGTGTATTGTACAAGTATTTGTGCCTTGTGATACACTTTTGTAAAACATTTTCCTCAGATTCTTACAATACATTAATTACACCTGCACTATTTTTGAAAAACAAACCAGAGTAAATAGAAATGAAATGATTTCGTAATATTAAGCATATGTAAAAGTATATTTGTTTTATTAAGGTTAATTATAGATTATTATGGAATGGAAGAAGAAATTGCCATCGGACATAAAAATATTAATTTCTTGAGTGGGATTGATTTCTTGATAATATTATTTTTATTGCTGTTAACATTTAATCGCCTTTATACAAATGTTAAGCTATTGCAATAACTTTTCTATGTTTGCACTTCTTTTTACCTCCCACTCAATTTTGTTCGGTTCAAGTGCTGTATGTAGAAAGGTTCGTAAGAATGTAAAATTTAGTAGTTTAATGAATAACAAGGAGTAAAAACTAATCCATTTTTGTAGATAGAACTTTTATAGTCTGCTTTGACTATAAGCATCAAAACATGCCTGTATATTTCTTTAAAGACTGCACGTTTCTTGATTGTTAAAAATGATGTTGTTCGTTGATGATACATACATGTATGTTAGTCACTAGCACTCCGTTTTTCCTTTTTCATTGGAAATGTTTAAGACAGCACATGTCTGATATATACACTGTTGACGAATTACTTTGTTGCTATTTGCCTTTGATTGAGATAATAACTAATTAATCCACGATAAAATAACATATTTTTTCATTAATACATTCCTTTTGGCTGACTTGTTTGTTGACTAGAATTCTTTGTTGTAAATCAGTTTGTAGATATATATATATACAGACTGTAGACAAATAACCCGCTTATCTAGTACTGTTGTGATGAATTTTTACAATAGATTTTAAAAGAACTGAATAATGATGTTCTGAAATCTACAGTCATAACAGGAGTAAGATATGCATGCATTAGCACACCATGGCTATGCAACAAAATATATCGGTTTTTTAATGTCAAATATGGCGTTATGTTAAAATTCCCGAGAATTTGTTGTCAAAAATTTGTTATGTAACTTTTACATTCAATAACTTTGCGTCTGTGTTTGCTATAAATATAGATTATAAGAATTAGTCGACTGGATTTACAATGAGATTATTTACGACATAGTTAGCTACTTGTCATCAAATTAGTGATATAACGTTTCTCATGGCATAAAAACTAACAGATGTTAATATTTAGATGTTATTTTTTCGGAGAAGTAAAAATCATTTTGTGATTATCTATGGCGTATCCATGACTGTAAATCCTCCTGTTTCACTAGTGTTCATTAAAGAAGATTCAAAATAATAGACATTGACTGTGGAATGGCTGTACAAAGAGCAAATGAAAATTTATAGCTGTGCTCCGTTTGCATTATTTTATGTGGCTATCCACGTCATGTATGACGTGACACCCTTAAAGTTTCATAGGTTTTATAAATTTTACCATGGAAACTTTTTTTGAAAATATTCTTCAAACATGTTCAAGGAAGTACTTTGTTAAGGAAGTACTTTGAAATGTTAGATATAAGTAAGTGATTTAAAGTTACTTGTTAGATACTAGTATATCATAAAACTAACCAAATTTTTGACAAATGCATAAATAGTGCAATCATTAAAGCATTAAAAAGTTTGTTTGGTTTGTTTGTTACATTTCTAATCTCACATATTTGGATTTGAGTTTGGACATTGATAACAATTTCACATTGATTTTTCCATCTCATGCATGTTGGATTTTTGTTAATAGTGCTCAGCTAACTTTTCTACTCACTTCTGCAACTTTTTAAGCTTGTGTATATAGCTACGTTTGATTGCATGATTTTTTGCTTACATTCTGACTTAATATGTTTTGATAAAAAAGTTATTTAATCTCTGTGCCAGCCTTACATTCTAGAGATTTTAGGTGTGTTGTTATTTTATTTTTCAAATGTCGGATTCCTAATGAAATGTATGTTTATGTAACTTTGTATAACACCGTATAATACAAGATAATGCTGCTTTATTTCTCGTTTGAAATCCACTAATACTTTGTTGATGTCGCGCTGCGTACAATTTCTATCAATGCATGGTAGGTGGCTCTCTGGAGAATACAATTATTGTACTTTGGATAAAAAAGAAAATATATAAATTGTCTGGCTTGTTATTAGTCAGAAAATTCTACAAGTTTAGACGTCTTGTCTACACGAAAGAACTCACTTGAACTTTATGAAATTATGTAATTTTATGTACGGCTATGTATAGCATAAAGATTTTCTTATTTGGGTATATTATAGTACTTTTATTTTGCATTGTGAGTTAATATTCAAGCATTATAACTGTAAATGGGACTTTATTTTAGTTGACATCTATATCGCTATCCATCGTAAGCTTAGATTGGTATGGTTTTTGTTTATATGAATTAGGAAAATATTCTTTCTAAATCGAACCATAATACTTAAACGCGATTTTCACATTATATGAGCAGTATCGCTCAGTTTTTAGACGTCGTTGCCTCATTATAGCTACAGAACGATTGTTCATAATTTCAGTAAGATTTCATACATAAACTTTAAGCTTCTTCTCGTTCTATCAACTCTTTAATAACCAGGACTTTGGAGGATATTTAAATATCAAGCTACGAATCAAACTTTGTATAAAATATTGACTTTGATATTTTATTGCATCTTAGTCACCATTATTCAAAAAGAATTGCAAGACTACTCGCTAATTATTATCTGACTTCCACTAACGCTAACTCCATTTTGTTAGATTTTGTCTGAAAGCCGATTGTTGAGGGACGAGGATCGAGCATAAAAAGTTAAAGGTGAGAATGAAAATTGAAGGTGGAGTAAAGGTCAATGGTAAAAAAAAATGAAGATTAACTTTACATTGATACTGAGGTGATACGGTTTATTTCATGCAATTTCTTCATTCTTCTTTTGTACATGTGTCTTAATCAACTATGTTGTTTGTTTATGTCTTGCATGTATATCTAACTCAAACCCTTGGCTCAGCTTTAGTATATCTCCTCAGTTTTATACTGTCTAATCTTTATTCCCATATGTTCACGGTGATTTAAATCATTTTGACATATTTGCTAATGGTAATCCCACAGCATTATTCCTTCACACACCCCTCGCTTTTTTGTGTGTTATGTCAAGAACGTTTGTTTTTGTATTTGATTACAAAGGAATGTGAAGAAATATTTCTTATTAGGAAATGCAAGCTTCTTTATCATCAATTGAAACTTCATATACCCTTTTTAGATGTCTTAGGAAGTCCCATATTCATTTTAATCAGCATATTTCTTACTAAATTATCTTATCAATTAAGAAAAACCCAAAAATAGTTTGCATAGTTCACACAATAACATTTTAGCTTGAATCTATTGACGTCTCTTTTTATGACACTCCATTAGAAACCAGGCCTGTATATCATCAAAATGGGCTTTAATGACTTCCTGAACTTTCAAAAGTGGAATGTAGCACAGGATAGACAAAACCTACACGATGCTCTAAGTATAGTTGATATGTTCGCTGTATGTCATTCAACATACTTCATCAATGTAGAATTATTATTATCTACTTATGCTCTTACGAACAGATTAGATTATATCCTCATTAGCTGCATACCCCGCTGGTTAAGCCGGTAGGCAAACATTTTTAGTTGAATTAGAATCTACTTCTATTTGATTTAGAAGAGGTCACGTCAGAGTTTGCTGAGTCTAGAAATTTCTTCTGTTATTTGGGCATAATGAATGAAAAAGCAAAGTTGAATGCTTATAGAACCGTCTTAATTGTTAGGGTTTGGGGATTTTTTGTTTTAACTTGGTTTGCGTAGCAGAAAAAATGAGAAACTTTGTGAGAAAGTCAATGATTTTTTACATAGCAATTGTTTGCTCGAAATTATACGTTTGTTGTGAACAATTTATTTTCAAACACATTGATGTTTTATAAAGAATATATGCAGCAGAGATAGAACACAAGTAGCTATAAGCTTTCGTGTATCGCTAGCTTTACAAGTTGTCCTATGTTTCCATTTTTTTTCTTTCGTGTTTTTACAAAATGTACTTTGAACTGACTCAATATATTATAAGGTCTTATTGCGAGTCTTCAAATCGAAAGTTTTCTTGAAACTTCTGGAAATTTAAATTTTCGTCAATAAAATAATTTCAAATGGATCAAAAATCGTACTTGCCCTTATTCACCACTTACTGACTTTTATACCTACGTGAAGTGACTACCTTGACAAATAAGCATGTTGTAGTCAGGAGAAGACGCCATAGTGATTTTAAAAATCGTTGCTCACCTTATCTTCCCTGCACGACGAATCTGATCTGTCCAGTAAAAATGTTTCTTGTGCAGGAAGCCACAGCCCATCGTTGTCAAGCAATGACGTATCACTCAAATGAAAAGGAAGTCTGCATGGAATAAGAAAGAGAAGCCTGTTAGCAACTAGTATCGAGGTATTTATAGCAAGCATTCAGTATAAAGCGCGACAATTATATAGAACATAGTTGTTGAATCTTTTAATTTTTCCATCGCTCGTTTCTTTGTTTGACATGGGGTGTGTCAGAAACTAAAAGAAATTGCTTCACGAGTTTATTTCCTTACTCTTCTAAAAAAGACAATTGTATTTAGAGCTGTTTGTTTTAACGAGCGTGAAGTTCAGTCAAAATATTACCAACTGACTTAGTCATGTCATGATTTGTTTGTGCATCTATTTGTACATATCAAATAATATGGTTAGATATTTTTTGACTAGTTGTATAATTTATAATTATTACGTTTAAAATGATTGACTTTGTGGTTTGGTAATGTTCACACTCTCGGCAAATTTAGGCCGATGTATGAGTTTTTTTCAAAGTCGAAATTTATGCTGCATCAGCCTGCATGTAGCATTTTGCATGATTTCATTCATAGTCAATGGTTTCTGAGAAAGTTACAGCTGATTTACTCAATAGCTTTCTTAACCATCATTTATAATTTCTTAATTTCATAATCATTTTCTTAATTCTCTATTTCTATCAAAAATTAACTTTGAAGAACAGTTAGCTACATTTGCAAGTCTCATTTCACTGCCCCCTACCAAAAAATTTTAAATAAAAGCAATGGATATACAAAAAAAGTGTGTTGGCTTACTAAATACATACATAAAAATAAACTACTGACTTACTTTCCTGGTGAAAACATATCTTATAGTTGGTAAAAACTGACACAGCAGATAAACTGGATAATACAAGAAGCTTGTCGAACGTCACTTTTTGGAATAAGGTTAAGTGTATTACGTGGTTAATTCGATGAAGATTTGTGATCACTTTTCTGCACGTTTTTTCCGAGCCTTTTCCTTTTTATACATGAAGCCCTTGCTGTGCACTCTTTACGTAAAAGCCTCCTTTTTACTTTGCTCCGTGCAAAGAGGAGTTATTGTATTTATTGACGTGCAATATATGTTTAATTTATAAATACGCACACGTATCGGATATTCAATTGCATGTTTAGCAGGCGACAATAACACGTGAACACAACAGCTTATCATTAAAGATCATGTCGATAAAGGTGTGTTCGACAAACCTGTGTGATAGAAATCTTTAAAACCTTACAATGCATGTAGGATCGGAAAATTAAATCAGACGGAGAGGGGAAAAATCGATGATTTCTTGCAAATTCCCTGATCTGAAGTGTGAGGCTACTATTCCACATTATCAACTATTGCTTGAACTCTGATGATCAAATAATCCATCCTTGGTAACGTCTGTACTATACAGTATAATAAACAAATGAATTATAAGTGAATTCGACTGTATTATTTTTCTGATACATTTCTATTTACTTAGCCTATTTCTACTGCCCCTTATACTTAAGTAGCAATAGACGTAGCAACATTATTTAAAGAGGGCAAAAATACATTACAGCCAAAAGGCCGAAAAACTATATAGTTCTCACTTATATTTTTAATTGCATGCCATACCTTTTTAAGTCAGAAACTTTTTTGAAAGAAAATACATGATGATCAATTGCGAAAATAGTGCTTGTTTGAAATGTTCGTCACTTTGACTGAATGATAACGACTAAAGAATAGAAACTAGTGGTAAATGAAATACACAGTTATACAAAAATACTGCAAAAACAACAATGTCGAGAGAGAAAAAACTTAGTGCTGCCAAATTACAAATCAAGCGATGGGAAACGTTAATAAACATGCAGCATCCAAATTATTCTTCGTTTTCTGTGGCTAAAATTTCGCTATTTTAAACTTTGTTCGTGCTTATAACAAAGGGCAAAAAATTGTGTTCTCATAATTGCTGTTTATAGGCCCTGCTTTTTTTGCTTTCGAGGTTATATTAAAAAATCTATTCCTACATGACCTTATTTTAATCATTCTTTTCCTATATGATTTTTGTGGAATTCATGTTTTAAGGTATTTTATATTTCCACTTACTTTACTAAAATCGTCATTTGGTAATGGCAACGTTGATTAGCCTCGTACCTCAAAGACATCGGTAAAAACCTAATGTTCTTTTTTTAAAAACATTTGTGACATTTGATAACTTTACTGATTAAAAATAAAACACGTGTGGTTAGCGATTATTTGATCAATTTTCAGCACGTGTTTGATTAGGATACCTACGTGGTCTACACAGTGTGTGCGTGCGTTGGGGAAAGAACGAGGGCCATCTATTTATAACATGCATAAATTAAAATCATTAGAAGTTTTTAAAGAATAACGTGAAAGTACTATTGTTTGTAAAATCTCTCGTATTTCTTTTATATACACTTTGATTGATGTCTGAATTGGAGAAAACAAAAGTCATTTCAATCTTTGTTTTATTAGATGAGCAACAATGACAAAATAAGAACAGTCATTGTGAGCCTACCTCTGTTTGCCAAAGCACAATTTTTTGCTCATTTTAGATGTTGCAGTTTGAAATTTCTGCAAAGCTAGATCAGAATCATCAGATGTTAACTATACATAACTAAAACAAGCAATTGTGTTGTATAAACGTGTCAGAGACCAGGCACTGCATTAAGTGTAAACTGGCATTTTTAAAAATTCGCATCGGTCTGGGGGTATTAAGATAAGAAGTTTGCACAAATGAATTTTTGAATTATAAAAATTTATGGGAATTTTTTTGAACAAATTCAATCTAGAAATTCTCTTATTTTTCTAAACTAATTTTTTCTAAAAAATTTTCAAAAATGTTTAGTTTTCCCATTTTATACAGTTCGTAATACTTGACTTTATTCATAAATTTGTCGAATTATAATGATTGCCTATACTCGATATTTGAGCACACAAGAAACAAGGAAAACGACGATGAAAGAACTATATTAACATTATTATAACTAATTTTGCATATTGTATTTTCAACTCTAAAGTAGAAACGCCCCAAAGTGATTCACTCGAGTGGGAAACCTCATAAAACTTTTACTATGCGTGCTTTACTGATATATACTTTGAAGTTCGCCAGTCTAATATAACAGTTTCTTTGAACAGTTTTTAAAACTCTTAGAAAACTTTGAGCACTTTTGGGTGCTCAGTATATTTTCTAGATATGCCTTAGTAAGTATAGATGCGGTTCTCTCTATAACGATGCTTACATGTCATGAATGAACGTGATCTTGACTTCAAAGAACTTGACCATACTCCTGCCTATGCCTAGACTGCTTAACTCGAAAAATTGACGGTTTTCTTCAAACATATCATAGACTAGGAGTTCATGTAGGCCCGACTTTAAACGTCAAAGACTTTTGGAGAAATCTTCATACTCTATAGTAACGTTTTTGGGCCAAAAACTCGATGTCTTGGTCAGATGCGTTTAAACGACACGTTCAGGCAACTTAGCAATTATTTTGAACTAAAAGATTTAGAATATCTCTCCACTCCTTTGCGAACACCATAATTCCCTTTGTTTGGAGTAAAAAGACACGACTCTCACCGATTTCTCAAATGTTAGCTTAAAAACATCAACTTCTTAACTTATTTCAATTTTGCTATTGATATTGCATATTTTGTTAAAAGAGAAAGGACTCACTTCACTGGGTTTTGCTAAGAATAAGATCGACAGTGATATATATCCAGCGGGCTACCTCTGTCTAAGCACATAATTTAGTAATCCATAACAAACAATTGATTTCAATGAAACCTAATGGAAATTATGGTGTAGATATGAATATTACCCCCTCCCCCCCAATCATAGAGTTATCTATGCCATCTACGCCAATACGAGTTCTCTTTTCTCAAATATGCACTCCCCATTTTAAACTTTCTGAGTACGGCGGTACGACCCTGTATTATTTTAGAGGCCCATAATGCCAAAGATGCTTTATTTTCACCATCAATGTTTGTCAATAGATCTTGGATTACTTGACAGGAAAATTCTTTCAAATTGAAAGGTTTAAATTAAAAGTTTAGGTTGTGTCAATGAAGATCAAACACTCGCGTTTTAACAGTTATAACATGAATAACAGCCAAAGAAAATGAACTTAGTGCGCATGATGCTAAGAATTACAGGAATTATATTTATTATCAAGAAACTCTGAGTATATATAATTTGTGACATTTTTAAGTTAATTAGTATTTTGTACTATTGTTTAGAGGTGTGCCATGTTTAACTGAATTTTGAAATGTTCTAAATTTTTAATTTTGTCAAGAAAAATGTAAATACCATATTAATTTGAAGACTGAGTATAAGCAAACAAATTCCAATCTGAGGCACATTCCATTCTTAAAATCTACCAATCAGAGAGCGAGAATTTGCAAGATGAGCAATATTAGATTGTCTTCCCAAAATACACCGCTTCCTTCGCCCCCTGAATGTTTATACTTGGAAAGTTCATAGGGAAAATTTTGTGAAAAATATTGAAATTTTACATTATAGATTGGCAAAAAGAAATATTGGTGACCAAGTAAAACTTCTCTTGGCTTAGGTAAGACTATTTGAGATTTATGCCGAGTATGATCGACGCTAAAGTACAGCAATAATTGTGGCTGTTTATCTAGATTATGTGAATTGTACTTAACGTTCATATTTCTTTCAAAATTTCTCTACTATTCGTATATTTTTGCCTATTAAAGGTATGATAAAGTAGTATTAAAAAACTAGGTTAATTTTTTGATTCTAAATTCACATTTATGTCCGAAATTTAAATCTATTTGATCGAAAACTAAAATATTATTCTTACGTGCTTTGATACCCGTCCAACACAATTCAATTTGTAACACCGAATGTTAGCAATAAATCAAAGTATTTATCCATGTTACTTGCTGAAAATCTATGTCTTGTATTAGAGCAACAAATCTACGATTCATATTTTATTTTATGGTTTGTATTTTTGCTAAAGTGGTGAAGTCAAAGGGCCCACTATTACATAATATTGCGTTCGTTTATAAAAATTCGACCAAGTCACAATTATATAAGGAAAGTATTCAATGATTTATCGAATTTCTAAGAGACGATATACGTCTCTATTAAAGTAACTGAGTATATTTTCATAAGTGAAATTATATAAACCCTTTCAGTTGTTTATATTTGTAGATTTTATATTCTCAAAATTGTCAATACATTTTGATACAATCGCATTTGGTATTATACCTTCAAGCAAGTGCTTTATGTTTTTAGGAATAATGGATCTAATAAGGATTTCATATCTTTTTTTACACCAGTTGCTCAGTAGTAAACAATTAAATACATATATGTACTATTTTATCAGTTTGGCACTCTGTTGGTGAAAGTCTTAATGCTTAAAACGTCTTAAAGAAAACTCGAAGACACTTAATTACTTCCTACGCACTAATTCAAAATTCCTAAAGATTTTAGCGATTGGAAGATATTATTTAGGATTATTGTCTCTGTTGTATTTTTCCTGATTTGTTTCTTTGGATAGCAGTTAACACTGAAAATAAGGTGTTTGATTATACTATTTTGTAGGTGAACTCACCCTATTTAACTTTTGAGTAAAAAAAAATGAATTGTTTTTGTTGTTTAGTGCACGTATAATATGGTTATCGATTTCTAGCATATTTTCAATATGCTTTTTCATTTATGCGTGTTTGGACAAACACGGATCAAAATGTATTTTTATCATCTCCTCATTTGCCTAATATGGCACATCTAGTAATGTTTTAGTATTTTCAAGCTTTCAGCTATATTTCATGTAGGTGAAAAAATGTCAAACTATATGCAACAAAGTGGTCACATGCAATACAACCAGCACATGAGCAAGGATGAGCAAAATGCATTGTGGTATGGCCAGCAACACAGAGCATACATTGATTCTGGTATCAATAGCGAGCACAACACCGCACCACCTTCAGTTATGGGTGATGAAGATAATCTTATCTCAGAGCTTGATCAAGAGTTTGGAAATCAGGGTGATATGAATGAGCAGTTCACTCGCTCCAGAAGGTATCATCATTATTATTCAATCTGTAATTAATCTGTAGATAACTTGATGGTATGTAGGATGTAGTGAACTCAACAAACTAATGAAAAACTTAATATTTCTATTCGTAATATTTTACAAAATATGTTTTGTGATGCAGTTTGAGGATTCGTCAAGCTATGTTCCCAGAGTTTCCCATGGATGATGGATCAAATGTACCCATTCCACAAATGGATCCCTCAGTGAACACAGCTGTACAACGTCTTTCTCAACCTTCCCAGAATCTTAAAAATGCAGTATCTGATCTTATTAACTATCAGGTACATATCATGCTGCCATCTTTCTTCATAACACTTTATTATCTTCTTATATGCCTATATTTTCTGTATATTTTTATTGCTAAGGATGATGCTGATGTAGCTACCAGGGCCATTCCTGAACTAACTCGATTATTAAATGATAATGATCAGGTGAGATGTTTATAACAGCTTAATTTAATTTTCTCTTCGTTATCAATGTTAACACAATTTTATCCACCAATTACAATGACCTCAGGTTTCAGCATTTTTCAAGTAGGAACACATGCTTAATAATTCAACTCCAAATAAAAAACAAATTTTTTAACAATAATTTTTTTGTTCTAATGGAACTGTACTTGTCTTTGATGTTAATGTCTGACTTTTTCCCTCAGTTAGTTGTTGGGCAAGCTGTCTCAATGGTCCATGCTCTGTCAAAAAAAGATGCTAGTCGCTATGCTCTTGGAAGCTCTGGCCCTCTTATGGTATCTTTGGTTAGAGTAATGGATGCATCTGGAGACGTTGAAACAGTGAGAGGTATTGCTGGCACACTTCATGGCTTGTCAAGCACAAGGTAATTATAAAATTGTGTCAGCATGTTCAAGGAAAATTTCTATATTTTTTGTCTGAAATTTTTTGTCTTGTTTTTTTCAAGGCAAGGGTTGCTGTCGATCTTCAGATCCGGTGGCATTCCAGTGCTTGTTAAACTTCTTAGCTCATCCATTGAATCTGTTGTATTTTATGCCATCACCACTTTGCACAACTTATTATTGCACCAGGAAGGGGCAAAAATGGCTGTTCGTCTTGCTGGTGGATTACAAAAAATGGTGGCTTTATTGCCTCGATCAAATGTGAAGTTTTTGGCCATTGTGGCAGGTATGTTTTTTTCACATTCCTGTAGGATAGATATCCGTAGATTGCTTGAGGGCATCAAAGTGTGATGCTTAGTTATGTCAATGGCAAAATGTCCTTAGCTTCATGTTAATAAACTGTAGATTGTCTTCATGTGTTGGCTTATGGAAATCAAGAGAGTAAGCTCATTATTTTGGCTTCTGGTGGGCCTGCCGAACTTGTCAGGATCATGCGCAGTTACAGTTATGAAAAACTTTTATTCACAACTAGTAGAGTTCTAAAAGTATTGTCAGTCTGCTCCAGCAACAAACCTGCAATAGTTGAGGTGTGTCTTGTTCATTCAATTGTTACTTTTATGTATCTTAAAGCTGGAGGGTTTCAAGTTAGAGTAATTCCTTATAATCCTGTTTATTTTACAGAGCCATTAATAACATACAAGAACTTAGCATTTGTTTTAATGTGGCTCAAAGTGATCAATTTGCATTTACTTATACAGTGTGAGAAGGAAATATTGCACATTGTACACTGTCAATTCAGACACTGCACATATTAAATGATATGTACATTTTAAGATGAGATTGAGCATCAATAAGTTTGTGTTTTTTGGATGAAGTAAATGTTTGGAGCATAACTAGTATTCTTTGATGTTATTTATAGTTATCTTTGTTCTCTGATGTCATTCTATATAAACAGGGATTGCTTATTTTTTTTGGTTTTGACTAATGGATATTCTTGTTTTATCATAGGCAAATGGCATGCAAGTACTTGCCCAGCATCTTGGATCGCAGAGCAACCGTTTAGTTCAGAACTGCTTGTGGACTTTACGTAATATGTCTGATGCTGCAACTCGTGTTGATGGTTTAGATAACCTTTTGCAAATGTTGATCCAGTTGCTGTCATCAAATGATGTGATGGTTGTAACTTGTGCTGCAGGTGTTTTATCCAATTTGACCTGTAACAACCCAAGAAATAAACAAATAGTATTTCGAGTTGGTGGTGTTGAAGCCTTAGTTAGAACCTGCATTCAGGCTGGAGAGCGAGAGGAAATCACTGAACCTGTAGTAAGTGATATATAACTATTGTAGTCAAAGACGTCTTGTATCCATATCCGTCTTGTATTAAAAAATATTTTTAGGCAATTTTAAAACCACCTTGTGACTGTCATATTCATTTACTTAGCTTTCTACCCACATTTACGTTATCTATACGCGAACGTCTATAAAACGATTTACATTGTCATACTTAAGATTTGCCCGCATCTTATATCCTCACCTCAATATATTTGTTCACGTGATAGGTGTGTGCTTTACGTCACATTACAAGTCGTCACCAGGACGCTGAAGAAGCACAGAACGCGGTCCGTGTTCATTATGGCTTACCAGCTCTAATCAAACTTTTGAACCCTCCATCTCGTTGGCCTCTGATCAAAGCCGTGGTAGGTTTGATTCGCAATCTTGCGCTATGCCATGCGAACCACTCTGCAATCCGCGAAAACGGTGGCATTCCACGTATGGTTCAGCTCCTTATGAAAGCCAATCAAGATCTACGTAGAGCATCTGGTCAACCGTTTGTTGTAGATGGTATAAGAATGGAGGATATCATTGAAGGTACTGTGGGTGCACTTCATATTTTGGCCAGAGAAGCGAATAATCGCGCCGTGATTCGAAGTTTGAACGTCATTCCATTATTTGTACAAGTAAGTTTTTTAAAAATATGAGTGATTTTTTTAGTAAAGCATATACTACCATTTGTGCGTATGTTTATGTTTAATGTTTGTTGTTGTGTATTTTTTGATCACTCCAAGTGGTAAGAAATGGGATAGTTTAGAAATTTTATAAGGAAAAAAACCCAAAAAAATTAATTATCATTTTTACATCAATCGAAAGTAGTTTGTAGCTCTTCTTATATTTAACGATGTTTAGCTATAAATATTGCATAAGCAAAGTTCAAGCTATCCAATTCTGAATTTTTTTATAAAGTCAGAGGGGAAACATACAGTTGAATATTTTCAATGTGCCATATTTATAAATTTATCTTTTTATCGTATTTTAGTTTCTTCAGTTCCATGTTGAGAACATACAACGCGTGGCAGCTGGTGTTCTCTGTGAGTTATCTCAAGAAAAAGAAGGTGCCGAGCTCATTGAAGCTGAAAACGCAACAGGTCCGCTTACTGACTTACTCCGTTCGTCAAACGAAGGAATTGCGGCATATGTTGCTGCTGTTCTTTTCCGTTTGTCGGAAGATAAAGACCAAGATTACCGAAAACGTCTCTCCGTTGAACTCAGTTCTCTATTTAAAGACGACATACAAATGAATGAGGTATGTTAATTTTCTTTTACACATCACGATTCGAAATTATAAAATACTCAAAGTTATTACTGTATTTTGAAATCATTCTGCTTGACATGAATACTTTAAGTACATAAGTCAATGATATGCTAATTATACACTAGGTATTTTATGTATTTATGATTAAAACTTAAAAATGCTTACCCCGTCTGTCATATCTATTCATTGTAGCATCAGATGATGGCCGATCATCACCATCCTATTGATAATGGTTACCCACCAAATCCTTACATGCAGCAACAAGGTATGCCAATGCAATATCCTGGTAACTACCCCGGTCAGTATTCTGGTTATCAACAGCAACCGTATGGTCAACCACCACAACAGTACATGCACCATGATCCTAACTACAACATGGGCGGTCATTCACAGTCTGGTCAACAATGGATGGATTCCGATTTGTAATGGAAATATTCCACTTATCTGGAACTCTTTCTCTTTAGTTAATACTATCTTGGCTATTGTTTTGAATATACACACAAATTCTTAGGCTTCAGTATTGCTTTTACATTTTAAACTGTTTGTTTGAGCAAATTGCTCGTTGTGCCATATAGCGTTCGTGAAGATTTTCTACCCAAGAAAATCATCGTCAATATTTCATAACATTTTCTTGAAGGTCTTTTTCAGAATCATGTAAACACCATCTTTAAGAAAAGCACCGATCTTTTAACTCAAGAACTCATAAATACGTTTGTTAAGTGGAATGTCCCCCCCCCCTTCCCCTACCAAATAAAATTGTATGTTTTGTATTTGCGATACGCGGTGTTACAAGTTTACATGATGATGATGTATTCATTTAGCATTTTTAGTTGTTAGTTTGGCCTTGTCCTTTTTGTCACTCTTTGATGAAAAACGTTCTTTTTCAGCTTGAGTTTTCTCCAACTTGTTGGCTATATATGGTATCATTTGTTATAAATTGTGTACAGCAAATGATCAACTCTAATACGTAAAGATTATAGCAATAGAATATTTTAACTTTCAAGTTTTCTTCATCTATCATTAGCTTAGATCAATTTAATTATATATTGAATTTTGTAATCCTTACAAGAAATTACTTAGAAATTACTTGTATTAAACATTTTATTAACGCAAGGTCATTTCTACATTGATCGTCTATTCTCTTCATTATCTCTTAAAGCTGTGTCTCACGAGTCCTTTCTCTTGTTCCTTTTGGCTTTATGCAAATCCGTTTGGACCTATTTAGCTCAATGCAGACGACTTTGACGTCTTGACTGAGAGTCACTATTCCTCACGCATCTTTGGATTAAAACATGCGGTGCAGAAGAATGAAATTTCAATAGGTTTTTGTCCCAGTTTTGTCTATCATCTCTGATTCCATTAGAAAAATGTTCCCTTTGACGCGTGGGCTCCACGCAATGATTCCACGACCACCAAATTGTCAGGAACAAAATGGCGGCGAATCATGCTTCAGAAGAAGAAATGGAAATAGACCCCGAGAATTCCAATGTCGACACTTCGTCTTGCAACAATGTGGAAAAAGATGAATGCTGTCTGACAGAGGAAAAGATTGACAATAAACAGTTCTGTATTTAACTCTATGTTGCGAGTTAACTTTGTTATATAAGTCGGCATTCTTTTCTGGAATTTTTCTACTATCAATTGCTTTTTTAATATGTTCATCCTAGGCTTGCTGAAACAAAGAAAGATGCTGGAAATAAAGCTTACTCTGCAAAAGATTACAAATTGGCCGTCAAACTTTACACGGAAGCAATTGGTAATTAATAAGATACTGGCAATTAAAAATACCAGTCTGGAAAGTACGTCATTTTTTGACGGAATTATGAGTGTGCTGGTGTGAAAATCAAATTTCTTGTTGCACACATAAATGCAAGCCAAAATATTTTGATCAGTATTATGCATACATTTTTGTATTACATGAAATTTTGTCATTGCTGATTCAATTTTTTATTTGGAAGTCAGTTGTTACTCTTCAGTCTTACTTTAAGTTTAGTTTTAATGACCAACTTGGATTGGTCTTTCTCTCTCTCTCTTCATAAATCTGCTTGTTGTGCAAAGATAATATGACAAAAAATCTCTGAGGTGCAAAAAATACATACTTTCTAGACTGGTAAAATTATATGACAATAATGAAACCATGATTTATGATTATGTTATTTTACTTATGTAAAATCTTATTACAAAAGTATCGCAAAACTCTTGAAAATCTTATAATTTGATCTGATTACTATGCTTTAATGGCCAACTTTATTGCTGTGAGTGCAATTCTATGTACTTGATTATATGTCTGACTAGTGTCTTAATTTTAACTAGAAAATTGGAATGTGTGAAAGGAACTTTTCTTTAAACTTGAATTACACTTTGTGAAAATAGTTAAAATTTGTAGTAAGCATCTACTGAAAATGGATTTTGAAATTCTTAAACATTGTGTATTGCATATTTATTATAGAGTTAGACAACTGTTGTGCACCATATTATGGAAATCGATCTGCAGCTTATCTCATGATGAAGGATTACTATCACGCCTTGGATGATGCTAAAATTGCCTTAAAATTGGATGAGAATTATATAAAGGTGTATATTCCAAACCGTACCCAAATTTGTTCTATGTGTAATGTGACGATACTAACATATCTTGTTGTCATCTAATTAGGCATATTTTCGGATAGCACGTTGTAATCTTGCTCAAGGCTCTACAGAATCAGCAGAGAGAGCATTGGCCAAGGCAAAGGAAATTGACCCAAACAGTAAAACATTGCAGGATGAAGTATTTAAAACAATTACCATATTTTTGCCAATCATGTAATGGCAGCTTCTATTTTCATGTACCATTAAAATTTATTTATTACATCATTTATTTATTACATCCAGTATTTGCGTGTTCATCAAATACAGCAATTTGAGGCATCTTCTTTTGAGGCACATGATAAAGAAGATTACCGCAAGGTAAATTCACTGATCATTCAAAGATCCTTCAAAAATTCTTCATTTGAAATGTTTGTTGTTGGCGTCTTGCCTTTAAATTCTCAACATTGTTTTGAAGGTGATATTTTGCACAAGACGATTGATAGAACTCTCACCAGATTGTAATTTGTACAAAATAATGAGAGCAGAAGCTCTTGCTTTGATGAAGAAATACAGTGAAGCTGAAGTTGAAGCTAAGTAAGTTTGTGAAGAAAAAAAATTTTCCATTTTTTGTAATGTAAAGTTCATGATTGAACTCAATCTTCTTAATTTCATGCTGTTCATACTTGTTTCAAACTTTTTGTATAACAGCTGCCAAAATTTGTCATAAATGTATACATGTTGGAGACTGATAGTTTAGTAATTTATTGTCAATTTTAGTTCTGTATTACGAGAAAACAATCGAAACGCAGATGCTCTATATGTCAGAGGGTTGTGCTTATATTATCAGGTAATTTTTTTTGCATAAACAGTACAATCAAAAGAAAAAATATGCATATGAATATGTCCTCATCCATTTAAGTTTATTCAATCCTTGATTTTAAAATGTCATTACGTATGTAGGACAATGAGGAACAAGCATTTAAGTGTTTCACAAATGTGTTAAAAATTGACCCAGACCACAAAAAGGCAAAAGCTATACGAAAAGTAAGTATGCAATCTCCATGTATTATTTTTAGAAAATTTTTTCTCTCATTTAAATAATGCTTTGGGTCATCTTAATTAACTATATATTTTTTTAATTATACCCATTCAAGAAAGCCAAGTTGCTTCAGGCCACAAAAGACAATGGGAACAATGCTTACAAAAGAGGAAATTTTGAAGAAGCATACAGCATATACACCAATGCATTAACCATTGATCCCAACAATGTTTCAACTAGTGCAAAATTATATTACAACCGAGCAGTTGTTGCATCAAAGGTGAGATATATAGAATGTTTACATAGCAATGTGTTGGGTTTTCTACTTTTGTACTTACTAGCTGGCTGCAAAAGTTAGGTTAAAAATCTTTGTTGAAAAACTATGTTGAAAACTGGTGGGCTCTGGTCTCTCATTTGATTATGCTGCAAATGTTTCCCGTTGAATATTTCCATAACCATTAAATCGAAAAAACTAGCTGTCTTATTTCATGCTTTTGAATTTTCTCAAAAAATTTTGTCTTGATGACATTTGATTATTTCTTTGTGTGCGTTATGTCTAGTTAAATAAAATGACAGAGGCCATCGACGATTGTACAGAAGCGATAAAACTTGACGGAAGCTATTTAAAAGCATACATGAAGCGTGCCAAATGGTAAGATATGTGGTAGTAGATGATGTGTATGGGTTGGAATAATTATTTTTGGTTTATATTATTGTATGAAGATTGACAGATTTTCATGACTGTTTCTTTGTAAGTATTGTACATACATGTAAAAAGTAAAGAATAGTTTTACAAAACCTCACTTTGTAACAAGCCACTCTGAAAGCGCTTTTGAAAGGTGCCCTGGATTATGTCAAAGACACTGAATTTTCCTCGTCACATATTTCATTCATGGTTTGTTTGAAAACAGCGCTCAGAATATGTTGTTTTCTGTTTTCGTTTAGTTACATGGAATCCGAGAATTATGAAGAGGCTGTACGAGATTATGAAAAAGTTTGTAAAATGAATGGTTGTCGAGGTTAGTGCTCCCCATATGTCCCAAGTACAGGAGTCACCATTGCAATATGGTGATAGCCGTGAGGGTACATTGTTCTGCTCGTTGTATATACATATACCTATAACATGTGGCTTTATTGTAGAAAATAGAAGTCTACTTCAGGATGCCAAACTGCAACTGAAAAAGAGCAAACGAAAAGATTATTATAAAATCTTATCGCTTCCAAAGGATTGTTCCGATGCTGATATTAAGAAGGCATACAGACGAGAAGCTTTAAAGCATCATCCAGGTTATCAACACTATACATTCACTTTATCGGTTCTTATCATAATACCGGTGCAAAAGCTCCGTCAACGCTCACACATTAAAGGGGAAAAACTACTGCATCAGTACAGTACCGTGTGAACAAATTACGTTTAGTTGAAATACTGCTAATACAGGAAATGACTCAATATAATACCTTCTATGGATGGTACGTGAAATTTACTTGTTGCACAAGGTGTTAAGGATACTACAATATAGTTTCAAAGTGTGCATGTGAGAAAGGGTGTCAGGGATATTGCAGTAAGTGTATATATGACACAGTGTCTGGAATACTCTACAATATAGTTTCAGTCTTTAATACTCCATATTATGTGTCGTGTGATTTTATTGTTTTTTGTGATGTGATTTCAATAGCTCTTTCTTTGTAGATCGTCACTCTGGTGCAACAGACCAAGTGAAAAAACAAGAAGAAATGCTTTTTAAAGAGGTTAGCTATTTTCCGCCTAATTTGCTTTATAAGATCCATATTTTGTCATAAAATATTTGTTTTTTCACTGCATGCAGTTGGCGGCTTAATTCAATTGTAAAACTTATCATGCAGAATTGAATGAATATCGTTCATTCAATACTTGTGACATTCTTCTGAACTTATAATAAAGAACTCTTGTATTCCAGGTAAACGAAGCATACGGTGTGCTATCGGATCCTCAAAAAAAAGGGAGATATGATCGAGGAGAGGATATTGACGACAATGGATTCACAACGTCAGGTAGTTACGATTTTTTCATTTTCTATACCGTTTGATTTTATGAAAAAAGTCCTTTTTGAATCGCGTGCATGTTTTCTTCTACGTATTTTTGTTTCATGTGTACCTCTGCATTTTTTTAAGATTTCGATCCAAATACGATATTTCAAGCAGTCTTCGGTGGCGGTGGTTTCCCCTCAGGCTTTGGTGGTGGTTTCCCCTCAGGCTTTGGTGGTGGACATCACGGTCACGAATTTCATTTTACGTTTGGTTGAAGTTCTACCATTTTATACGTTAGCAATTTTAAGAAGCCTGTGATTTCTATGCTCTATAACGACTCTTGAAAAAAATGTGTAAATTCTTCGCTCATCATGTTTCCAGTCAGTCCTAGCTTTTCTAACATAAATGAACTTCACCAGCATGCTACTTATGATATTACACTGTATTCATCTCTTAAAGCACTTGTCACTACACCAATATCATAAATTATGTTAGAGTTCGTTGTTAGAGTTGTCACAGGTATAAATGCTGCGACATTGGCTTAAAAATGTTTGATATGAAGACAATGTACAATTTAAATTTATTTTGATTTCGACTTGTGTGAACTGATCCTTGTTGGGGGCGGCTCTTTTGTATTTTGCAATTTATCTTCCTCCATATTGTCAGCCGTTTCATTTAATTTTTCTTTGCAATATTGGGAGGTGTTGTGTTTGCTATTCCATATTTCTAAACTATTTCCCCTTTTATTTTGGCCTGATAATTTGCCATTCATAGATGATAAAGTGCTTCCTTCAATGAATCCTTTCTTCGACAAATGTCTCTTAAAATTTCCAGTCTTGATTGCTGTTTTTTTTGAAACATTTTGATGCTGAAATTCTCCATTTGCTAATTCCCAGATTCTCAGCTTGTTTTCAAGCTCTATGTTAGTTTTGTGGCCCACATTTGGTATGCATGGCAAACTTTGCAAGATAATTTTGCAATTTGAATGTATCCTTAAGTGTGGTTTGGTTTTCCAGTGAACAAGTACGGTGCTAATAGGTACTTCTGATGTCTGTTTAGTTTTTTCAATCGTTAAAAGATTGCTCGACTTCTTTTTATTGTTGTCATAACTGGTGTCTAGTGACATTCCTTTTAGGCTTAAACTCCATTCCTTTCGAATACTCAACGTATTTTTTGATGTCTTCTTTTCAACTTTTTCATTTCCATCAAGAGAAGCTTGATTTTCATTGAAAATGAGAGGTTTTCGCTGTGGATAACGCTGTTGCTTTAATCGTTCCACTGCATCTATTAAATGTTTTTGTTCTTGAGAAAGAAGTTGACAATCAAGGTCTTTGATCCTCTTAAAATACTCCTTTTGCTTTTCACATCCATTTTTGCTATCTTTAAACCAGAAGCATTCGTTTGTTTTTGGCTTGCCATCATAGTATATTCGTCGCATTGCAAAAGAAACGCAGATCCGGGCTAATTTTATTTCCTTCAATGAAATCAACATCAGAATTTACCTAGGATATATTATATACGAAGATGTCATAGCAACATTTGAAATTTGATCCATCAGCTTGCAGTGAAATAAAATTTATATTTGTAGCCGTGAGTCTGAGAAACAAGAATACACATTTTAATAAGGATTGTAAATTGTGTAAAGACTTTCTTTGCTCGTGACATGCCATGCGCGAGCTCAAAGCTGCCATTTGACCGAATTGCTACTTAAATTACAATAAGTACGAGTCTAGTGTGAAATTTATAGACATTTTGAGCAAATTCTTTGCAGTAGTTATACTCTGTTAGGAAATTTATCTTGCCAGCGCAATATCTTTTGATGACGAATTATTTAAATACCCTCAGACAACAAAGTTTTAATCAAAGCATTTCTTTCGTTTGTTGTACTAGAGGGCACTCTAGTTGAGATTGGAGAAATTACTTAAAATTTCAAGAAACCAAAAAATAAAGGTGGTTCCTGTAACTGTGTATTTTTTTCTTGGAAAGAGAAATTAACCATAACAGCTTAAGTTTGCCTTTATGAAAGGCGTTAGAATGTCTCTCTCATTTATTTTTTATATGACATTGTTGTGATATTTTTTGTATGATCTGGGCCAGTTTTGAGACACTTGAAAACCATTTATGTGCCTCCTAGCTTGCCCCCTAGATAATGAAAACAGGTTCACAAGATCACAATAACCACACCCAAAATGCTTCGCGGGCTTAGATTACTCCTCCCGATCGCCATTTTGCTGTCTGGCTTCCGCTTGAACTACAAGTCGTCGATACCTAAGGTTCTCAAATAAACTTTTTATTGTTAACTAAGTAAAATTTTCAAAATTCGGTTCAAATCACTTCTTTAACGAAATGTCGATACAGGGCAGATTGCCAGCCTGCGTTATTGATAATGGAACAGGGTAAGTTTTATTTGTGCACACTATTTTATTTTTCTGGTTCCGGGAGAACTCCCATTTGCTGTATGCTCTCATTCCATAAGTTTTGGTGTTTTTTCTGCCGCGATGTTCTTGGTTGATGACAATTTATTGATTTCATGACCACCAAACAAATACGCAAAACTTCATATATTGTGTTGTGTTGAGTCTTATATCCAGATAATGCATCTGTCATCTTTCTATGAACGCATGTAAAATACATTTTTACCATTATTTTGTTTGATTGCTGATACTTATGTTATTTTGATGTACAGTTACACAAAAATGGGATTTGCTGGCAATACAGAACCGCAGTTTATAATGCCTTCAGGTAGAAATATCACGATGTTATTCTTAAAAATGGTATTTTGAAGTCAACGAAGTACAATGTTATGTCATTATTATTTACATGCAGCTATTGCAATAAAGGAAAATGCAAAAGTTGGTGATAAAAGTCAAAGAAGAACAACTAAAGGTGTTGAAGATCTTGGTAAGGAACCCTGAATTCTCCATCACCATGCCACCACCAATAACCAAAATTAAATTCAACATATTTTACAAATGGTTCTCACAAACTCATTTTGTCAATGTCCAAAAGCTTGTTGTGTTAGGTTAATGACCTGTATAAAATTGCATGGCAGGCAGGGGGAAAAATTTTGATCACTAATTTTTTCCCGTTATTGCTGTGCTATATTAATAAGCAGCAGTATCTACGGTTGGAATGTCTGTATCATGATGTTTCATTAACCAAACTGATGCTACAAGTAAATGAAGAGTTTAGATTTTTTCGCATTCTCAGTAAATTTTCGTAAAAATAAATGTAAATTTTGGAAACAATTTTCTTATGTACGTACTTTTAGACTTTTTTATTGGGGATGATGCCATTGAAAAGCCTCTATACAGCACAAAGGTTTGTGTGATTTTATCATAACATTTAGTGGTTTCTTTTTGCTTTGTTATTTTAGTGAAATATATATGTCAAACAATATAAGTTCAATATTGTAGATTTGTGTTCATTGTTTAGTGGCCTATTCGTCATGGTATTGTTGAAGACTGGGATTTAATGGTAATGAAAACAAGATTATAAAATCATGGATTGAAAAATTGCTCTTTTTATAACCAAACATATGGTCCATTTTTAGGAAAGGTTTTGGGAACAATGTATTTTCAAATATCTTAGAGCTGAGCCTGAAGACCACTATTTCTTGTTGGTAATAAGTAATTTAATCTTATGACCTTCTGTATTCAATTTACTCTTGACCAATTTATAATTCATATTTACAGACAGAGCCTCCACTAAATACCCCTGAAAACAGAGAGTACACAGCAGGTAACTCAACTGAAGAACTATTTCTGAAAAATGTCACAAGTCATTTTCAAATACATTCATTGTTCTGTATTCCATGTGGTCCAAGTATTTCATAAACAATATAAATTTAATATATTATAATAAATTACTTTTATATGTAATATCAGTTACAACATATTGTTTGTATGCTTTACATCCAGTGTGCAAATCAACGATGTGCAATGTGCAATTTGCACATCGCTTTAGCTAAAATGAAAACAATTGCACATCACTTTTTTAAACGATGTGCAAAAATCAGCGGTTTTAACGAAAAACACTGTCATAAATTATATGAATTTGTTCACGTTTTGAAATATTAATTTAGCAGTTAGCGCTATATAATAATTAATGTAATATCGATTTGATAATGCCTATAAAGAAACACTTTTGTCAAAAAAATTGAACATTGTTTTTTCTGAAGTAATTTGCACACTGTTTACATCTATAGGTAGCAATGTACTTGACATGTGTGTTGAGACTATGTGACTTAAATAATTTTGCTGTTTTCTAGAGATCATGTTTGAATCCTTCAATGTGCCCGGTTTATATATAGCTGTACAGGTAAACACGTATTTCATCCCTTTTGTAATAATTCTTCATTCTTAAAAGGACCCTTGATCTTCTGCTTTTGTAACATAAATTTTTATCAACTCTTTGTTGAAAAATTATCATAAAACATGAAATAAATGCATTTAATTTCAATAGGCAGTGCTTGCACTTGCTGCTTCATGGACATCACGTCAGGTCGGTGAAAGAACCCTCACTGGTACTGTTATTGATTCTGGTGATGGAGTCACCCATGTTATTCCAGTGGTATGTATAATGTGCAGGATTGGCTGTACACTTTAAGTGATTTAATAAAACAAAGTGTAGCTCTGGCATATTGTAGTATTGGGCAACATCTTATAAATTGTGTTTGTTTTAAAAGACCCCGTCTAAAAGTGTTTTTCTACTTGTAATGTACTTTTAGGCTGAAGGCTATGTTATAGGGAGCTGTATCAAACATATTCCCATTGCTGGTCGTGACATCACATATTTCATTCAGCAAATTTTGCGAGAAAGGGAGATTGGTATTCCCCCTGAACAATCTCTTGAAACAGCAAAAGCAATAAAGGTAAAACTGGATAACATACAGCATTTCCTTATCCAAGTGAAAAATAGCCAATGAATAATGATAAATATATTGTCTATTATTTGCAGTAGTTTGTGCAAAATAATAACTAGAACCAGGTTTTGTTTTTTGTGATGCAAAATTTTAGCATTACTAACACTTGAATGCTTGGGATGTGCTATTGTTCATTTGAACAGTTCATGATTTCTTTTTTATTTGCTTGGTTGTTCCATTGGTAATTGATGTAGCCTATATTAAATGTTATTTTTCAAAAGTTAAGTCCCCACCAATTACTCTTAATGTATTTGCCCTCCTGAATTTCAACTTGATATCTTAAACATCTGTTTAAGATGAAATCACTATCACTTATTTTTTTCATTGAAAATCTTGAGTAATGGTGAAGTTACAAGTCATCTTTCAATGTGTACTGAATACTTAAGGAACGTTGGGGGTATATTTGTCCTGATGTGGCAAAAGAGTTTGCTAAGTATGACTCAGATCCAGAAAAATGGATGAAGAAATTTGAAGGAATGAATGCAATCAATAAACAGGTACGTTCTTTGTCATTTTACTTCATTTTGAGGAACACAGAAAGTCACTTAATATTTCTTTTTGAAAATTTGATGTTTTCTTTTTTGTAGAAATTCTCAGTCGATGTTGGCTACGAACGATTTTTGGGACCTGAAATTTTTTTCCATCCAGAGGTATGTACTTTAAATTGACATTACTTCAGCCCAACGATTCTAGGCTTTAGTCATAGTCTCAGAGATCTTTTCTTTTTCAGTTTTCTAATCCAGATTTTACGACTCCAATTTCGGAAATTGTTGACACTGTTATCCAGAATTGCCCAATTGATGTGAGAAGACCATTGTATAAGGTGGGCATGACACAAAAGAATTTCTAGCGATTCGACGTTAAGGCGATAAGGTCTACTTTATATACAAATGTTAATTGGTTGATTTCATAGAATATTGTTTTGTCTGGTGGTTCTACAATGTTCAAAGACTTTGGACGTCGACTTCAACGAGACGTTAAAAGAGTGGTTGATTCACGTTTAAAACTTAGTGAGCAGTTGAGCGGCGGACGTCTGAAGGTATTTGACGTTAATCAGAAATTGGAATCTTGCTGCTTTTGCAATATTTCTTCAAAACAGGATAAAATAAATGCTTATCTGTTGTTTACATCTCATTTTTCAAAAAATTTTTCAGCCCAAACCGATTGACGTTCAAGTAGTCACTCATCATATGCAACGTTATGCTGTTTGGTTTGGTGGAAGTATGCTGGCATCTACCGTAAGAATGTAGTTTTTATGTTGTTTTAACATTCCTTGTTTACAGTAAGAGTCTGCCATGATTTATTCTATTTGTTCTGAAATTGACCCGCGAAATTGTTTGAATTGTTTATGAAACTAAATTTCCCTGTAAATCGTGAATGACATTGGGTAAAAGGCTTTTTTTTACAAGTGTGTGTTGCAGTTTAATTCATGTCTTTTTTAGTCATGGTAAGTTCTGAGTTATTGAGCTCGCCACAAAAGGAAAAAGCCTTTCTAGAGTTGTATAGAAATTTGAATTACGGTCAAATGAAACAAACAATTTGATGCATAGAAACAGTAACCTTAGCTGCATACAACAAAGTGAGATCCTATCTTCGTCACGTGGCTCGTGACGTAAGTCTATCGTAGATCTGCTTTTATCTTCTTTTGACTTGATTTGATCTAGAAAGAAAGTTTTCATGAACAGTTGTATTCAAGAATGTGGACTTGCATTTGTTGTAAATCATATGAGTAACGATTCCTTTTTTTTGTAGCCTGAATTTTACTCCGTATGCCACACTAAAGCTCAATACGACGAATCTGGTCCGAGTATTTGCCGACATAATCCGGTATTTGGGGTGATGAGTTAAAGAATAACCGTAGTGAATGTTAGCATTAACTGAACAATTGTCCAAGATAGTTGTATTACGCAGTTTCAATTGTACAGTCCAACGTTAAACGTGTCATCCATATTCAACGTGTGGATGCACTATATATATCGCACATTATGTGTTGAAATGGTCTTACGTTGATGTCACTTAATTGTTTTAAGTCAATTTTAATATTATTAAGTGATGATTTTGAAAAGAATAATATGAATCCAACGTCATTTTTTCATTAAATTTTTTCTAATTCACCATTTCTTTGCGATTTATTTATGGTAAAGTTTTCTATTAAAACGGTAATTACATGTTTGTATATGTAAATCGTGCAGGTTGGTAGAGTCCTGACAACGACTGTTGGTGTTGATGTTGAGTGATGTTTCGATAAGCTTAGCGGCAGCCACTCCTCACTTGACTCTGAAGTTGACTACTGCTAAACTTGTTGAAACGTCAGTGAACATCAACACCAACAGTCCTTCTCAGGACTTTACTAACCAGGACGATCTACATCTACAAACATGTAACGATAATCCCGGGTTCAAACCATTCACTTTACAACAGTGATTCTTGATCAATGTGCGACAATCTCTACTGGATAGCTAGGAGGAGCAATTTAGAGAAATGATAGAGCGTATAAATAATAAAATAAAATCGTTTGCGAGTATTTTAAAATTCACACGAAGGAAACATTACATACACCCATATATACATGCCTTCATTGTGTTAACTATCTCTGTGGTGTTTGGTAAATTTTAAAGTATGGATACGTTTTCCAGAAGAAAATTTGGTGTTGGTGCTAACTGGCGTGTGAAGTATCCTTAGTGGTAGTTATCTACGGAGTCAAGTGAGGAGTTAAAATTCAGGTTGAGAGCAGAATCAGCCGACGCCAACACCAACAGTTCTCAGAACCTAACTAACCTGGAAAATCTACGTACATGTACAAAGTAAAAACGTGTTGAGTTACGTTTGCATTTTGTAAGTTTTTCCAAAATTCATGTACTGCAACTTAATGTCATTTATTTTAACCTACCTTTTTATGTTACCAATGATTGGGGTACACCACTGGAGGTACACCCTTTGCCGCCGTTTTCAAAAGTTAACAATGAAAGCGCCGAGAAAAAAAAGCTAAAGTCAGACTCACAATTATCCTGGTAAAAATTGTCGGCATGAGCATTGATAAATTTGTTTTGAAATTATTTGATAGTTTCATAAATTGTCTATCTCTGTCTGTTAAGTTCTTGTTTACACAGTATGCGAGTCGTGGCATTGATTAGGTAAATCATAGCAATAACAAAGCATTTGTTTCTTTGAGTCTTACAGCTATTCGTCTTTCTTATATAGTGGTGGGAAGGATAGTTGCTTCAATATGCTACAATGTGTGAAACATGGTCACGAAATTGTTGCCCTTGCTAACCTAAGACCTCCACCAAGTAAAGGTTTGTTAACACACATGCTTGGCTTTTCATTAAAAAGCATTTTTGTCTTTCAATTTTAGTCGTACTTGCCTTGGTGACATAAAGTAAACATACTCCTTGTTAGACCACGTGGTCTACGTGCAGCACTCTATTTTCACTCTAAGTGTCTTCAAAAAGTAAAAGATTTTACTTGTTTCTTGCCTTCTTTCAGTGTCTCAGTGCTTTATAAAGTATATCACCTATAATTCTAGATGAGCTAGACAGCTATATGTATCAATTCTAGATGAGCTAGACAGCTATATGTATCAATTCTAGATGAGCTAGACAGCTATATGTATCAATTCTAGATGAGCTAGACAGCTATATGTATCAATTCTAGATGAGCTTGACAGCTTTATGTATCAATTCTAGATGAGCTACAGCTATATTTATAATTCTAGATGAGCTAGACAGCTATATGTATCAATTCTAGATGAGCTAGACAGCTAAATGTATCAATTCTAGATGAGCTAGACAGCTATATGTATCAATTCTAGATGAGCTAGACAGCTAAATGTATCAATTCTAGATGAGCTAGACAGCTAAATGTATCAATTCTAGATGAGCTAGACAGTTATATGTATCAAACTGTGGGCCACAATGCTATTGAGCTATATTCTGAAGCCATGGGTGTACCATTGTTTCGACGGACAATCAAAGGACTACCTCTTGAACAGGACATGAATTATATTATCAACAAAAATGATGAAGTTGAGGATCTTTACGAACTTCTGAAGGATGTTATGGTATAATCTTCATTGAAATTTTAAAGAATAGTAATCTTGTCATTAAATTTTGGATTTCTAGAGAAAGTGATTGATGTTATGGTAAATTTTCTCACAAATGATTTTATGCTACCAATATTTTCTATTTTTAGGCCGTAGTAATGTAGGTTTTTAAGAGTTTCCTCTTTCCATCGATCTTTTTGCTAGGCTGAAATCCATATTGAAGGTGTTTCATCTGGTGCAATCTTTTCTGATTACCAAAAAGTTCGTGTTGAGAATGTGTAAGTAAGCAACAATTCATGTTCGATATGAAAACTCTTATATTTTTGGAAGATTTCCTGCCCTGCAAAATTTTTGGAAGGGCAGTTTTATGTAACTATTATTTTTTTCTATACCATTTCAGATGCTCAAGGTTGGGTCTTACATCGTTTGCATATCTTTGGCATAGAAACCAAGAAGATCTTCTAAAGGACATGATTGATTCAGACATCAATTCCATTATTATAAAGGTTGCAGCCATGGGATTGGATCCTAAAAAACATCTTGGAAAAAGTATTGCTGAAATGTACTCATATCTTTTAGAGATAGTAAGTGTATACAACTTTGTCATTGCTTTGCTTTTCTTATTTAAAAATAGTTGATTAAACTTGGATTAAATGCTATGATTCATTTATAATTTATCTTGACTACCATATGTATCATTTGATCTTAATGGACCTAGTGTAATCTTCCCTTTAAATCTATACTTTATTTGATTTATTTATTCAGAATAAAAAGTATGGCTGTAATATTTGTGGTGAAGGTGGTGAATATGAAACATTCACTCTCAATTGTCCAATGTTCAAGAAAAGAATTGTTATGTATGCTCTTTGACTGATAGTTTGCCTTTTCATTGTACCTATATATACTATTTTCTACCTGAAATTATTCATTGTTTAGTGATAGTCAACAGATAGTTATTCATTCTGATGATGCCTTTGCCCCTGTTGGTTATCTATGTTTTAATGAAATGCACCTGGAAGAAAAGATCAAATAAGGTACTATGTAATCACCATGTATCCTATATTTGTTATTGTATTTTGTGGAATAATTCGGGTTAAATGAAAGAAATAGAATTTCAAGACAAATCCATAATGCGGTCAAATGTTCACTGACATAATATTTTACAAAACAAACTTTCGGCTGTCTGTCAACCGCCTTCCACAGTTATAACTCGTTGAAGCCTGTAGACAGACAGCCAAAGCTTGTTTAATAAAATATTATATGAGTGAACGTTTGACCACATGTATAATCCTGATATTGGATCACATATTTTTTCGAAGACAAGTCTAATTTGTATTTTATATTTGATTGACCAGTGGAATATAACCTGGTTATGTGCATACAGTGGAGGATGACATGGTTATGTGAATACAATGGAGGATAGAATGGTGAGGGCTTCATTTTGATGCGTAAAAGGAAGTTAACTAGCTGAACAAGGTATGCCGTTTTCAAGCTCACATTTTTCAATTGCATGACAAGAGATGGTTTTTAAAATGGACAACTTTAGCTCAATGTGACTAGCAATAACTTAATAATATGAAACTTAACAAAACAATGCAAGGGTGTAAAATTCAAGAGCCAATTGTTAATGGAAGAATAACTAAAGAACTGATGATATTTTCAAAACAAATAAAATGATTTGTTGCAATAAATATTTATTGGCAACCTAAACAACTAAATTTATGTTATTTACACGATAAAAATTTTTAAACCACATCTGTCAAAAGAGAAGTGCAAAAGCCATTTCTAACTATTCATTGCTTGTTGTGTTGTACAAGTGAACCACTGAGAGTGTGGATGCTTTGATAGTCTGAACTTGCTCTTTTTGTCAAATAGTGTTTTGTTCATTCTTCTATAAACAGCTCTACAAATAAAATTTCCTACAGCTACAATTCTATGGTTTTGCTAACTACACCTACACCTACACATCAACTGGATCATTACGTTTCAATGCAATAAGGGATTTCTTGACGCGCAAAGCTGGTAAACGAGCTGCACTGCTTTCATACCAACATTCTTGAATTATTTTACCCATACTTTTCATGATCTATTGGAGAAAAGCCATAGAAATGTATTGGTTTATGCTTTCATGTCATTTTTATGCTTTAAACAACAAGTGAAGTAGACAAGAAATTAGAAGATAATCACCTCATTTGTATCCCATGTTTTTGAAATGGTTGGTCGAAATTTCTCAACACAGACAGTTTCCTTCATTTCTTCTATACTTGGATCAGCTTGCACTTTCTCAAAGTAGGGCAATTGGTAATCTTCACTTGGATGTCCTGAAAAAATGTTTAAGTGTGATGCTTGAATTACACACAGCCTTAACGTGGTCATTGTAAAACAAAGTTTTTCACCCTGCTCATTCCACTAGAAATGAACGACCCTTAAGGTACTTAAAACCGCGTTAAAACTTAGGAAGAAAATACGTGTAAGCTGTTTTACAGTTTTACCTGCAAACGCGCAACGTCTAGCAATTTCCCACAATACCAAACCCATGGCATAGATGTCAATCTTCTTATACTCATGGAACGTTTTGGGTTCAGTGTTGTCCAGAAGCTCGGGAGCCATATAACGCTTGGTACCAACGCGACTGCCCGATGGCAAATCAAACGAGTCGTTGCAAGCGTCGTAGCATACAGCGAGACCAAGATCGGCAATGCAACATGTACCTGTTTAGAACAAAAATGGTTGTAACAAGCACACAGAATGACTGTTTGGAAAATGTGAAATTATCGGTTATGTATGTAACATGAAAAGTATGTTTGGCACTTGAATAACGCTTGCCCTGTTTGTTATAGTCGACAAATGAACAGCCAAAACTCACCATTATTTTTCACTAAAATGTTTCTACTCTTTAGATCACGATGCGCGATAGCAGGTTTTCCTCGTGTTCCATGGACTTCCATGTGAAGATGCGTGAGGCCCGAGGCAATCGATATCACCATATCCAACATACCATCAATACTAAGTTCTGGTACGCTGGTAAGGTAGTCACACAGTGAACCTTTCTTGTGAAAGTCGGTAACCAACCACAACTGTGTCCATGTACCATTATCTTTGTTATCTGCTGCGATGAAGCCTTAAGTACAACATGAAAAAATAGAATGACTAATGTCCTTATCGTTATCTTTCCTAGCTATAAGAAAACCACATGATTTGACCATTTGTTAATCATACTATATTACTCTTTTTTAACCGGAAATAACTCACCTAATATATGCTCGTGTCTCAACATAACCGTCTGGTACATCTCCGTCTCACGGCGCCACGAACATTCATCACGAGTTGAGAAGATCTTCACAGCAACATCTTCGCCGCGCCATGTTCCACGATAAACCTCTCCATAACGACCTTTCCCAATGCAATCATGCAAAATAACTTGTCTAGCGATGGTTCGTTGAATGAGCAAAGGAAGTCCAGAACCACTGCCTACGATAGCAATTTAAATGTTTATAGGAGATAGCATGATTACGTAGCATCAAAAGCGCGAGTGTGTTTTCACTGTTCAGAAGATTACCAATTTACTGCGTTCACTAATTAATGCCGACATTTATGGCAATCCTCCTTTGGTAAAATTGGTGAACTAAATATTCATTTAAAGTGAAGTAGTTCAAAACAAAAGAGCCTCTTCTGAAACACTAAACTATTGTTTTTTTAGAAATGATACCGTTCACTAAAGAATGTACGTAATTATCCGGACGTATTGAATTCTTTATCTGCCAGAATTTACGATAAGAAATAACATCCCACCTGAGTAGGTTTGTTCTAATCTGGCTACGTCTTTTAAAGATTGTGGGATGTTTGCATCCATAAGACGACTGGACTCAGGCAATTTGCCAACAACAAACTCAGGATCACTTTCAATGAGGCTTTTATGTAAAATTGAGAGGCGACGATCTCTCAGATAAATATACAACATTATCGTAAGTGTAATAAGACACACAGGTGCAGATATACACAAAGCAATAATGACTGTGCGACCATAACCAACATAAATCACTTTCTCCTTGTTATCAACTAAAAGAAGATTAGAAAGAAAAAGCTTTTATTTTGCTGCGGCAAGAATTGTTTTGGTAGTGTGAATTACTCATTAACCTTAACACAAGTTCATTTATTGCCTTACATTTTGTTCCCTTCTATTCATTTATCACTAATTCTACACAAACTTAGATATATATTTGGTAATGTGAAGATGTTTTATGTGCATTGTCTTTACTTTGTGCTGTGTTTTCCACCACTACCATACAAATGTTAACAAATTCCATTCTTAGAGTAAAAATAGCAATCAACCAGGCAAGGCACTTACTATCATCTCTGGGTGAACTATCTGATGTAGGCAATGATAGTGTTAAATTTTTGTTACACATGTCTTCATGGCAGCATTTGGACACAAATGTAGAAGTTGGTGTGACATTACACATGAACAGACGATATAGATCTGAATCAATACAACCATGATACTGTTTTTTCCTTATAGACATTACGTAAGTGAAACATGCAAACTCTGTTTCACATGTTGCATCTGCAGTGTTTAAGGTGGAATGGCAAGTCACTCTCTTGGATAACCTCCGCGCTACCAAAAATAGAAAATATAAGATTCATTTATGAGTCTTAAACTTATCTAGGGTTACCACAATTTTCTGACATATTCTTTGATAGTCACATAGCTTTGCCCAAAGTTAGGTATCCACTAGTTGTTCACCAAAAAATTATATTTCTACGTCAGCTCCTTTCGTTCATAAATTCTCCTAATACTTAAAACAACAAACAACAAAGGCATTGTAATGGTAAAGCATATAGATGATACCAAGGCACATTGCAAATCACGAGAAAGTTACAACATCTAATTGTAATTTTCTGAAGTTAAATACAGTGTAAACAAGAGTAAAGCCATTTTATTATAGATGTACAAGAATAGTCTATTAAATTCCCAAGACAATGGTCACGAACAATACACAATAATATTAACCGCAAAATGTGACTACATTTGTCATAATAGTCATTCGAATAAAAATATGGACAATGCGGACACTATATCTTTGATTTAAATGACCTCACTAAAACCTATAAACTTTCTTTGATCAACGTTTTACTGCAGAAAATCATATTGAAAATAGTCTTGCCTACAACATTTGTTAATTGGCTTGAAATCATATTGCGACCATAACAAGTTGAAAAGAAACATAGATTCGCATTCGTATTCTTTCACATAATGCGCATTCAATATCATGTTATGTTTCTTACTTATATATAACAAATATATCGAAGGGCAGTCATAATGTTGAAGTTAAAACTCACACTCAAAACATTAACCCAATACTCTGAATTGTGAAACAAAGTTCAACCTAAAATCATCGAAAAACTCGAGAGTGTGTGTTCGTTTTTTTAATATTGGCTGAATTTGAAAGCCATGTCATTCGCGTTCTAATTTATATATTCATGGCGATAATATTATAATAAAATACTTATTTAATGGCGTGTCTTTATAAGAGATATTACGATTAGGAAAAACGTACAAAGACCAGTAAACACAATCGTATTTTTGTACTATTTAAATAATCCTTGTACAACAACACAAAATTTACAAAAAAAGTAAATGTGATTGAAATATCACGCTATTTTCTAAGTATTATATTTTATCAAATTGTTCAAAGCAAATAAACCAACCTTCGTTTGACGCTAAACTTGACAATATAACAATGGCTACAATTAGAAGCAAACCATCGTGAATCTTCATTGCTTGACTTTCATTTACTTAAAAGATCGTAAGATTTGATGTACAGATGCAAAATACTTATTTTTTATTCACAGGTTATCGTAACACGAACTCTCTCAAGGTGGTGTGCGCAAGAGACAAAGAGTCATACTCACAATATCTGACAATACGTGTTTCCGAACCTTCTCCGATTACAGGTTGATTAATTATTAAAGCACCTCAAGCTGCGCCTCAACTGGTGTGTGCATGTAAATATTACTGTCTTTACTGAGCTCATTCATTCGCTAAAAAAACTGCTATTATAAGCGGCGTATTTCTCATTTGCGGATTTCGCAGTTTTCGGAAGTGATCTTAACACTGTTTTTGCATTATTCATTATCCAGTTAGTGTAAAAAGCAAGTATTTTGTCCAGAAGTTGAAAGAGAGAATTGAGATTTACTACTTATTTGTTTTTTAAGGAACCTTTCTCACGGTTTTCTGAACATGTTCCTCTCCAACTCCAAGAGACACCCTCTCTTTACTTTCCACTGCAGCATCATTGTAGTAATATGGTAAGAAAGAAGGCTCTACATTCGAAAGAAATTATTTTGTGGTATCCACTAGGGTAACCACATGCCATTTTGTTTTGGAAAGTAATTTATTTTTTCAAGAGACAGAATCTTTTATGAAATTTATTTCAATGATTGATATTAATTTCAAAAGCCTTGCTGGTTCATATAGTGTATGATTGGCAAAAATAGTTCATTTGGGCTAGCTGTGTAAGTTTAATTTCGTCATTATCCTACATCAAGTATAGTCTGTCCGTGAGTCGTGGCAGTCGCGCCGCGCGTTCTACACGTGTTGTGAAGTGGTGTGAAGTGAGAAAGGTTCGAAACATCGGTTCATCTGCTGTTTTAGTTATTTCAATAAAATAAATGTCTTTCGTGCCAGTTCTTCCTGATTGTCATTTCCCAATTCAAAATCTTCCATATGGAATATTTTCAACAAAAATAGATGTGAGTTATAGATTAAATTTCATTAATTAACTTATGGGTGGGTCAGAGGATGGAAGGTGTTTTATATTTCTTGCAAATGTGTAATAAATTATTTTAATTCCAGATTGTATGTATTTGATAACTTTAAAAAAAAATACATACAGATAAAGTAAAAATTATGAAACCTTGGTCAGACTTAAAGTCTATGGGAATTCTGAGAAGATATTTTTGATTGTTTCTATGAATTGTCAAGGCAAAATGTCGTATTGGGGTTGCAATTGGAGAATTTGTCCTGGATTTGCAAGCCATCAAACATCTATTTAATGGACCAATCATGAAGCTTAAGCAACATGTATTTGAAGAGGTATTTATTTGTGCTTTACATTGTTTAACTGCTACGTATATAATAAATACATCAATCTGCAAACCCCTGACAATCAATTGTTAGCTAACTACTCCAATCAGAATAAACTCGCAGAAATATTTATTAATTCCTTTAAGGAAACATTGAACAAATTCATGAGCCTTGGACATGAAGCATGGCTTGAAACTCGTCAAACTATTCAATCAATTTTATCAAAAGAGCAAAGTGTTTTACGCGATAATGCTGATCTTCAGAAAAAATGTCTCATACCACAGAAAGAAGTAACCATGCATCTTCCTGCTGCTATTGGTAATTAAAATGGATTTATTAATGATAAGTAATATATGACCAATTGGCAATTGTTATTAAAATAATTGTTACATGTTTGTGGATATAGATTGTTCAGGTTTGTAGAGTCCTGAAAAGGACTGGTGTTGATGTTGACATCATCACCAACAGTCATTCTCAGGACTCTACTTACCTGGATGATCTACATCCACAAACATGTAACGATACTCTCAGGTTCAAACCATTTATTTTAAAAGAGTTGTTATTAACAAAGATAATATTTGATTGAACAATTACTTTTCCTACATAGGTGATTATACTGATTTCTATTCATCACGAGAGCATGCAACAAATGTAGGAACAATGTTTAGAGGCAAAGAAAATGCACTTCTTCCAAATTGGCAAGTTTCTTTGCATAATTTTTTAAACTGGTTATCTCAGACCATGTTATATCAAGCAACCCAAAAATGTTTATGTAACTTATCTGTTATGGTGCGTATCTTTAAAACAGGCTTCATTTGCCAGTTGGTTATCATGGTCGTGCTTCTTCAGTTGTTGTGTCTGGGACTCCAGTTAGGAGGCCAGTTGGTCAGACTAGAATGGTGGATGGTTAGATGGAATTGTGATACATTATGTTTTTGTTTTATTGCACTGTTATTCTTTTGTAAGTTTGATACATTATTTGCCTTTTCATTTCAGACAAACCACCAACTTTTGGACCTTGCAAACTGTTGGATTTTGAGTTGGAAATGGTATTAATATATCAATTTTCTAATTATTATTGATAAGAATGAGCAGTGTTAACAAATGGCTTTTAACTGAACATGTAAATTCAGGCTTTCTTTGTTGGTCCTGGTAATGCCCAAGGAGAACCCATACCTGTTGCCAAGGTAGGTCTTCCTTTCTCCTTACATGAAACATTTGCACATGATTACTGGCATTGATGTGACCCATGACCCTGTGATGTTACCATGTTTGTCTTGCTGGCTAGACATAAGCAGACATGCACATTATGTTAGGTGTGAGTGGTTTGAAACCTGTCCAACTATAATAAAACTTGCGTACATAGTCAGGCCTGTATGATCTGGGCAAAAAATGACTGATGACAAAAAGTCATTCATGTTGAACTAAAGGCTTTTCCGTCAAATAAAATATATACAAAAGTCAAATCCAAACAGTTTTGGGGAGCTTGCACTGATGCAAATGAGCTCAGATATACCTTGAAAAGCTCTTGTTCTATACACTTCAAGATATATCTGAGCTGATGACTTGTCTTCATTACTTGTTTTGTATTGTTCATTTTTTAAGAGCATTGAGAAGGCATTGCAAGACAGTGTATTTAATTTGGTTTTATTTATATTGTATAAGATTAGGTATTTTGTTTTTCATTTTTTAGGCACATGAACACATTTTTGGAATGGTTATTATGAATGATTGGAGTGGTAAGTTTTTATTTGACCATCAAATGGCAAATTTACGTTGAAATTTTGAAAGTTTGTCGTGAATCTTCAACTTCGTGGTAGTATTTTTTGTTTTTAATTTTTGAATTTAAAGTATGATCTGTTAACGAGTGCGCCTTGTGCATAATCCACCATGTTTAACGATGATCAAATCAATGCAACAAAATTTTTTTCATACTGACATTAAAATTAGTTAACAGAACACCGTCTAAACTACTTTTGTAGCTAGGGATATTCAAAAATGGGAGTACGTTCCTCTTGGGCCATTTTTGGCAAAAAATTTCTGTACAACGATATCACCTTGGATTGTTACGATGGAGGCTTTAAGACCTTTTCTCGTTTCAAATCCTGTCCAGGTGAGTTGTTATCTTAATACAACATGATTGTGTTGAAAAGTTTGGTGGACAGTCGATTCATTTGTGAATTTACAGTCCATAATTTCCATCCTGCATCTCTTTTTTCTTAAAATATAAACTAGTTTTCAAATGATTCTGTGATGCTGACATGAAATGGCATTTTAGATATACTTTAAATATTACCCATGCTTTGCCTTAAATTAGCAGATTTCTGAGATGTACGTAGAGAAAAAAAACATAGAATTTGTACGATTGCACAACCCACGAATAACTTATTTCTCCGATTACCATTGAGATGAGTATAACGCTTGCTTAAATCACTCAACTTTCAAAGATTCTACATTCTCCAAACACGTAATTCATTTTAGTAGGATGGCAAAAACACGATGTGTCATCCAGCTGTCAATTTTTCCATTTTTTAATTATTTGTCGTTGTTATAATTTGATAGGATCCGCAACCATTACCATATCTGAGACATTCTGATCCATACTCGCTCAACGTAAATGTGGAGGTCGCCATCAAAGGTATTAAGTTAGTCAACGTTACGTACTTTATCTACAGTCAAATATAGTTGTTTGATGTAATTTGTGAAGTTATTCAGTGTTTTCAGTAAGTATGAACAAAATGAATGTCATGTGTATTGTACGTAGGTGAAGAAATGAAGAAAGAAGTGGTAATTTCCAAGTCAAATATGAAATACTTATATTGGACTGCTAAACAACAACTTGCTCATCATACTGTTACTGGTTGCAATGCTCGGCCTGGAGATCTCATGGCGTCTGGTACAATCAGTGGACCTGTAAGTAGCTATAAACTGTAAAATTGTTCGGTCAACAGCAAAAGTTGATTGTTAACGTTTCTGTAATTCAATGCATGGAAATGATTAGATGAGTGGTAGAATTTAATTTTTGGAGGATTTATTTAAGAGGGTCTATGGAATTGAAGTAGTTCGTGATATTGTGTACTGTACATGGTTTCTGTAGAATCTGTATCATTAAAAACTTATGTTTTACGACTGAAAAGCTTTCAGAGTGAGGGCAGCAACACTGATGGTGTAATCAGGTGTGGCATCTTACATTTACCCATTGATAAAAACAAATTTTATGGTATTCAATCTTGTTAAGGAGCTCATCCTTGTCTTACACGCTTTATATCTTCGCCATTATAGACACCTGATTCTTATGGTTCAATGTTGGAGTTATCGTGGCGGGGCTCAAAACCTATCCAACTTGAACCTGGGATCGAACGGAAGTTTCTTAAAGATGGTGATGAGGTAATAATGAAAGCGCATGCACAAGGAGATGGCTACGTCATTGGTTTTGGAGATTGTGTCGGAAAGGTATTGCCTTCTATAAACTTCCCGTAAGGTACGGTGAATTATCAATACGTGAACTGTTTCCACAACAAATGCCCGGCAAAAATCATTAAACAGGTTCTGTTTTAAAATAAATGGTAATTACTAAGGCACGAGGACGACATTCTTCCTCTTTCTTATCTTGTCATGTTGTCTCAATAAGACAAAACATCAATCATTTCAGAAAGCAACAGAAGAGCTACGATAGTCCTATCGTGTTCTGTGTTGTTAAAGAGAAATGTGAGCAGCAATCTAATTTATTTCGTGTAAAGTTTTTCTCATTAGATTGCTCAGCATTTCAAGGAAATGATTCTTCGTCATTTCAGCACGATTAATAAATGATTTCGATTATTTTGTCATTTATGACAACACATCGGTATCACCAGTTGCACACGGCACAAGTAGAAATTAGCCACTAGAAGTAGAATTTCATCAATCATCATGCTTCGTAATTAAGGAAAACAAAATATGGCGGACGCTTACACTGGGTTCGATTTTTGCACAAAGAAGAAGAATGCCAATATATTTATTTCAGTTTTTTCAAATCAAAGACGATTTTCGGTGCATCGCTTTTACTGCTGTAATAATTACCGTCGTTTGTCAATACAATCCAGTTATTCTACAATAACATAATCGTGCGAATATAGAATTGAAGCTGTGGCCTTTTTCTTGGTCGCTATTTAATAAGAAGTCCCATTTGTTCCAAAAATTCCATCGCTTTTTTTGTTTCCTCCTGTGAACAAAAAATGACAAACAAATGGGTGCATGTTGATAATTACTCGCATCTCAAACTGTATCACAATCATTTCTACCTTTCTCCTACAACTACTCCATTTCAATTCGCTTGCCATGACATCCACCACACGCGGTATGACATCTTTGGTTACTTCCACGTCTAGGAAGGCCAGACGCGTGCGTCGTGCCAGAACGTCCAAGACGGTGCATGCGTACTCCTTTATAGCAAATTTGACTTCGGCTTCGATGTAAGGGAACTCTTTCGCTAACTTCTTGGCAGGACCTTTGATCTCTTTACAAACCTGAATGGCTTTAGTGCCATAGGAATGACTGAGGTGTTTTGCAACCTCAATATCTAATTTGTAATCCTGAACCAGTTTTATGTAAAAATTTGGTGAATAACCCACTCCGCCCTCCAGAATCAAGCCATCAGTCTGACATTTTGTTGACTCAGGCTGCAGGTGACAACTCTTTACTGCTTCATCGACAGTATCAGAAGCCATTGATCTGTAGGTCGTCCATTTTCCTCCGGCAATCGTGACTAAGTTTCCTTTACTTACGTCGACTATATGATTTCTCGCTAATGACTCCGTATTCTTTGATTTTGGATCACGGACTAACGGTCTAATGCCGCTCCAAGCTGCCAAAACATCTCTTTCACGAACTATATTCAAATCATATTCTAAGCTCGTTAGCGTGTTAAGTTCAAGACGAACGTAATTATATTTATATCAAAACTGAAGTTGAACATACGTGGCTTCTCGTTCATTTAGCATCTTAACTTATAATCTAGTCTAATGCTCTCATTTTGGATCATCTAATGTTGAACTTCGAATCCTTGTATACCCCAGTTTAATGTCCTCTTTAAGAATAATCTGTTGTTGAAGCTGAGTCCTTGTATACTCCAGTCTAGTATCTTTCATTATCAGTGGTGATCCCTTACCAAAACTACAATTTTTATGTACAGTACACCCTACAGTTAACCTCAGAAGACTTTGAAATGTTGCCTTAATGTTATAAGATGTGTTTTCCAACACGTACCTTCAATGTCATCAGACATATAAGTTTTGATTTCTCCCAAAACAAATTCTACTTCTTCTTGGGTCGGTTTTGGTGTAAATGTTACTTTACTTGGGATATCAGTTGTACCAGCAATTGTTTTTCCTAAAATAGACCGTAGTGGAGCGATTGTAGTCTATGTTTGAATTTTGCCATACATTCTTCAGGCTAGTGTATTATGGAAGTAGATATTTCTTAATTTTCTTTCCATTTATCGTCATGAATTCAAGATCGATATCTCTTAGGATGCATGTATTTTTTTCATATGACTTCTTGTTTGGGGTGAGTGTAAATTTTTGATGAGAAGTAGAAACGATCGACAAATGCTAAGTCGTGGAGATGATGACCCTCCACATCTGTAATGGCGTTTACTAACCTTCCCATGGTGAAAAAGGTACGAGGTACTACCACTGTCACGATATTTATACTAACCTTCCCATGGTGATAAAGGTACGAGGTACTACCACTGTCACGATATTTATACTAACCTTCCCAGGGTAATAAAAACACCACTCTTCCATCGCTTGTTTCTGGATTGAGAAAACCCATGTTCCTTGGACTAAGTTATGGAACAAAGTTTTTATTGTAAGTAAATGTCAAACTCTGGCATAAAATCACATATTTTTACCAGTAGTATTCAGGTAATACAATGTGTATTCCTGCGCTCGGTTGACATATGTTACGAGTGGTTGGATCGTCCATTTTTCTGATGTCGTCCGTATACGGTCCAGTTGCATTTACAACACATTTGGCGTGTACGTCATATTCTTCTCCTGTGAGAATATCTCGAACACGCGCTCCACAAACGAGATCTTTCTCCTTATCATCTATGGCAATGATGAATTTGACTTACCTTACAGTTTAATGCATAACTTTTTGGTCATTAACTTAGGCAAGCGACATTTTTAGCTGGGTTTATGAATTTCATCTCTGAGTGATCGAGAAAAGAGCTACGTTTTTCTATGATTCATCTTTCCTACTACTTCCTAAAAACGTAGCTTCCTCTTGGTTTAATGCTACTGATAGCACCCAAACCTTGCATTATTTTCTTTTTCAGTAGTTGAACTACTTCAGTGTGGTTAGTTATTACAGCACCACGTCTGGCTGCTGTTAACGCAATGGCAATATTCATTCTTGCATCATCTTGTTGACCTTAACATTGAAAGCAACATTTGGTTAAAAGTTGTGTCATCTTGTATGTCAGTCTAGTATATCATCAGGCATTAATGCTCATTCCCTCATTCATATTTGTCTAATTTGGATGCATAAACCTACAGTATGTTAAGGCCAAGCACTCTACCTACTGCAGCTTTGCAGAAAATTGCCTGTACTTTACCAATCATCCCAATGTCTAGATATAAGTACGCTAACTATGTAACCTTACCATCATAATAAATAATGCCTCCCCACAAATTTTTTCTTTTCAGTGTAGGAAACAATTCCAATGCTTTTTTTTCGCTCACATAATAACTTCCATGCAATAATTGTTTTCCAGCGATCACATCATACATTTTTAATCCTGCCCAGAAATAGGGCACTTTCCACCAGCTAGCAACAAATAAAGGACAATAATGAAGAATTTGTTGGCTCATCTTTACTTTTTAATCAAAGCATGATGCAAATTGTATAAGGAGTGCATTACAAGCTACATTATTCTACCAGTGCTACAAAAACTTCTCATGAATGATGAGATTTCTCCACATTTCTTCACAATACCTGTAGATGGGCAGGATGATTGGCAAAGGTTGAGCCAGATGAGGAGCACTTGACAACATATTTGCACGTTCATGTAAAGCTTCAGTAACAAGTTTGAACTATAATTAAATATAAGACAAAATGTGTACCACGAAAATTTGTAACATCATTTTATTTTGTGTACACATATATGTTCATCAACCTGTTCATAACTTAAGTTGAATATAGCTTTTTGTAGATATCTTACACCACCATGAATAAGTTTTGTACTTCTGCTACTGGTAGCTGCAGCAAAATCATCCTTTTCAACTAATGCTGTTTTCAAACCTAGCAAATGTAAGTTGTGCATTATCTAGCACACTATTGTATTGCATACTATTTAGATCGAGACACAAAAAGTAAATTTTATCCATACCTCTAGTAACAGCATCCAAAGCCACTCCACAGCCTGTTGCACCTCCACCAATAACTAACAAGTCAAACTCAGTAGTATCTTTAAGTCTTTGAAGTTGAACTGTTCTGTAATGCGATACACAACTAATTTAAGAGCTTTATTATCTTGAGTAATTATCCTGCATACATTGATCTCTTCATCAGCACTCATCTCATCACAAATCCATGAAATTGTGGAAAATTTTGCTTTACCTTGATGGTAATGGTGTCAATTTCTCTGCCAATTCTACTGCCTTGTCGAGATCATTGTATTCCACTGTGATGCTCTAAATATTATTCTGAGAATTTGATACTGCTTTGCATGGAAAGCAAGCTGTGTTTCAATAACATCGTAAATTGTTAGCAAACATTGCCTTCTCAAGTCATACTGCATTTCAAGTTACATTGATTAAAAACCTACATGACGACTTTGTGCAGCAGCAAACGCTAAACATCCACCTCCTAAAATTGCTAAACCACCTACAACTTTAACATAAGCCATCATCTGTCCTAGAAAGAAAATGAACTGTGTTCATTGTATTTTAATTTCAACGTTTAACGAAGTATAATGGGAATTGTTTTAGTTTTTGAGATCATGCTTTTGAATGTTTTTCTGTCTTCTTAATGAAAGTATACACCCAATTTGGGTGTCAAAATATCTGTAGGGAAAAACCATTGAACCTTTGAATATTTTCGTCGGTTTAATTTCACATCTATTACCTTTTCTGGTGCAAAAGCAATTCCAACTACTTGATATGATTGAAAAATCTAATCATTGCCAATGAAATATCGATTGTAATGACAATTTTGTTTTCACATTGTTATGATGGTATCATTCGAACAATCATTAACTTCGTGTGATTATCGATGCGTAATCGGATTAGAACGGTCGTAGCCGTATTTTTCCGGAATGTTTAAAGATGAATTTGTAATCTTCAATCTTCATTGATCAGGTCAGGTGTCATCTGTCATGCAAATGTTTTCGAAACTGAATAATTTACTTTGTAAATTATACGTGGACGTACATCGATTTCGGAAATTCTTTGCTATGTGAACGAAGCATTAAATTCTGATGAAAAAGGGTTTTCTTTGGTAGAAGTTCCAGCAATGAAATCGTTTGTATTTTTATATTTTTTTGTGGCTCTATCACCAATTGTCACTTGTCAAAATTCACATCGTTCTTTTGGTCGTTGTCCTAAATTCACGATAAAGAAGTCTACTATTATAAAATCGAGCCAATCTTTACACAATGGCGCTGTTCTATTGGGTAGAAAAGTGACGCATTCGTCCGCTGGTTGTCACAAAGAATGTTGCAAAAACACCGACTGCAATTTAGTCATGTTGAAATATGAATTACAAAATAAAATTGTGAAAATTACCTGTTTCTTGTTCGATTGCAAGACACCTTCTGTTTGTAGTTTCTACCAACATTCCACCTATCACAATTATGTTGCGTTAGATTACGGCGAAAGAAAATCCTCTTTTAAAGCACATGATTACCATCCAAGAAATAAAGGTAAATTTTTGATAATTTTTAAACTATAAACCCTTCATTTTGGGACCTTAATATAATTAAATTTGATTTTAACGTACTCGTTCATACGTAAACAAGAAAATGAATACTGGACATCAAACATGTCGATTTTAATCTGTATCACTATTAATTTTGGTCTTATGAAGATCTTTTTTATGCCAATTAGAACAAGCCACATAGTAGGTTAGAAGTTTTCAACAGCAAATTTAAACAGCTTTTCCTTCTATTTTTGCTGTCACGTATTATTCAATTACATTCTTGAGAATTTTATTCAATGAAATCACTTTTTATCAGCCTACTGAAAAATATTGTTTGTGGTTTCAAAATGTTTATCACATTACATCTTGAATAAGCACTTTGTGAGAATAAGTTTTTGTGATCAAAGTATCTGTGACATTTGTATAGGTATGACTGTGGCTACAACAATACACTCTCAAAGTGTCACTGCTAGAAATTCTTCTGTTGTTGAACATACTTGGGCTGAAAGAACGTTCACTGAAACACCAACATACAAAAAGCCGACCGATAAAGATATCAGCTATGACATTCCTATGAAAAAGCAAACTAGACAAAAATTTGGATTTGATAAACAAAGCTTAAATGAGAGATCAACGACCCATAGTTCATTTGATTCTGGTACAACAAATGACAACAAGAACAATGAGGAAAGTTATGAGAGACCTTCAGATGAAGATAGTTCCGTGCGCGAACAAACAACTGAAACAAAGGAAGAAGAAATGGATGAAGAAGAGGAATTTCCTCGACGCGTATTTGTGGATAACAATCCCGATTTTCCTGAAAAACCTGCAAGTCACATGTCAGATATGAAGAAAAGTCATGACATCGAAGGTGTGAAAACAACTGGGTCCATCCACACACAAACCACTGCTGGTAAAGTTATGTTTTTAGCTGAAATTGATAAAAAATTACAATAATTACTCTGTACTTTAAATGTTTTTTTGACATTCTGTTTGACTTTCAAGCTGATTTGAACAATCAAGAACACACGAATGAGAAGACTGAAAAATGGACTTTTACCTCCACTGAATCTGATAATAGACCAACTACTCAAGGTAAAATTTTTGACAAATGTTTAAAATGTTGGATGGTTGTGACTTGATGATTTTACTTGAGTTCTTATGTTTTATTGTTATCTATCTATTATGTACATTTTTACAAATATTTGTCTTTACGTTCTTTTTTTCATTCTAGCTTATGTTTCTACAAAACCTCAAGTCAATCAGTTTGTTGTTCGAAAGTTTATCAGTGTTCAAGACAACAAAGCTGTAATTCCTTTAGCAGTTGGACTAGTTTTGGCTTTACTTCTGCTCATGGGTGTAATATTTCGCCTGAAAGCATCTAAAAGACGACGAACAAAAGCATTTCTTACTGATGATGCAGATTATTTAATAAATGGAATGTACCTATAAACCAAAAATGGTCATTACAAGTTGCAACTTTGAAGTTTTGGCAGGAACTGAACTGCATCAACTGTGAATTTTACTTGCAGACACTATGTGTTACATCTTACATCTTTTCATATGTTTTTGATAAAAGTAATGTATAATATGCATAAAATAATTGTAACTTACATTGAACAGCTTGTGTTAGGATAAAAAGAAATTATCTATTTGATGTTAAATCATGTAGTTTATACATAATTCAAAAATTACATATCATTAAAAGGATAAATGACAGTGATTGCTTCGAATTCTCTGTATTACGTCATGATGACGTCATGTATAGCATCTCTAGCGTAATTTCGTTTTTTTACAACGTAAACTCAGATGAGCTAAGCTTCGAATTTATTATCCTTTGAAAATGATTGCACTCCACCACCATACGAGAAAGAAATTTATTTAACTGTTGTTGCGTACCAAAGGGTGAGGGAAATCAGTTTCTGCTGGGGAGGGCATTTTTCTAGTTGGGACTCGTACAACAAAGTAGGAGTGAACTAGGGCAAAGGCCAGTGCAAAACTAGATGATCTTCGAGATCACCTACGGTTATTTCCTAAAGTACACGATACTTATGCGGGTATTGAAATTGTTTCTTGATGGCGCACGTGATCGCCTAGTGGTGCTACAATTTTATGTAGAGATAGAGAGGTGGATGATGAGAAAGACGGAGAAGAAACCAGGGTGATGCCGTCCCCCTCCTGGAGAATTCCGACGTTATCTTATTCAAGTTGTAGAATATAGCGGGAAGCAATTACGCGATGTTTCAACAATTTACAACGTGGATTTATTGAATTCACAAGAAGAATGTATTTACCCATGTGTGTATCGGCGCATTCGATAAACTATACGAATGTACATGTACGGTAAAGTGTATGTGGAGGATTTGTGACAGAAATTAGTTCGTTAAGAAAGGAATAGTGAAGAACAATGTCGACGTCACTACTGTTACTCCCAAATCTCTCAATAGTCCTCCGAAATCTTGCTCATGATCGATTAAAGAAGCTTTTCAAATGTGGCGGAAGGTCTAAATTTTGATTCTATTACTAACGACTTGGCGTCATGCAAATAAAAAAAAATAGACTTTAGAACATTTTAGACAAATCTGAATTAAACTGCAAATAAACGCTATTACCAGTTTCCATGTGTGCTGAAGTACATTTATCGGTAAATATCATTCAATGATAATCCACTGAAGATTTACCTTAAAAGTAGAGGAAAATTGGTGCAAAACTCATGCTGCGGAATCGAACCTTTTTTGAAGAAAGATTTTTTTATGATGAAGCTAGTTTTACATTTTCTGAAATTCAGAGTTGGTCTATCCACGAGTAAATGTTTCACTTTAACACACTTGCTTGTGACATTGCAGTATTTTATATTTAGAGCTGTAGCTACCACTATCCTGGCATGTTGGTGTGCACGTGAAAAGCATGTGCACATGAAGCATTTTGTAGCAATAAATTATCCAATAAATTAGCCGTGCAATAAGCAATAATTAAATTATTTTTTCGCCGTGATGTTCTCTGTCTTTAAACAGGTTTCCATGTTGGATATTTTTTGAGACCGATGAGCATTTTTTTAAAAAAAATTGTAGAAAATTTTGTTTTGCAAGGGTCATAATGTAATTGGTTAAAACTCTGAACTTAAACTGATTTTTCTTAAAGCTGGTGTTTCTGTTAGTTATTATATCATTTTGCTGTCAACAGATTGCATATTGAGAACAATCGTCTTCTTTGATGTGAATTTCAATGGAAAACATTAGGTTCGACAAAACAATTCCTCAAAAAAAAATATAATTTAGACGTAAAATATAATTTACTAATAGGTATATAATTTATGAATATTTATGAATTTAATATTTTTCAATCGCACGAAATATTAATATAGCTAACTACCTTTCTGGAGTATTTTGCTGTTGCTGTAATTGTATGGACATGTGGACATGAAAAGAAATCATGGTTCTTTTCAGTTGGCTTTCTCTATTTCTACCCACTAATGTAGTTTTTAATACAAAGATCTATTTGAATTCCTTAGTGGGATGGTCCTCCTAAATCTTTAAAGTTATTTTATATGTGTGTGATTGTTTAAATCATTTAACGCTAATTTTTGAGTGACTATTGAAAATTTTTGAGAGCAGACAAAATGCTCCATGACTACAGCTAACTAATTAAATTTTGTGATTGTGTTTTGAAAATTACGTGTATCCTTGGCAGAGAAGCGTGTCAAGAAACAATTTTACACCCCAACGTCTGATTTAAAACTCGACTTGCCAACACATCAAAGTCATAATCCAGCACAACCTCTCTGAGACATATAGAGGAGCTGTATTCAAACTGAAAAATATTCAAGTATATTGCTATTTCGTCTGATCAACATCGATAACACAGGCGAATCATTTGAAAGAAAAAAGAGACTGCCTTTATCAAAGTGATGGTTCAACAAAAGTTCAGCCTATGGCTGCTACTCTTGGTCATTCCTTTAGACGTGTTGAAAGACAGACAAATAACCAATGCTTCTGCAAGGTGAAAATTTTTATCGCTTCGTTGTTTTTCTTTTAAACTTTCTTTAAACTTCCTTTAGACATTTGGTAGCGAAAAAAGACAAAATATACAAAAATGAATTGACATTTTTAATCAATAGACATTTTAACTGAAAGTTTTATAAAATTCTCAACAATACAGAAAAATGCGTTTGAGAAAAATTTGCCGCATATGAACATCGCGTTTTTCTTTCACTTTTGTTCGCAATGTAAAAACTAGGTATTTAGATGATCTGGAAAACTCACAATTTCTTTGACCCAACTAATTTCAAAACACTTTTTTAGGTTTCAAACAGCTGATGACAACGTTGACGCTTTTGCTGCAATGGACGCAAGGATAAAGCGAAAGATAGTCCATGAACGATCACGTAAGTTGCCATATTTGACCATTCATTCGTCGTTGTTCATGTGTCTTATTGTCACATACCACTAAAGACAGTTTGTGACTGCATAAATACAAAGGTAGTTGAACCATAGCCATAATGAATTTCATGCGATGTTAATAATAACCATTCAAATAGTTGCAGATTGTGGATTCTTTTGTAAACATGGTACATGTGTTGATAGCGTGTGCAAATGTAAACCTGGATGGACTGGCACAAAATGCGACAAAGGTAAAAAGATAAAACTTTTATTGCTTGTACCCGTGTTTGCTGAACATATTCGTAGCTGTATGATTGTTGTACGAGTTTTTGAGATTGAGTCTTCAGTTACCTGACTTACCTTTTTTGGTTATCTCCTATAGTGTAACAAATATTTTTTCAATTGCTGCATAAAGTGATGAAAGTTGCATCGCTAAATGACTACTTTGTCCTCAAAATCAGCTTATCAAGTTAATACAAAATAGATGTTTGCGATTACTTTTGGATAAGAATCAAGATTCGGGTTCTTAGATATGCTTAGGATTAGAATTAAGGTTCGGGCTGTGAGAAATGGTAGGGATTAGAATTAAGATTCGGGTTGTAAGATATCCTTGGAAATAGAATTAAGATTTAGATTTAAGATATGGTTGGGATTAGAATTAAAGTTCGGGTTATAAGAAATGGTTGAGATTTGAATTAAGGTTTGGGTTATATGATATAGTTGGGATTAAAATTAAGGTTAAGATGTGAAAGTTAGAGTTTGTTGTTAATTTAAAGTTACCTATTTTTTAGCTGTTTGTGATCCGAAATGCAAAAATAATGGAACATGTGTTGCACCTGATGAATGCGAATGCGTTAAAGGATGGACGGGATCATCTTGTAATCGAGGTATCACAATTCTTAGCATTTTCTTATCATAAATATATATTAATAATTATATATTGAATAATTATATATTAATAATTAATATATTAATAATTATATATAATTTTGTCGTGTTATTTTAAACTTTAACAACTGCATTCAGCAATGGTTTTATGTATATTCTAGCGGCATTTAGTAAAAGTTTGTTTTAGTGAATGCTTGCTAGGTACTAGTTGTTGGGAAAGTTTTGAGAAGAAAAGGAAAAATTATTTCTGTTCTGAAGAATTTTTTATTATATGCATGATGTATATGTTATAGTGACAAATATTGTTCATTTTTATTCTATAGCTTACTGTGAATCTCCGTGTTTGAATGGGGGTAAATGTGTTAAACCCAACCAATGTGATTGCTTGGCCACTTACAAAAACGATCCTGAAGTCAAACTGAGTTATACAGGAGCTCATTGTGAAACGCGTAAATATTTCATATTTATAGTTTAGAAAAATAAATGAATTGATGTCTTTCTGAATAAATGCAGTCAGTGTATGTTTTGCCCTTTTTTGTTTTTAGCTCTGTGTAAAGAAGGCTGCTATGGCGGCGTTTGTTTGACGAATTCTACCAGGAGAGACAGCGAACCTGTTTGTAACTGCTTCCCTGGATTTTCTGGAAAAAATTGCTCCATCGGTATGTGATTTTAAATTATTTTATATGCCAAGATATCACACTAACTCCTATTGAAAACATGTTTTTTTCTGAAAAATATCGAAAATATACATAGGAAGAAACAAAAGACTTTCTTTTACTTGATTTCAGAGGATATCTGTGAAAAACCAAAGCAGCACGGTGTCTCAAAAGACAATGTTGATCATTACATTTCATTATTTGCTCAATTTTTGGCGCAAAACAAGCGAAGTCAGTCGTCGAGTGTAGCTCAGAAATTTGCATGCTACAAATACTTAAAAGGCATCAAAGAATCATGTGACGTGATGGAGTCCAGTTATGACGAGTGTCTTCAAGTCTGTGGTAAGACTATGCCCAAAGGTTATTTGACATATTATGCAGAAATGCAGTATTCGGCAATTGGATAAAAATCATTCTGAAATAGTCTCTCCCTGTGTAAATAAAATGAATTTTTGACACGATTATGACATACAAATCTCACTATTTTACACACCTGTCTATTTATCTGCAACTCCAACCGCCAAGCTTGTTGAGTAGATAAACCTTGTGGTCTGCAATGCAAAATCAAAATGTTGTCAAAGTGAACAGCGTTAAGGCCTATCTCTCCAAAATGGATTTCAAGGACGATTTTATTTGCTGCGATTCTGCTTTGATATAGTACCAGAATATGGAGTGTGTGACGAACTATGGAAACGTGAAAGAAAGATAACTTCACCACAGAGCGTTGGTACCACAGTAATGGCAAATGTGAAAAATTCTTTTTCTCTGGTTGTTCAGGCAACGAGAACAACTTTGAAAGCCAAGAAATGTGTGAAAGTTCTTGTGTTGGTATGTGTGATTTTTGGACGTTATGGTGATATCACTGTGTCAAGAAATTAATTTCGTCTCCAATCTGTAACATTTTTTCATATCTTTAGGATCATCGAACGATGCACACCACTACAAAGCAAACCCTTTATTTCCAAAAAGTAAGTTTTCAATAAAGGTATTTTTGCGTACTAATGTCGTGATTTGAAGTGATCTGGTTTTCAAATTTGTTTCGTGACATTTGCTTCAGTGTTACGCTATCTCTAGACTGGATTGTAAAACTTCTTTGCAAGTGTTGTTACAAATAGCTTCATAACTTCGTCTGTTGTTAGTGGTTTATTTATGCGAATATATGAACTTTCTGCGAGTTCCGTCTTATTTAAGTCATGAAATGAAGCCTTTACTTGTCATTACTTTTGATTTCATAATAATATATCTTGAGATGTAAATACTGTGACCTTATTGGCTGAAAAGCAGTGACAGCCAAACAAACTTCTTTTCAATTCAAAAAAAAAATATGGCGCCAGTTGTAAGTAAACAAAAATTTCCACAATTGCCATCGTTTGAAATTCAAGAATTGCAAAAGAATGCTAAGAATAGAAACAAAACAGCAAGTACAGTTTTTTGGTGAATGTTTTTAACAGTCTTGCCGCGTAACGATGCTTTTCTAAAACGATAGAGAGAAACGAAGCGAGACAGAGTTAGACGGTGCCGTCAAGAAATATCTCAAAGTATATTATTATTAAGTATAGTTTCCATCGCTTCTCGTGCAATTAAAGCTAAACATAGCTACATTCGCGAGTTTTTCGAGTATTTTGCTGCAGTCTTTAAAAAACCTGCTCGTGCATTTCAACCCGTAATTGGTCTCGAAACTATACTATTATCTATACTAAACGTCAATGAGAATTATTTCTTTTAAATTTCTCTAAATTTTCATTCAAGTGGAGGGAATGTGTTATGCCTACGGTCGTGGCCATTACCGAACATTTGATGGAAAAAACTACTATTTTTACGGAACATGTAAATACCAAATGGTTTACGTTAATAATCCAATGTCACCATTCATTGTTAATTTGGAAAACGACCCCAACTGCGATATCAATGGACCTTGTCAGAAAAAAGTGGAAATTATCATGGAAAAAGCGAATGTGAAACTTTATAACAGTCTGCATAGTGTTAGAATTAACGACAAAGTTGTTCCCGTTCCGTACAAGAAACGAACAGCCAGTATTCGAAAAGTGAGTTACGCTGATGAATCTTTTCTTGTTCATTAATCTGTGTATAGCTAACTACGAAAAAAATTGATTTTCTTTGCAAATTTGACAATATAGCCATAGCAACAAAATAATTTTTAGTTTCTCCTTTACAGGCAGGTCGTTATATTATGGTTAAAAGTGCCGATGGTGTGTTGGTCTATTGGGATGGTCAGGAGGATCTGATGATCAAACTTCCTGAAACATTTAAAACGGAAAAAGATGGCGATCACAAAGCCTTCGGTCTTTGTGGTACATATGATGGCAATCCAAAAAATGACTTTGTAAACTTGCACGGTAAACCTCTCAAAAGTGATCTGGAGTTTCAAATGACGTGGAAAGAAAATACAAATTGTCAAAGTAAACCTGAAATAAAACCTCCACCTAGCTGTTTCTCACCCTCTAAGAACATTAAGCTGGGCTTGAAGAAGGCGGAAGAAATGTGCAAGATATTAGATGCAAAACAATTTGCCGGTAAACAATATATTTTTGAGTTGTTTAATTTCTTTTTCTATTGGTTCTTAATATCTTCTGATTTTTTATACTAAAGCACGGAAGACGAATGTGTTTTATACACTATTGTCATTATGAATTTTTTCATGCCATAATTCTGAGAAGAACGTGCTTTTTTGCCATAAGCAAAACAAACACATTTTGAAATGCTAACTTGTGAAAAACCACTGCTATAAATGGTCTTTATTCCTTTCTTTTTTAGCATGTAGGAAATTGATTCCCATTGAAGAGTACAGACATATGTGTGTGGCTGATGTTTGTGCTTGTGATTATGCTAGCAGAAATGATTGCATGTGTAAGGTGTTGTCTTTATTCGTTCGTGCTTGTCATGTCTTAATGAAAGAACTACCCAAATCTCAGCAAGATTGGAGTATTAAAAATTGGAGGAACAACGGACTATGTGGTCAGTATACTACTGAAGATTGTTTTGTTCTTGGTTTGCATGTTTCAACAAATCCTGTTTTATCAATATTTCATTTTTTGTTTACTTCGAGAAGAAAAATAAGTACATCTTTTACTCCTTATGTTTAGCGGTAACATGCCCTGCCACAATGGAATACTCTGAGTGTGGTTCTGCCTGTCCTCTGACTTGCTCCAATCCTTTCAGCCATCAAATTTCATGTCTCTCCGGTTGTGTTGACGGCTGTCACTGTCCGGCTAACCTTTGGTGGGACGGCAATCGTTGTGTGGAAAGACAAAAATGCTCATGTAATCATGCTGGAGTATTTTACAAACATCTTAGCATTCGTGCGACTGCTTGCGAAGAATGGTACGCCTGAATTTCTTTTAATGTCTTTCCCGAAATAAAGCAGATTTTATGGAAAAGAACTACTATATTTTACAGTTTTGTTATGTTCATGTTCATTTATCATCGATTGGAGCACAGCAACTGGATATGCATCAACAACAGACTCTTTTACAATATATAGCAGCAATTGCGTATGCATACAGTCACAACCTTCTAATAATTAAATTTTGAGCAAAAATACTGTATACATATCAGGGTATATCTGCATTTTTGATGATAAATTTTTTCTAAATTTTCTAGCACGTGTGATGGTGGAATTTGGGATTGTACTAAACGTAAATGCGGAGGTAACATTTATTGAGCGTGTTTGGAATAAAATGCACGTTAAAGAAGGCTTTTAAAGTCTGCGTTGATTGTTTGTAGAATGCATGTAACAAATATAATCATATTTTAGCCTGAGCTCCGCGGTTCTTCTTGTTTACAGGCACTTGTGATCTTTACGGTAACTCTCATATTGAAACGTTTGATGGTCTGATGTATCAGATGTATGGAAAAGGGTCGTACGTGTTATCTAAGCGTTGTCACTCGACGATCAGTGAATCTTCGTATGAAATTCGTCTGAACCAAAAAAGTCCTTTGGCATGCAGCCCTTCAGAAAGTAATTGTGACAAGGAAATCGAAATTCTAATTGGTGGCAAACTTGCTGCTACTTTGCGTATGAAGCCTCTTTTAACGATTGACGGCAAAGAAAAACGTTTTTACGTGGACACGATACATGGATGGAAGACAGGCGTGTTTGCAGGAGAAAATATATACTTTTCGTCAAAGAAGGCCGGCATCTATGTTCTGTGGAATAATAGAAACGAGCTTAAGATCATTGCTGATTCATCTTTGTTCAAACAGACTTGTGGTCTTTGTGGCACTTTTGACAACGACATAACAAATGACTTTCATACACATGATGAAGATACTGAACTATCCGCAAAATCTTTCGTCTCACAATGGAGGTTGAAAAGTAGTGCTTATCCTGCGGGCATGTGGGATGAAGAGAATTACTGCGACGTTCATTTTAATCGGAAGAACGATGCAGAAAAGATCTGCAAAAAGTTGAAGGAGGATCCAAAGTTTGCTCGTTGTCACAAGCTTGTATCGCCTCAAAAGTACTTTGATATGTGTATGAGCGATACTTGTTCTTCAAAAGAATATTATCTTCAAATTTTACGCGTCTACCTTAGAAAATGCGCCGACAAAGGTACACCTTTCGACCCACGATTGTATTTTGCAGAAGATCTTAAACGTTCACAAGGTAAGTGTTGTTGCTTCCTTTTTTTTAAGTTGAAGTTTGATTAATATTTACTTCCGATGGTAATACCTTTATCTTCCCTTACGACCTTATACATTTTCATCAATATTTTGTCTTTCCCATAATGTTTTGCGTTTTTATAATTCTTAATCTCTAATCCTATCCACAAAACTTATATAATTCAACGTATTCTCCTACCATTCGGCCAGCTTAAGGAAAGTCGATTTCAACTACATAACATACCCCTTGTTTTTATTTATTTCAGAGACAAAATGTAAAAGTAATCGGGAGTTCAAAGTTTGCAACAGGGATAGTAACGGGGATCCCACATGCGAGAACTCTTGTTTGGCATTACAAAATAGCTCTGTGAGCTGCCCGTAAGTGTTAAATTCTACAACTAAGTGATGTCGATATTGTGTTAACATATCAATTGCATGCTTTACTAGTGATGCGAGCTGCATACCAAAATTATCAATAAGCATCTTTTCTTTCGGATTTTATTATCAGTTTCATTTTTTTGTAGAAACGTTTGTTGGGCTGGATGTTATTGCAAAGAGGGATTTTATGCAACCGAAGATGGAAATTGCGTCCGAAAATCGGAATGTCCTTGTGTCTATAATAATCAGACGTATGTGAAAGGAGAGGTTCGAATGGATTACTGCAATAATTGGTAGGCACATAAAACTAAGATTATTACTCCCAATTCATTAATTTCTTTTGGCATCATTTTATATGATCATATCTTGCGCCCAGTCCGTTACTTCCGCTCTTGTTGATTTAATGTTGAAAAGAAAACGATGAAATTCTCAACAAATTTAACAAAACAAAGAACAAATTGTCAATTTTCATTTACCAAATCCTAAAACTCTTCATTTGAGCACATAGTGTTACAAAACTTGTACATTTTGATGTGCGGATGAAATGCTATTTTTCAGCAACGCACAATAATTTTCATGTAAATGTAATACAAGTAAATTTGTTTATATATTTAAAAGAATTGTTGCGAGTTCGGAAATTGTATCATGAACATTTGTTGATATATTATGTACATTTTTCTTCTCCATTCAATTTAGTACATGTAACGACGGGACATGGAGCTGTACAAATATGGACTGCAACAGTAATAATTCGATACTTTTTCATAATATCTACGAGTCTTAGAGATTTAGTTAGTTTAAATTAATCACATTGAGTGTTGAAGTATAATGATCACTTGCAAGAAAGAGGATTAAAAGATGACAGAGAAGTAATGTGTGAGTTGAAGGAAGCAGGCGTAGGAATTCTTAAGTTTATCGTAGGAATCACACGAGAATTCCTAAATTTATAGTAAGAATAACGTAGGAAGGTAACGTACGAATGACTGATATTCGCATTAAAGATACTTTAATCTTTCAATTTTTTCAGGATACTATGCAAACATGGGTAGAGTGTTCACTGAATGCGGTTATACTTGTGATAAACTGGACACTTGTCAGACTGGTTATTTCTGCCCAGTTGGTCAAGCGTTGCACGAGAATGGCACGTGTGTAGATGCAGATACTGGATGTCAATGTAAACACGGTAACACATTTTATGATCTTGGTGTTACTAGTCCCTCGGATTGCTCAAAGTAAGTATAAATGTATTATAAAAATGATTATTTTATCTTTAACTCTGTAAACAGTTACGACATAAGAGCGTGTTACTTTAAATAGCCAGATATCCATTTTTATTTTTTTTAGTTATTGCGTTGAGGAAGTTTTACGTTTCTTGTTATTACTAGGGTTTGTGGAAAAAGACGTTCGTGGGAAACGAAGGGAAGTGGGAACCGAGAACCGGCTTACGAATGTTCTGCTTGGGGTCAAGATCATTACAAGATGTTCGATGGTCATATTTTAAACTTTGACGGTCAATTTTGCGAATTTATACTTTTGCAGTATAATAACATCACAATTACAATCAAAAATAAGCCTTGCGAACACACCTTTGACATGTACATGTGCAAAGAAGTTAAAATCTCTTTCAACAATGACGATTTACGTATCACGCTTTTTCAAAAGGCATATAAAGTGGAGAAAATCAGCAACAATGAGATTGTACAATATGATTACAATAACCCGTGCAGTGACATCTTCAATGGTGTAATGATGGAGTATAAAGGACTCTTTGTCATCTTGAAACTTTACTATGTCGGTTTAGAAATCAAATATGATAAAGGTTCACGTGTTTATATCAAGCCGACCAGCTCACGACTTATGAACGGCACGTTCCGAGGTCTTTGTGGAAACTTTGATGGCAAGCACTCGAAAGACGATTTTTTAGTTCCCGATAAATCAACTGCGGAAGAAACGACGGAATTCGCCAATAAATGGGCAGCAAATGAAGACTGTGTCGATAGTGTTCAAAAGGATGCATGTACAAGTAGCCCATTAAAGTCTTGGGCAAAAAAAGGTACAAACACACACCTCACATTAGCATTTTATATGGAATATCTTTTTGTTACATAAAAAGTCCTCTAACAGAAAAACACTTTGTCTCCCTCTCGTTTTTTCAATCAAACTTTTTACTCTATCATTTGCAAATAGTTTTTCTAATCTCGAGTGCACAAATTTGTTCCATGAATTTTTTTACTCATATTTCTATAAGATTGTTACGTTCCATTTCTATTCGAATTTGTCTTTTCTAAATTGATAAAAAAGGCGGAAATGTCCTTATTTAATTGTCTTCAATTTCTTTGCAGGTTGTGAAGAGATTAAATTAAATCCAGCTTTTTCTAAATGTCATGAAACAGTTAATCCTGATCCATACATAAAGGCATGCGAACATGAAACCTGCAAGTGTAAATATGGCGGTGATTGTAACTGTTTCTGTTCTGCTGTGGCTGCGTATGTCAGAGAATGTAACCGACTTGGCATCTCATTTTCTTGGAGAAGAGAAGGATTTTGTGGTAGGAAAATTTTGCTACTAACATTTGACACTCTTAATTTTCGGGCATTAAGTTGTCACTATGTTACGACACATCACAGTTGATCGTATCATAAATTAGAAACAACAATTTTTAGACAATGCAAAAACAATATATGATTTAGTTTTCTTTGCTCATAAAACAATCTACCATTCATTAGTAAAATAGTTTACACAACTCTTTAAATAAAAACATGTCGAGACATCCTCAAAAATACGTTGAACATCACAGTTGTTTTTTCTCGAAATATATTTAAAAAGTACAAGATTTAACGTCTTAACGATGAATAAAGTAAATTAGAAACGACAGAATATGTTTGTAAATGTAGATAGTCCAGGTTTATATAGTCCTGAGAAGGACTGTTTTTGTTGTTGTTGATTGACGTTTCGACAACCTTAGAACTATACCAACCTGGACGATCTACATTTACAAACATGTAACGATACTCCCGGGTTCAAACCATTTACTTTAAACTAAAGAATAATTAATTTTTTAACATTTGCTTAACTTTTCTTTGAAACAAACAGAACTATCATGTTGCCGTGCTTGTCGCAACGAAAGCCACTATACACCAGATATTCCTGTCACACCTATTTGTGAAGAAAAACCTAATTGTACAAAACCGGATAGATGTTGTCGAGGTGACCATGTTGAAGGATGCAATTGTCCTGAAAATCAATATTTTGATGGAAAATCATGTAAACCTATTAAGGAAAACTGTACCAGGCCCTGTGCTGGTGTTCCACCAACTACTTCCATCTATACAACATCAAAACCTTCCAGCTCTCAAGTATCAAGTAGTTCCGTGCAACCTTCGACAAGTGTTTACTCTTCCTCAAGAAGTGCTTCTTTGTCAAGCGTCTCTGTTCCAACTACTGTGATTTCATCATTGTCATCGAGTAAAACATCAATTTATTCATCACCAAGTTCGTCGGCGTCATCTTCTCAAACTCTTAGACCAACTACTTCCATCTATACGACATCAAAAGCTCCCAGCTCTCAAGTATCAAGTAGTTCCGTGCAACCTTCGACAAGTATTTACTCTTTTTCAAGAAGTTCTTCTTCATCGTCAAGTATCTCTGTTCCAACTACTGTGATTTCTTCATTGTCATCGAGTAAAACATCAATTTATTCATCACCAAGTTCGTCGGCGTCATCTTCTCAAACTCTTCGACCAACTACTTCCATCTATACGACATCAAAAGCTCCCAGCTCTCAAGTATCAAGTAGTTCCGTGCAACCTTCGACCAGTGTTTACTCTTCCTCAAGAAGTGCTTCTTCTTCGTCAAGCGTCTCTGTTCCAACTACTGTGATTTCATCATTGTCATCGAGTAAAACATCAATTTATTCATCTCCAAGTTCGTCGGCGTCATCTTCTCAAACTCTTCGACCAACTACTTCCATCTATACGACATCAAAAGCTCCCAGCTCTCAAGTATCAAGTAGTTCCGTGCAACCTTCGACAAGTATTTACTCTTCTTCAAGAAGTACTTCTTCTTCGTCAACTGTCTCTGTTCCAACTACTGTGATTTCATCATTGTCATCGAGTAAAACATCAATTTATTCATTTCCAAGTTCGTCAGCGTCATCTTCTCAAACTCTTAGACCAACTACTTCCATCTATACGACATCAAAAGCTCCAAGCTCTAAAGTATCAAGTAGTTCCGTGCAACCTTCGACCAGTGTTTACTCTTCCTCAAAAAGTTCTTCTTCATCGTCAAGTATCTCTGTTCCAACTACTGTGATTTCTTCATTGTCATCAAGTAAAACATCAATTTATTCATCACCAAGTTCGTCGGCGTCATCTTCTCAAACTCTTCAACCAACTACTTCCATCTATACGACATCAAAGCTCCTAGTCAAGTATCAAGTAGTTCCGTACAACCTTCGACAAGTGTTTACTCTTCTTCAAGTACTTCTTCTTCGTCAAGTGTCTCTGTTCCAACTACTGTGATTTCTTCATTGTCATCGAGTAAAACATCAATTTATTCATTTCCAAGTTCGTCAGCGTCATCTTCTCAAACTCTTAGACCAACTACTTCCATCTATACGACATCAAAGCTCCAGCTCTCAAGTATCAAGTAGTTCCGTGCAACCTTCGACAAGTGTTTACTCTTCTTCAAGTGCTTCTTCATCGTCAAGTGTCTCTGTTCCAACTACTGTGATTTCTTCAGTGTCATCGACTACTTTATATTTCGTTCTATTAAAACAGCTACGCTTTCTCGAAGTGTCTGCGTCAAGCTTCGTTTTATCTTTTCAAGTCTTCAAATTTCCCAGTTATAGGATCCTCTGGTGTAATACATATTTCCAGTTCAAAGACTACATCGTCGGTTTCGGTAGTTGTGTTAACAACAATCAGTGAAAGTTTTACTAGGCCTCCTCCACCATCTTTCAGTTTCCCATCCAAGAATTTTTCAACCAGAAAGACATTGTCTGTCATATCGATTTCAAATAGTCTTAATGCGCTTACTACCAGTTTTTTTCATTCCATTGCAACAAGTGCTTCTTCATCGTCAAATGTCTCTGTTCCAACTACTGTGATTTCTTCATTGTCATCGAGTAAAACATCAAGTTATTCATCATCAAGTTCGTCGGCGTCATCTTCTCAAACTCTTCGACCAACTACTTCCATCTATACGACATCAAAAGCTCCCAGCTCTCAAGTATCAAGTAGTTCCGTGCAACCTTCGACAAGTGTTTACTCTTCTTCAAGAAGTGCCTCCTCATCGTCAAGTGTCTCTATTCCAACTACTGTGATTTCTTCATTGTCATCGAGTAAAACATCAATTTATTCATCATCAAGTTCGTCGGCGTCATCTTCTCAAACTCTTCGACCAACTACTTCCATCTATACGACATCAAAAGCTCCAGCTCTCAAGTATCAAGTAGTTCCGTGCAACCTTCGACAAGTGTTTACTCTTCTTCAAGAAGTGCTTCTTCATCGTCAAGTGTCTCTATTCCAACTACTGTGATTTCTTCATTGTCATCGAGTAAAACATCAATTTATTCATCTCCAAGTTCGTCGGCGTCATCTTCTCAAACTCTTCGACCAACTACTTCCATCTATACGACATCAAAAGCTCCCAGCTCTCAAGTATCAAGTAGTTCCGTGCAACCTTCGACAAGTGTTTACTCCTCTTCAAGAAGTGCCTCTTCATCGTCAAGTGTCTCTGTTCCAACTACTGTGATTTCTTCATTGTCATCGAGTAAAACATCAATTTATTCATCATCAAGTTCGTCGGCGTCATCTTCTCAAACTCTTCGACCAACTACTTCCATCTATACGACATCAAAAGCTTCCAGCTCTCAAGTATCAAGTAGTTCCGTGCAACCTTCGACAAGTGTTTACTCTTCTTCAAGAAGTTCTTCTTCATCGTCAAGTGTCTCTATTCCAACTACTGTGATTTCTTCATTGTCATCGAGTAAAACATCAATTTATTCATCTCCAAGTTCGTCGGCGTCATCTTCTCAAACTCTTAGACCAACTACTTCCATCTATACGACATCAAAAGCTCCAGCTCTCAAGTATCAAGTAGTTCCGTGCAACCTTCGACAAGTGTTTACTCCTCTTCAAGAAGTGCCTCTTCATCGTCAAGTGTCTCTGTTCCAACTACTGTGATTTCTTCATTGTCATCGAGTAAAACATCAATTTATTCATCACCAAGTTCGTCGGCGTCATCTTCTCAAACTCTTCGACCAACTACTTCCATCTATACGACATCAAAGCTCCAGCTCTCAAGTATCAAGTAGTTCCGTGCAACCTTCGACAAGTGTTTACTCCTCTTCAAGAAGTGCCTCTTCATCGTCAAGTGTCTCTGTTCCAACTACTGTGATTTCTTCATTGTCATCGAGTAAAACATCAAGTTATTCATCAAGTTCGTCGGCGTCATCTTCTCAAACTCTTCGACCAACTACTTCCATCTATACGACATCAAAAGCTCCCAGCTCTCAAGTATCAAGTAGTTCCGTGCAACCTTCGACAAGTGTTTACTCTTCTTCAAGAAGTTCTTCTTCATCGTCAAGTGTCTCTATTCCAACTACTGTGATTTCTTCATTGTCATCGAGTAAAACATCAATTTATTCATCTCCAAGTTCGTCGGCGTCATCTTCTCAAACTCTTAGACCAACTACTTCCATCTATACGACATCAAAAGCTCGCAGCTCTCAAGTATCAAGTAGTTCCGTGCAACCTTCGACAAGTCTTTACTCCTCTTCAAGAAGTTCCTCTTCATCGTCAAGTGTCTCTGTTCCAACTACTGTGATTTCTTCAGTTGCATCCAGTAGTTTATATTCCTCAAGTTCTATTAAAACAGCTACGCTTTCCTCGACAGTGTCTGCGTCTTTAAGCTCTTCGTTTTTATCTTTTTCAAGTCTTTCAAATTTCCCAGTTATAGGATCCTCTGGTGTAATACATATTTCCAGTTCAAAGACTACATCATCGGTTTCGGTAGTTGTGTTAACAACAATCAGTAAAGGTTTTACTAGGCCTCTTCCTCCTGTTCGAACTACTGTGATTTCTTCATTGTCATCGAGTAAAACATCAATTTATTCATCACCAAGTTCGTCGGCGTCATCTTCTCAAACTCTTCTACCAACTACTTCCATCTATACGACATCAAAAGCTCCCAGCTCTCAAGTATCAAGTAGTTCCGTGCAACCTTCGACAAGTGTTTACTCTTCTTCAAGAAGTTCTTCTTCATCGTCAAGTGTCTCTGTTCCAACTACTGTGATTTCTTCATTGTCATCGAGTAAAACATCAATTTATTCATCAGCAAGTTCGTCGGCGTCATCTTCTCAAACTCTTCAACCAACTACTTCCATCTATACGACATCTAAAGCTCCCAGCTCTCAAGTATCAAGTAGTTCCGTGCAACCTTCGACAAGTGTTTACTCTTCTTCAAGAAGTACTTCTTCTTCGTCAAGTGTCTCTGTTCCAACTACTGTGATTTCATCATTGTCATCGAGTAAAACATCAATTTATTCATCATCAAGTTCGTCGGCGTCATCTTCTCAAACTCTTCGACCAACTACTTCCATCTATACGACATCAAAAGCTTCCAGCTCTCAAGTATCAAGTAGTTCCGTGCAACCTTCGACAAGTGTTTACTCTTCTTCAAGAAGTACTTCTTCTTCGTCAACTGTCTCTGTTCCAACTACTGTGATTTCTTCATTGTCATCGAGTAAAACATCAATTTATTCATCACCAAGTTCGTCGGCGTCATCTTCTCAAACTCTTCGACCAACTACTTCCATCTATACGACATCAAAAGCTCCCAGCTCTCAAGTATCAAGTAGTTCCGTGCAACCTTCGACAAGTGTTTACTCTTCTTCAAGAAGTGCCTCTTCATCGTCAAGTGTCTCTGTTCCAACTACTGTGATTTCTTCATTGTCATCGAGTAAAACATCAATTTATTCATCCAAGTTCGTCGGCGTCATCTTCTCAAACTCTTCGACCAACTACTTCCATCTATACGACATCAAAGCTTCCAGCTCTCAAGTATCAAGTAGTTCCGTGCAACCTTCGACAAGTGTTTACTCCTCTTCAAGAAGTGCCTCTTCATCGTCAAGTGTCTCTGTTCCAACTACTGTGATTTCTTCATTGTCATCGAGTAAAACATCAATTTATTCATCAGCAAGTTCGTCGGCGTCATCTTCTCAAACTCTTCGACCAACTACTTCCATCTATACGACATCAAAGCTCCCAGCTCTCAAGTATCAAGTAGTTCCGTGCAACCTTCGACAAGTGTTTACTTCTTCAAGAAGTGCCTCTTCATCGTCAAGTGTCTCTATTCCAACTACTGTGATTTCTTCATTGTCATCGAGTAAAACATCAATTTATTCATCTCCAAGTTCGTCGGCGTCATCTTCTCAAACTCTTAGACCAACTACTTCCATCTATACGACATCAAAGCTCCAGCTCTCAAGTATCAAGTAGTTCCGTGCAACCTTCGACAAGTGTTTACTCTTCTTCAAGAAGTGCTTCTTCATCGTCAAGTGTCTCTGTTCCAACTACTGTGATTTCTTCATTGTCATCGAGTAAAACATCAATTTATTCATCTCCAAGTTCGTCGGCGTCATCTTCTCAAACTCTTCGACCAACTACTTCCATCTATACGACATCAAAAGCTCCCAGCTCTCAAGTATCAAGTAGTTCCGTGCAACCTTCGACAAGTGTTTACTCCTCTTCAAGAAGTGCCTCTTCATCGTCAAGTGTCTCTGTTCCAACTACTGTGATTTCTTCATTGTCATCGAGTAAAACATCAAGTTATTCATTATCAAGTTCGTCGGCGTCATCTTCTCAAACTCTTCGACCAACTACTTCCATCTATACGACATCAAAAGCTTCCAGCTCTCAAGTATCAAGTAGTTCCGTGCAACCTTCGACAAGTGTTTACTCTTCTTCAAGAAGTGCTTCTTCATCGTCAAGTGTCTCTGTTCCAACTACTGTGATTTCTTCATTGTCATCGAGTAAAACATCAATTTATTCATCTCCAAGTTCGTCGGCGTCATCTTCTCAAACTCTTAGACCAACTACTTCCATCTATACGACATCAAAAGCTTCCAGCTCTCAAGTATCAAGTAGTTCCGTGCAACCTTCGACAAGTGTTTACTCTTCTTCAAGAAGTGCCTCTTCATCGTCAAGTGTCTCTGTTCCAACTACTGTGATTTCTTCATTGTCATCGAGTAAAACATCAATTTATTCATCATCAAGTTCGTCGGCGTCATCTTCTCAAACTCTTCGACCAACTACTTCCATCTATACGACATCAAAGCTTCCAGCTCTCAAGTATCAAGTAGTTCCGTGCAACCTTCGACAAGTGTTTACTCTTCTTCAAGAAGTTCTTCTTCATCGTCAAGTGTCTCTATTCCAACTACTGTGATTTCTTCATTGTCATCGAGTAAAACATCAATTTATTCATCTCCAAGTTCGTCGGCGTCATCTTCTCAAACTCTTCGACCAACTACTTCCATCTATACGACATCAAAAGCTTCCAGCTCTCAAGTATCAAGTAGTTCCGTGCAACCTTCGACAAGTGTTTACTCTTCTTCAAGAAGTGCCTCTTCATCGTCAAGTGTCTCTGTTCCAACTACTGTGATTTCTTCATTGTCATCGAGTAAAACATCAATTTATTCATCAGCAAGTTCGTCGGCGTCATCTTCTCAAACTCTTCAACCAACTACTTCCATCTATACGACATCAAAGCTCCCAGCTCTCAAGTATCAAGTAGTTCCGTGCAACCTTCGACAAGTGTTTACTCTTCTTCAAGAAGTGCCTCTTCATCGTCAAGTGTCTCTGTTCCAACTACTGTGATTTCTTCATTGTCATCGAGTAAAACATCAATTTATTCATCATCAAGTTCGTCGGCGTCATCTTCTCAAACTCTTCGACCAACTACTTCCATCTATACGACATCAAAGCTCCCAGCTCTCAAGTATCAAGTAGTTCCGTGCAACCTTCGACAAGTGTTTACTCTTCTTCAAGAAGTGCTTCTTCATCGTCAAGTGTCTCTATTCCAACTACTGTGATTTCTTCATTGTCATCGAGTAAAACATCAATTTATTCATCTCCAAGTTCGTCGGCGTCATCTTCTCAAACTCTTAGACCAACTACTTCCATCTATACGACATCAAAAGCTCCCAGCTCTCAAGTATCAAGTAGTTCCGTGCAACCTTCGACAAGTGTTTACTCTTCTTCAAGAAGTGCTTCTTCATCGTCAAGTGTCTCTGTTCCAACTACTGTGATTTCTTCATTGTCATCGAGTAAAACATCAATTTATTCATCACCAAGTTCGTCGGCGTCATCTTCTCAAACTCTTCGACCAACTACTTCCATCTATACGACATCAAAGCTTCCAGCTCTCAAGTATCAAGTAGTTCCGTGCAACCTTCGACAAGTGTTTACTCTTCTTCAAGAAGTTCTTCATCGTCAAGTGTCTCTATTCCAACTACTGTGATTTCTTCATTGTCATCGAGTAAAACATCAATTTATTCATCTCCAAGTTCGTCGGCGTCATCTTCTCAAACTCTTCGACCAACTACTTCCATCTATACGACATCAAAAGCTTCCAGCTCTCAAGTATCAAGTAGTTCCGTGCAACCTTCGACAAGTGTTTACTCCTCTTCAAGAAGTGCCTCTTCATCGTCAAGTGTCTCTGTTCCAACTACTGTGATTTCTTCATTGTCATCGAGTAAAACATCAATTTATTCATCAGCAAGTTCGTCGGCGTCATCTTCTCAAACTCTTCGACCAACTACTTCCATCTATACGACATCAAAAGCTTCCAGCTCTCAAGTATCAAGTAGTTCCGTGCAACCTTCGACAAGTGTTTACTCTTCTTCAAGAAGTGCCTCTTCATCGTCAAGTGTCTCTATTCCAACTACTGTGATTTCTTCATTGTCATCGAGTAAAACATCAATTTATTCATCAGCAAGTTCGTCGGCGTCATCTTCTCAAACTCTTCGACCAACTACTTCCATCTATACGACATCAAAGCTCCCAGCTCTCAAGTATCAAGTAGTTCCGTGCAACCTTCGACAAGTGTTTACTCTTCTTCAAGAAGTGCTTCTTCATCGTCAAGTGTCTCTATTCCAACTACTGTGATTTCTTCATTGTCATCGAGTAAAACATCAATTTATTCATCTCCAAGTTCGTCGGCGTCATCTTCTCAAACTCTTAGACCAACTACTTCCATCTATACGACATCGAAAGCTTCCAGCTCTCAAGTATCAAGTAGTTCCGTGCAACCTTCGACAAGTGTTTACTCCTCTTCAAGAAGTGCCTCTTCATCGTCAAGTGTCTCTGTTCCAACTACTGTGATTTCTTCATTATCATCGAGTAAAACATCAATTTATTCATCACCAAGTTCGTCGGCGTCATCTTCTCAAACTCTTCGACCAACTACTTCTATCTATACGACATCAAAAGCTTCCAGCTCACAAATATCAAGTAGTTCCGTGCAACCTTCGACAAGTGTTTACTCTTCTTCAAGAAGTACTTCTTCTTCGTCAACTGTCTCTTTTCCAACTACTGTGATTTTATCGTTGTCATCGAGTAAAACATCAATTTATTCATCATCAAGTTCGTCGGCGTCATCTTCTCAAACTCTTCGACCAACTACTTCCATCTATACGACATCAAAAGCTTCCAGCTCTCAAGTATCAAGTAGTTCCGTGCAACCTTCGACAAGTGTTTACTCTTCTTCAAGAAGTGCTTCTTCATCGTCAAGTGTCTCTATTCCAACTACTGTGATTTCTTCATTGTCATCGAGTAAAACATCAATTTATTCATCTCCAAGTTCGTCGGCGTCATCTTCTCAAACTCTTCGACCAACTACTTCCATCTATACGACATCAAAGCCCAGCTCTCAAGTATCAAGTAGTTCCGTGCAACCTTCGACAAGTGTTTACTCCTCTTCAAGAAGTGCCTCTTCATCGTCAAGTGTCTCTGTTCCAACTACTGTGATTTCTTCATTGTCATCGAGTAAAACATCAATTTATTCATCAGCAAGTTCGTCGGCGTCATCTTCTCAAACTCTTCGACCAACTACTTCCATCTATACGACATCAAAGCTCCAGCTCTCAAGTATCAAGTAGTTCCGTGCAACCTTCGACAAGTGTTTACTCTTCTTCAAGAAGTGCCTCCTCATCGTCAAGTGTCTCTATTCCAACTACTGTGATTTCTTCATTGTCATCGAGTAAAACATCAATTTATTCATCTCCAAGTTCGTCGGCGTCATCTTCTCAAACTCTTAGACCAACTACTTCCATCTATACGACATCAAAAGCTCCAAGCTCTAAAGTATCAAGTAGTTCCCTGCAACCTTCGACCAGTGTTTACTCTTCCTCAAGAAGTGCTTCTTCATCGTCAAGTGTCTCTGTTCCAACTACTGTGATTTCTTCATTGTCATCGAGTAAAACATCAATTTATTCATCTCCAAGTTCGTCGGCGTCATCTTCTCAAACTCTTCGACCAACTACTTCCATCTATACGACATCAAAAGCTTCCAGCTCTCAAGTATCAAGTAGTTCCGTGCAACCTTCGACAAGTGTTTACTCCTCTTCAAGAAGTGCCTCTTCATCGTCAAGTGTCTCTGTTCCAACTACTGTGATTTCTTCATTGTCATCGAGTAAAACATCAATTTATTCATCAGCAAGTTCGTCGGCGTCATCTTCTCAAACTCTTCGACCAACTACTTCCATCTATACGACATCAAAGCTCCAGCTCTCAAGTATCAAGTAGTTCCGTGCAACCTTCGACAAGTGTTTACTCTTCTTCAAGAAGTTCCTTCATCGTCAAGTGTCTCTATTCCAACTACTGTGATTTCTTCATTGTCATCGAGTAAAACATCAATTTATTCATCTCCAAGTTCGTCGGCGTCATCTTCTCAAACTCTTAGACCAACTACTTCCATCTATACGACATCAAAAGCTCCCAGCTCTCAAGTATCAAGTAGTTCCGTGCAACCTTCGACAAGTGTTTACTCCTCTTCAAGAAGTGCCTCTTCATCGTCAAGTGTCTCTGTTCCAACTACTGTGATTTCTTCATTGTCATCGAGTAAAACATCAAGTTATTCATTATCAAGTTCGTCGGCGTCATCTTCTCAAACTCTTCGACCAACTACTTCCATCTATACGACATCAAAAGCTTCCAGCTCTCAAGTATCAAGTAGTTCCGTGCAACCTTCGACAAGTGTTTACTCTTCTTCAAGAAGTTCTTCTTCATCGTCAAGTGTCTCTATTCCAACTACTGTGATTTCTTCATTGTCATCGAGTAAAACATCAATTTATTCATCTCCAAGTTCGTCGGCGTCATCTTCTCAAACTCTTCGACCAACTACTTCCATCTATACGACATCAAAAGCTTCCAGCTCTCAAGTATCAAGTAGTTCCGTGCAACCTTCGACAAGTGTTTACTCCTCTTCAAGAAGTGCCTCTTCATCGTCAAGTGTCTCTGTTCCAACTACTGTGATTTCTTCATTGTCATCGAGTAAAACATCAATTTATTCATCCAAGTTCGTCGGCGTCATCTTCTCAAACTCTTCGACCAACTACTTCCATCTATACGACATCAAAGCTCCCAGCTCTCAAGTATCAAGTAGTTCCGTGCAACCTTCGACAAGTGTTTACTCTTCTTCAAGAAGTTCTTCTTCATCGTCAAGTGTCTCTATTCCAACTACTGTGATTTCTTCATTGTCATCGAGTAAAACATCAATTTATTCATCATCAAGTTCGTCGGCGTCATCTTCTCAAACTCTTCGACCAACTACTTCTATCTATACGACATCAAAAGCTTCCAGCTCTCAAGTATCAAGTAGTTCCGTGCAACTTTCGACAAGTGTTTACTCCTCTTCAAGAAGTGCCTCTTCATCTTCAAGTGTCTCTGTTCCAACTACTGTGATTTCTTCATTGTCATCGAGTAAAACATCAAGTTACTCATTATCAAGTTCGTCGGCGTCATCTTCTCAAACTCTTCGACCAACTACTTCCATCTATACGACATCAAAGCTTCCAGCTCTCAAGTATCAAGTAGTTCCGTGCAACCTTCGACAAGTGTTTACTCTTCTTCAAGAAGTTCTTCATCGTCAAGTGTCTCTGTTCCAACTACTGTGATTTCTTCATTGTCATCGAGTAAAACATCAATTTATTCATCTCCAAGTTCGTCGGCGTCATCTTCTCAAACTCTTCGACCAACTACTTCCATCTATACGACATCAAAGCTTCCAGCTCTCAAGTATCAAGTAGTTCCGTGCAACCTTCGACAAGTGTTTACTCTTCAAGAAGTGCCTCTTCATCGTCAAGTGTCTCTGTTCCAACTACTGTGATTTCTTCATTGTCATCGAGTAAAACATCAATTTATTCATCATCAAGTTCGTCGGCGTCATCTTCTCAAACTCTTCGACCAACTACTTCCATCTATACGACATCAAAGCTTCCAGCTCTCAAGTATCAAGTAGTTCCGTGCAACCTTCGACAAGTGTTTACTCTTCTTCAAGAAGTTCTTCTTCATCGTCAAGTGTCTCTATTCCAACTACTGTGATTTCTTCATTGTCATCGAGTAAAACATCAATTTATTCATCTCCAAGTTCGTCGGCGTCATCTTCTCAA